ATGAATAAGTGTTACAAAGTTGTAAGCTTCTCCACAACCGTATACTATGAATTGACTTTATTATATAATCAAAAAAGAGATAGCGACCTTAAATAGCCAAATATCATACGATTTCACTTGTCCACCATCTTGGGTGCACGGCGAAAACATTTCAGGGCGTTTGAAGCCACTGAGGATGCCCCCTGCAGAGTTGGACGAACACTCTGCTGTAGAGTTGACCAGAGGCTATCAGCAGTATTTACTGTTATTTAGGTCCGTTTTGTGTGTGTGTGTGTGTGTGTGTGCGCGTGCGTGCGTGCGTGCGTGCGTGCGTGCGTGTGTGTGTGTGTGTGTGTGCGCGCGCGTGCGTGCGTGCGTGCGTGTGTGTGTGTGTGTGTGTGTGTGTGTGTGTGTGTGTGTGTGTGTGTGTGTGTGTGTGTGTGTGTGTGTGTGTGTGTGTGTGTGTGTGTGAATGTGGGCCTGTTGGATTTTTTAGCGGGGTGGTAGTTCGAGTTGGATAAGCATGTTGACCATATGATCTTCTTGAGGTAGAGAATGCCTCGCATGAATATATTAATGAGATTCCAAGAGAGTGGGGTAGATTTACCAACAAATAAGGTCATCTTGAGCGGGACGGTATTCACAGATGGATTAGCATATGAACAGGTAGAAAATGAGGATCCACGATGATCGACCTGGTAGTGGTGTGCAATCAAACCTCACAGCATTGGTTTTTGACTGGCTCTGGCGTCAAAAAAACCTCATTCATTTACTTGAACTGAATGTTTATCTTAATTATTATGGATAGTCACGGAACCGTGATCCAGTGAACAGGGTGTCATTAGATAAAAAATAAAGTAATAATAGGATTACCAGAAAAAAAACGGGGTGTAACACCCAAGCCAATAAACTTCGCTCAGGAACCCCAGAGTAAGTCAGTACAAGAATGAAAACTGCCCCATAATTATGTATGACAGGCTTGTCGGGTATTGCTACATGTATATGTGAAAACAAAGTTATTAAAATGAAGAGCAAAACTGATGAAAGGTACCAATAAACGTATATAATAGTTATATCGTCACTGCAAAAATAACGAGTGTTTGTCTTTCGCATTAACATTCAAATACGTTATATCTGTATAAGCGTTATTGTCTACGTTCCACCGGTGAGTACGCGTTAGCCTTACTATCTCGTAGTATAAATATTGAAAGAAATTGTATTTCTGAAGACATCACGATACAGTTTGGGTGGCAGCCTAGATAGCCATAGAATAGGTTCATCTCGGAATCTCCCATATCACTGGGGATCCTCCTCAATTTAATTGGAGTTACTTGTTTCTTTCAAAACTATACAGTTTTAGAGACTAAGCATTTGTCTGAATAGACATCATCAGTTTGGAATTGTACGATTCCGAACATTCACGAGACTGTGTTTAAGAATCATTGTGAAATAGTGGTGACATGAAATCTCGGAAACAAAACGCGAAATCGCGCATGCTCAGAACGGAAAATTTGGAAAATTAAGTAATCCGCATGCCCAGAACGATTGATTTCAATACTTCCACTAAGCGCTTTTGAGTGCAGCGTCAAACGCGGGCCTGTAATCTAACACGCGAGAACTGACCAATGAAATCTGAGAAGTAGAAATACCGGTAGACGCTGTTGCTTGATTGACAATGTCAATCAAGAAAGGGAGGAGCTTGATGATATCGTTCTCTCCCAGTAAATTCCGATGTCAAATAACGACGTTATTTGGACGAAAAAACGATCGTTTGAAAACGTCCAAATAACGTCGTTTTCCGGCCCAATGACAATATACGGAAAAAAACGACGTTTTCGTGTTTGCAGTGTGTTTACGACTTTTAAGGGGCTGATGTATGTTTTTCTTTACAAAAGATAGCTGAGATTTTTACGTCCCATTTCAAATTCAACATGTTGAAAGAAAAAAAAAAAAATTTCACCGTTCACTAAAACAGTACAGACGTAGGTGACTTTTAAACAGAACAACGGAAATATCAGTGTAATAAAGCATTTTTTTATAGAAACACATTTGTACAACACTTTGTGTAGCACAAGCACAGTGTGTGGTTTTTCTCAAATTGACAGAAAACTGGTCAGTTTTACATGTTGGTACTCACAACTGCTTGACCCCCTGTCACCACCACCACATATCTCAGTGCAGCCATATTAACTGTTTCTCAAATTATTGTGCGAAATGTCTAAACATGCTTGATATCTTTAATAAATAGACATGTATGATTCACATTAAAACCAAAAGTTGACAACACACTTAAGTTTGAATATATTGACAATGAAACTATTTCCAATTTTCTTAACCATACGCCATCACTGATATTTTATCCAAATATCTAAATATAATGTGCAATGAAAAAACCCAGATGGTTGGGTGGGTGAAATTGGGTTTAACGTCGCGTCCAAGATTATTGCACTTATATAGCGACGTGCATGTACGTGTTATGTTTGTGTGGCTGCTTGTACTAGTCCGGACTGATGCCGATTTATAGTGCTAGCTCACTGAGATACCATGCCGCAGTTTAAGTATACACAGTATACTGACTCCGAGCCGACCAGTCCTTGTTTTAGCCCCTTAATGCCGAGCGCCAGACAGGGTAACAACAAGTACCATCTTTTAACGTTTGGTATGACGCGGCCGGGGATCGAACCCCGGACCTTCCGCTCTCCGGGCGAACGCTCTACCACTAGACCACGGAGGCGGTCCCCAGATGGTTGGAGTTGTAAGTGAGTAAGTGAATATGGTTTTACTCCGCTTTTAGCAATATTCAAACACATATTAGGGCGACGAACACCAGAAACCTGGCTTCACACATTGCATCCATGTGGGGTATGGGACCCGGGCCTTCGGCGTGAAGAGCGAACGCTTTAACCACAAGGCTAGCCGACTACCCATACAAACATGACAAAATATTAAAGTGGAAGATGAAACTCTTACTTAATCGTTTCAGCATGATCCAGAATTTTCTTTGCAACTGTCTTTCTTTGATATTCCAAGAAACTCCTCAGGAAATCATGTGATGTAAATCCACAAACAAAGTGTAGAAACAAGCAATGACAAACCTAACAGCAGCGAGCAGCCATGCAATGCGGTATCTATGTCCTGCTGTGCAATCTGACTATAACAGACTGTTCAATACATGTCATTTATCCCGTGGTTGCCGGGCAGAGCTATAGAGCGACCTGTCAATAAAAGGAGTGTTAAGTTTGAGTTTAATGCCACTTTGAACTGTATTCCAGTTAGATCACACAGATTGGTGCATGTCAACTTAATGTGGGAGGAAAGCCCAATGTGATACAGGTCTCAACTCTATACAGTGTATTGTGGGGCCCAAGGCGACTGGGCCACCCGTGACCCCGTTAGTTTTGATGATGACCTACACCAGAATATGTTCATATAGTGTTAACCAAGGTTGATTACCAATGCTAGCTAACATGGGTGTGTATTGTCATTCTCATTACTATTCAAAAATAGATAAAACATATATATATATAATTACAATACCAATTCCTCATTCCGAATCCTATAATCACATTTCATTAATTCCTATTCCAATGTTATTCCTATGTTCCAATCTCTTTCCCCTTTTTTCTTTTATTTCCAAATTTGACAGTTTCACGTCCCAGAGGCAACAGATCTATGATTCTAGGTTCAATTCATAGTTTGGCAAAGTCTATGATCCTGTGCTTCTGTTTTACCAAAATAGTAAACGTGTTAGTCCTCCGTCACCTGTGGCTTTCTTTCGATGTGACATAAATGAAATACTGAAAACAACTGCATTGAATTCACAATTTCCTTTCGCAAACTCTAAATTTTATTATTAGCTAATGGTGTGTGTGTAGGGGACTGTGTATACGGAGGAAGTGGTCGTGTATTTAACTCATTTGTGATGACACAGAGACGTGGGTTGACTGTGTATGTGGAGGAAGTGATCGTGTATTGTATCCCTGTGTGATGACATAGAGACGTGGCTTGACTGTATGTGGAGGAAGTGGTCGTGTATTGTATCCCTGTGTGGTGTCATAGAGACGTAGGTTGACTGTATGTGGAGGAAGTGGTCGTGTATTGTATCCCTGTGTGATGACATAGAGACGTGGCTTGACTGTATGTGGAGGAAGTGGTCGTGTATTGTATCCCTGTGTGGTGTCATAGAGACGTAGGTTGACTGTATGTGGAGGAAGTGGTCGTGTATTGTATCCATGTGTGATGACATAGAGACGTGGGTTGACTGTGTATGAGGAGGAAGTGGTCGTGTATTGTATCCATGTGTGGTGTCATAGAGACGTAGGTTGACTGTATGTGGAGGAAGTGGTCGTGTATTGTATCCATGTGTGGTGTCATAGAGACGTGGGTTGACTGTATGTGATGGGGTTGTGTATTGTATCCCTGCGTGATGACATAGAGGCGTAGGTTGACTGTGTATGTGGAGGAAGTGGTCGTGTATTGTATCCCTGCGTGATGACATAGAGACGTGGGTTGACTGTGTATGTCGAGGAAATGGTCGTGTATTGTATCCATGTGTGGTTTCAGAGACGTGGGTTGACTGTATGTGATTGGGTTGTGTACTTTATCCCTGTGTGGTGTCATAGAGACGTGGGTTGACTGTATGTGAAGAGGTAGTGTATTGTATCCCTGTGTGATGACATAGAGGCGTGGGTTGACTGTGTGTGAAGAGGTAGGTTATTGTATCCCTGTGTGGTGACATTGAGGCGTGGTTTGACTGTATGTGAAGAGGTAGGTTATTGTATCCATGTGTGGTGACATTTACCAGAGTCTACCGCCGGCCTCAGATCATTCAGTATCCTAAACATTGCACTTCCAGTACTATGATGAGGATGATAGGTTGACGGGAATTCGTCCAGGAGTTTATTCTTGGAAATGTGTACGACGTCATAATAACATTACATCAACATAATATCGAAACACACAGGGTGAGGTTAATAATCATAAAAGACAATACAATGGGTCAAATATGTGGCAGCAACAATAATTTATTTATGTCTGTGCACTCAGGAATGTCCAAAATTTGTCACAATCGAATGTCTTGAATGCAGGAAACAGTGTTGGCAGTAGGCATTATGTCGATGTTTTCCGATAGGTATCCCTTCCGCACTGGGCAGGTACAATAGGTAGATACGTTATGTCAGATAGTAGAGGGCTTCGAATTGCCATCGACTTGCTCTTATATAGGTACAGCCAGCCTTTTAGAAATTTCGCAAATAGTGTAGTCTATCCAAGTGTCAATACACAAGGGCGGATAACCCAAATGGTCTTGTTGTCACAAACCGTCAACAAAATCTGGAAACGCTGGCACTTGACATTTTAAGTACGCTTCAATAAACTACCTGTACCAATCACCAGAAATGAACTTGCACTACATACTGCCACAATATATTTTATGAGAAAAAAAACACTTACAGAAGGTGTTGTGATCATTTTTGAAGGCGGATAATTGAATATTTGAATTCAATAGTGTCAAACATAATTTTGCAGAATTAAACCCTTCGGATTTATAAATAACATTCACTTCAAGTTCCTGGAAAGTATTTTGCTTTGGTCTTCATTGTTTACTTTTAGTTATTCAATATGAATGCAGTTTTAAAAAACAATTGAGGTGCATAACACAATTTGAATTGAGAACAGAGGGCGAGTATATTCATTAATTCTTTGTTATCCGACCTCAAGACAGGTACATGTACATGTCGATTTAGTTGGCAATAATACTGAGACACGAGCTCTTGAAGTACAACAGCCAGTTAGTGAAATACACACACGCACATTGTATGTGCAAGTATATCCTTTCACCCTACTCTTGCTGATGCATTGAGATATGTGCCACAGAAGAACTGTCTTCCTACTTCTTCAGAAAGGTCATACCTAAGTTTGAAAGGATGTAAAAAAATATCTCTGGTGTTATAATATTTTGTATATTGTTCCCTATTATGCCAAAGGCTGCCATCTTTCACAAAATGAATGTCTTTCCACATTTGAAGTCCATAAGCAACGTTGGCAAATCCTATTTCCACCATGACATCGTGTTTCAACAACAAGTTAGCAACAAGTGTAAAATTATCTTTAAAGGAAGCAGGTACGTACATAAAATCACAGCCTTGAATGGTCAAAGTTGTAAAATTGTTAGAGTTGTTCATATAATTGTGAAGAAAACGATTTGCAAAAGATCTTGTTGAGTTCAACAGTGACATGTTTCTTATGTCATCAATGACAGCTAGTATCCTCGGTTTACCATCCTTCCACCAAATCCACATGGGATTGATATCCTTTTGAGAAACATTTTCGCGCCTGCCACCTGTATGCAGCCAGATCTTATCACGTGGCAGTGTGTCAATGTTCCAAGGGTTAATCAGAGTGTCATCTCCAATCTGTAAGAATCCTTTCACATCGACATTAAGCTTCATTGCTTCAATGATACATTCATACATGTAGTGCCAGTCTCTTTTGAAGAGTTCCATGTATATGAAATACCCCGTGGTTGCATTCTGAACATAGGATGTGAAGTTTTTTATTTCGGGTCCACAGAAAATGATATTGTTGAAGTAAGGGCGATACATGGCTTCTAGTAATGGAATATTGGCATACAGTAATGGCTGGTTAAAGGATATTATAAGCGCTATGTCTTTTTTTGTGTTATCTGGGAATTTTATATCAGTTTTTGGACAGACAGCTTTCAGACGTGTGTGATATGTGTCTGTCATAGAAGTCGAATTAATTGGAGTAGCGATAATTCCCAAAGTAGTTTTTTTTAAATCAAGGGATCTTTGTTGTGGGATTCGTTTGGGAATTATATATTGGATTGACCTTAACTGCGCAAGCCATTCAATTACCAAAAAGGCTTCATACGAACTGAGGAGTTGATTATCTTTCAGAAGTTTCACCACTTCAGCCAAGCATTCTAACACATTTAGGTTACCGGTACAGTCCCAGGAATGTAGAAAGTCAACCAAACAGTTTGAAGAGGTAGTGTGGGCTATCCTTGATTGTGATGGTACAGGAAACGGATAGATTCCTACTCTTCCATTTAAATACCATAAGACACGTTGTATTATGAAATCTCCTTTGTCGACATCCAATAAAGGGAGTGCCCAGAATGCATCATAATGGAATGCCAGTACATCCGAACTAAGTGAAGCAAATGTGTTTACTTGAAGAAATATAGGAGCATGCTGTTTTATTGATTCAAAATATACTGGTCGTTTGCATTGCCCTCCCATATTCATTTCAGGCAGTAGAGGATTAAACACCGACATGACCAATGGATTTGCACTTTCATCAATGTAAAACTCATTCAAAGATGACATTGCTTCGTTACTTGGTGGCTTAAATAATACATGGGGATCGAATACCGTTTCGTTGCGAATAAGAACTAATCCTGTTTGCGGTATGTTGTCAGACATTCTCTTCAGCATTTCTAATCCACAGGTATTCAAATGACGGATCACACACATGTGTTTGGCGCCGTTGGAAATAGCATAAAGGTAAGCCTGTTTCTTGTGGAACAGATCATCGACAACAATGTCAGCGGGCAAGTGGGGATGAGTTGAGCTGAGAGTAATGCACCACGGGCGTCTGTCGGATGAAAGAGAAAATGCATTTTATGCAGGAGTGAGCAGTTTTACAGCAATTCAAACAAACAAACAATATCTACCGACGCCATTCGGATATATACTTGCGGAAAATAACATCTGTGCTTCATATAAAGTGGTGTAAATGTTATGTTATTGAAAATTAAACGATGTTAATATCTCGGGTGACCGCCATTTGCGTTGATACAGGCGAGGCAGTGGTGGCACATTGAATTCACTAGATAATTGAAAACAGCCTGGAAGATCTTGTTAAAAAGGTCAACCAAAGATTAGCCAAAGAGCGTCTGGTTCAAGTCCTGTCGTAGGTGTCCATCCATCTTATCCCAGACATGTTCCATGGGGAAGAATTCTGGAGAAAGAGCCCTGACAGTACAGCAATTTTATGCTGCCGCTAAAAGTTTGTTACAACACGCGCAACGTGTGGGCGGGCATTATCCTGCTGCGCCGTGACGTTACAGTGCCTGCATTTGCACAAAGGGTAGAACGTGATCTCAAACGATGTCGCCCGGGTAGTGTACGCCAATCGAATTGCCATTAACAATGAAGAGTTGTGTTTTCCCATGAGTTGTGATGCCACCACATATAATTACACTTCCACCCCCAAACTGACGACGTTGAGTAACTCAAGCGTCGCTATAACGCTCTCCTGGGCGTCTGTAGACCCTTGCGGGACGGTCGGGTAGCCTAGTGGTTAAAGCGTTCGCTCGTCACTCAGGTTCGATTCCCGACATGGGTATAATGTGTGAAGCCCATTTCTTGTGTCCCCCGCCGTGATATTGCTAAAATAATGCGGCTGAAAACCACACTCACTCACTCACTGAAGACCCTTGCACGACCATCAGTGCTGTCCGGGAGAAAGTTATTGAGCAAACATCATACTGTCCGAGTCTTGTCTTCTGAACCACAGACGCTGTCTAGAGAGGCGTGCCTAATGGTGACGTGGAAGCAAAATCGGGCGTTCCTCTGGCGTTGGATGTTTTGCCCCTCAATCGGTTGCGTACGGTTCTCAAGCCTGAAGTTGTTCGAGCTGTTATTGTGGCAATTTGGTATCGATTCCATAGATGCACCAACCGAATATGGCTGTCTTTTTAACGTGACGTCACACGTGGACGACTGGACCGTGGCAATCCATGAGTGGTGCCCTGCTGTAGATGACGCCTTAGAAGAGCTGATATTGTGTTTCGATGAACATTAACATGTCTGGCGACTACGTTTTACGCCATTCCTGTTGGCAAGATAACCACTGACCGTAGACGTTGATTTTCAGCAAGCGACGTAAGCGTTGTTACGGTTTATAAAGTGTTGTTATCAGCACCTGATAGCTAAACAAACAGTGTGTGCTGTTCACATTAACAAATTCACGTTTGTGAGTAGCACACTCCCGACAAACACGGAAACATTAAAACCATACGCTGTGCATGAACATGTACATGCAAACTATGAATCGCGTCCTCAATGTCGAGGAAATGTCTTCACGAACATGAAAGATGCATTATTTGATTTCATCATTTCATTCATTTTTATTGAATTTTATATGAATCAGCGTTACATTTTTCCGCTCGTATATAAGGCTTAATCGGGCTACTGTAATTCTTAATTCTAAGCATCCCTTATTACTCACCTCTGATTGCCTATGTATACTAGTATATGCTCATGTTTAAGGGGTTCCGTAACGTTGCTGCGTACTTTTCAATTCTTTCTTGGCACAAGGCTGGGGATGGGGAAGAGACAAAGTGTAAAGTAGGTTCACAACTCGTTACGCTAGGAAAAACATGGTATTGTATAATACTTGGTAATTGGCGTACATTTGATTTCGTATTTGACATTGCAACTGGCACATGTTTCCTATATGTTATTTCGGAATGACAATAGTATCTTCGAGAATGTATATCATAAATAACTTACCTGCACACAGATTGTGATAGGCTAGTATTGACAAGTAACAGTACTCTCCATCCGGGTATCTTGATGACGTCATCGCCAGTAAATGATGACGCAATCAGCCACTTGTCGTGCTGCCTCTTGTTCCTACGAATGAAACAAAATAAATTAACAACAACATTTACAAGTGAAAGTTTTGCAACCTTGTACATTCCAGATTTATATCTGTAATTAATATAAATATTTCCAGGCTTTGTAGCCTACTTGGATATGTTTTCTACAGTTTATATACTACTCAAAGTTTGCTAAGGATCCAAGTTTCAAAGGAAATACGTCACATTGTGAGCATCTGTTGAAATAGCCAAAGACAGGATTGCGTGAAGACAAATGTTTAATGAACAAATGTCCGTTGCTACGTGATGTGATCAATAATCAGTCAGATCAACCGTCAACATGAGAGTATCTGACCACAACTGAAATGTAAATGTCAAAAAAATGTCGAAAACAAATTCATTGTACAAGAAAACAACCTCTCAGTGGCGCGTATGTGATCCACTAGATGCGATCACAATCGTCTCATGCTCCCAATGTCCGGAAGGATGCCAAGGAAAATTTGTTTGGCGGTATCACACATGACAAGCGAACTGATTTGCTTATTGCGAATGAGTGAGTGAGTGAGTTTAACGTCACATCGGCAATATTTCAACGAGATTATTGTGAATGAACATTTGACTGGACAGCGATATGTTGACATTTTTCGTCCTGCCGTTGTTCCATTCACGAGAATTACCGGCAGAAATTGTGTACGACAAGACGACAATGCCAGACCACATCTTGCCCAGGTCCAACGACAAAGCACACGGACATTGGAGTTGCCCCCTAAGTCCCCCTGATATGTCACCAATAGAGCATCGGGTCGTCGGCGTGACGAGCGAACGCTTTAACCACTTGGCTAGCCAACCGCCCCTTGCAGCGTCAGAAAAGTTATGTATACATACCTGTACTCAGGAAGAGATTGCAGATGCATGGGATCGCCTCCAAAGTATGTCCATGAACTGTTTTGCCACCTGTATTGGTACACCATCAACACCACCATAATTGCCAAAGGACAAAGGAATAGCTTCTTGTCTGCCAACAAACGAATGGAATTAATAAAGGACTGGCCATTTGTCATAGCACGCGTAGGGGGTGGGTACGTGTGTGTGGGTACGTGTGTGTGTGTGTGTGTTTGTGCGTGTGTGGTGGTGGTGGTGGTGGTGGTGGGGGGGGGGGGGGGGGGGGGGGGGTCTCGAGACTGTATCATGTTTTGTCTGTGTCCAAATGATCCAAAAGTGCATTAAGTTCTAACGCAACAAATTGCACTTCCTTGGTCACTTGCCTTCTCTCATACGAGTACTTATATTTTAAGTCGTGCAACAATTTATTTACAGTAGGTTTAGAAACTGGGCCCGATAAAAGTTTACCCTCTCGATGATTGATTCCCAACAAAGAAAGTTGCATGAACGAAACCATAAGTACACATATTTGATGGCAAGTGTTCAGGAGGCGAACCGTGTTGCAGTTTTCGTGTGCGTAGGATTCATGACATTATGGCAGGGTTGTTAGTGCGACATGTTACAAATCTGGAATCTATTTGGAATACACAATGGGGCAGCTCGTTGCTCTGTGCAGCGGCAAGGTAATATCAAAATCGTTGATAGGAGCAGCACAGAGATGCGGTTACCGCAGCTTCCATCCACGCCGGCGGGGTGCGATGACACACGATCAACCAGATCACTGAGCCTGACCACCCGCTGAATTTGGTGGTTACGGCCCATGAGCGCTAATTGGAAATTAGCAGGAAAAACCATCGTGGCGCTTAGGGACCAATAAGGGCATAGCCACAGTTCATGACTAAAACGAGAACAAAGGAGTACTGGTAATAGAATAGAATAGAATAGAATAGAATAGAATAGAATAGAATAGAATAGAATAGAATAGAATAGAATAGAATAGAATAGAATAGAATAGAATAGAATAGAATAGAATAGAATTTTTATTGTACTGAACACCCTCATAGGGCAGGGTACAGACTATCTACATATGGACATGTATATAATTATAGATATGACAGGTATATGTATATGATGTACATTATGTATAGAGGCATTATTTCATTTACATCATATAAACATTTATGTATATTAGGTTATTGCTGGCAGCGTACACTTAATTGGATTGAATATAATAGAATTTTCTTATGGCCTCAGCTTGAACATGTGGTATATAGTCCGGGCAACAAGATTTGACCATTCTTTTGGTGGAGTCATAAAGTGTTTTAAGAGGTTGGTTTTATCGGTCTGGGAAGGGTCGCCTATTTCTACCAGTGCCATCAGATTTCTCCTAAGGTCTGTATATAGTGGGCATGAAAGCAGGAAGTGTTCTTCATCCTCCACGGAATGGCAGTCACAGTGCGGACAGAACCTATTTTCAACTGGGGTGTTGCAGTATCTCCCCCTCTCTATTTCCAGGCTGTGAAGACTCAGTCGGAGCTTGGTAAGGGCCCTTCTGTGACTTGTATTCTTTACAGTTGTGAGGTAATCTTTTAATCCATATTTGTCATTTATCTGCCCCAGATGTCGCAGCTTATGGTTTACACCGGTTGGAATCTGGTCAGTTTCAATGAGATAAAGATCTTCAAACTTTGATATCAGGCTTTTGGAAAATTGCTGAGTGGTGGAATTGTTTCGATGGGGACCTTCAGATATCACACTTTGGAGAAGACACTCGATGTGTGAAAACCAGGAATTAGTTAGTTTCTTGTCCTCCTGAAAAGCTGCATAGAGCAGTCTACCACGATCCATGTTGCCAAGACGTATATAGTACTTGAACATGTTGATATAGATTTCGAGAGATAATGGGTAGATACCTAACTCACTAAGGGAACCAATGTTGCTGCTTCTTTTTGGAATGCTGAGGAGACCCTTCGCAACTTTGATGGAGGTACTGTTACATTGTTGTCTGTGCCAGTTTATCAGTGGATCAGAAGTAGATTTAAACAGCTGACAGCCCCAGATTTCCGAACCGTAGGTTGCTATTGGAACCACTAGGGCATGGTAGAGCCGTAGTAAGACTTCTATGGATAAATGGGTATTTGTTGTCAGGCTGTGTTGAATTTTGAACCAAGCCCGCATAGCCTTTCCTTTCAAGGTTGAGATTGCACTTTTGAAAGAACCGTTTTGATGAAATATTACCCCAAGGTAGGTGTATGATTCACTGATTTCTAGTGACGCTGTCCCTAACTTAAAATGAAGTTTCTGGTCACTCTTGGAACCGCCAAATATAATTATTTTTGTTTTTGATATATTAACTTTTATTTCCAGTCCTCTTTTAATCTGCATAAAGTATTTATGCTGGTCTGGAGACATTTTGCTGACTGTGAAAGCAGTAGCAGGTCATCAGCAAATAGTAAGTGTGTTAAAGGGACGCCGTCTAGCGATGGGGCAGCAGTATCATTAGTTGACAAGTAGTCCTTTAGGTCATTAACTATAATATGATTTTTATAAATATGAACTTAGGAAAAGAAAAAGTTCGAGGAAACACAACCAACCAATTTCAGTGTGTGCAAGAAGAAAACAAGTATTCGGGAAAGAATGCTTCGAATGTTCTCCACAAGAGGCCAAATAACCAATCAAATTCCATATCATTAATCAATCTTCCGAAATGCAGCATAAACAAAAACAACACTTTTAACCGTTTTGTCAGTGAAAATGAAAGATGGGGGCCACAGGAATGATTTAATCCGGCGTGACGTCGCAACGTGACATCGAACGTCAATTCAACGTCAACAGCAAGACATGGCGACGTTATCAACGGAACAACCACGTCAGAGACCGTCCTCTTCGTAACACCCCATTGACAAGGGATATGGATGAGAAACACGCATCTTCGAGACAGTTCCGGACAGCAACTCTCACATTCCCCATAACCATCCCTGGCAACACAGGCGTGTCTGCGAGTACAGTCCGTCGACGTATACGCATCGTACGACGGCATCTGTGCTAGGCGCCAAGCCATACGGCCAATCCTGCAGAATATCAATGTCTACCTCTCCAGGAGTTAATGTGTTACCTTGGCCTGCAAGATTCCCTGATCTGCCACGAATATTACTGGGATGTAAATGAACGACGTCTGCTTTCACTAGCCCTGACTAACGCCGATTTTATAGTACATTGGAATTCTGTGATGACTCACTAACCCACTCCCACATAATGTCCTAATAAGCGATATATCTTCTAACATACTTACATACTGATACTCATATCATTGCAATGGTTGAGGAAACGTGAAGAAATATACCATCATCCCAGTTTTGCCATGTTATGTAACCTTTTTTAAAAGTATAAGAACAAATCTGAACCCCTACATCTTGGGAAATCCACACGAAGAAATAACCACAAGAAAATAATAAATATCTGACATTGGACACCCAATTCGTTTTGCTGTCGTCATCAAAAGCTTTCAGTAGTTTATAACATTGGTAAGGATATCTTTGCGATCCCACCCTCCGTAATTTTAACCAATATTTTGTCATTCGAAGTTGACTTAATACCGTAAACAGCTTTATTTTCAACCATTAAAAAGCATTTAGAGGAAGAAGAATGTACTTTTTCAAAAGCGTCATTATATTTTGCGCCCCATATTTCTTCTCTGTATAACAGGATTGGCACAATTTTCTTCAAATATAGCACGAGCTGTAGAAGAGGATACATGAATATTTTGCTTGAAAAATATATAGATAGGTATAATTGCTTTTGATGGTTGCGATGCTAATTAATATTGTGTGCACGCAACGGACCATGACAGTAGCGCCAGGCCTAAATATTAAGAATATGTAATTTAAGGCGATAATACTATGTGTCCATTTTTCATTTTTGGCAATGATACCTCCATTTTTAAAAACAAATACATTTGTTTTTGACCAATTAACTTCCAGTATCCGTCTCTTGCAAACAGAATATAATACATTCAATTTATCTGTAGACCATTAACAAGGTATGAAAACGTAATAACACATCAGCAAATCGAAGTAACATACAATCTCTAATATCTTGTGTGACAAACACGACAATGACATTCGTTATATATTTATGTCACGAGCTCATTAATGAAAAGGGGCGGTCGGGTAGCTTAGTGGTTAAAGCGTTCGCTTGTCACGGCGAAGACCCGGGTTCGATTCCCGACATGGTTACAATGTGGTGTTCTGGTGTCCCCCGCCGTGATATTGCTGGAATATTGTTAAAAGCGGCGTAAAACAATATTCACTCATACTTATTAATGAAAAAATAAACAAGCCTGGGCTTACTATACATCCCCGGCGTACACCACTACATGTCAAGAAGCACTGTGTTCTACTAGACTGTGTTTTAATGCATGCCTTCACCGATGAATACATATTGTTTAGAACTGGAAACAATTTCCCTGTGCATCCTTAGGTAGGAAGAAATATATTAACATTTTTTTCTATCTATAAAATCGAAAGCTTAGTATAAATCTACAAATGCGCAAAAAAAAGCGACCCCTAGGGTATCATAAATATTTGGAACATGAAGCTTGCATATGAATGAATTGTCAACCGTTGAATAGTTTGGGAGAAAAACAGCCTGAAATTCAGATAGAAGATTATTCACATCCAACCAAACTCTAAGACAATGTGCTATAATGAAAGTAAGTAGCTTTCCCGTTACATTTAACAACAGGAATATCCCTTTAATTCCGACCGTGTACCCGATTTATACAACGTTCCACGACTCCGGAAACACTCAAGTAGTGATAATTTTATAAAGTAACAATTTTAAATATGCTATAAGAATTGTGCCTGATAACCTAAAAGATTCAGATGGTATTCCATCTTCACCGGCAGATTTACCGGCTTTCAGATTTTGTGATGCACACTCAATCTCTTTCTCTGATATATCGCCTGATAATAGATCATCTGTAAAAGGTAACTCGTTGCAGTCTTCACATGAATGGGAATTTACAAACTGCGTTACATAACAATCAAAGGGTTAAGCTTCCAGGTTATTAATGCGGGGTAAAGTAGATCTTTAACATAAGTAAACCAGACGTCTGGTGTCAAGGGATAATTAGATACTTTGTATCGCCTTTTTAATGAATTCCAGAAACGTTTACAGTCTTCATGTTTAGCTGCCACCTTATATCATCACACAGTTTAGCATCGTTTGCATTCTTCGTTTTTCTACAGCACTTCTTGTACTCAGATTTCGCATTAAGATAAAGGCGTAAATTGACATCGAATTAATATTTTTTAAATTTGTTCAACAATCTATATGTTCTAGATGTTAGGTTAGTAGTCTATATCAAAGCAGGGCGGTTGTTGCCCGTAGTGATTGTAGCTACTGTAACATATGTCCCTGCATTTTTACCACAGTGAATTTAAATATCACGAAACTTTCCGACAGTAGTATCAATATTATCTCCAAATAAAATAGAAAATTCATTGAACATTTCCTTACTAGCACTGCTGCATAAATAGTTTTGATCACGAAGTGATCTTACCTAAAGGGAGTGTATCTAACTGTATGATTTATTTACAACCCTCAGGGTTTATGTAACAAACACAAGGAAAATATGTAAGGAAGACAACTCATTCTTCACCCTGAAAAATAGAGTATTGTTGGACTGGCCGCAAACCTCTCAAGAAAGGAGATATACCATGTTTTATACATACGGACAATCCTCCCGAAAACCTTCCGCGGGATTTATAACGTTTTGGGTTGCAACTAAAGCTATCATGGTCGTTAAATAGATTTTGCAAAATATCATGCCCATTCATTCATACACATTGTCTCCATTAAACAGAAAATGGCATAATTTTTCCAAAAGGCAGACAAATCCGAAAACAGTCAAGTCCCGATTAACGAGTATGTCGGATAAACGAAATTAGGTAGTATAAACGTTCGTGATCGAAAATTGGACAACTACACGACAGATAACGATACGAACACGTAGGAAAAGGAAAAAGGAAATTTATATTGTTGTGTTACATTGTCAGCGGAACATGTTTTCTAATCATGCAACCACTAAAGTTTAACACAAAACTACTGTTACGGACTTTATGACTGATTCAAAATTGACTGATTTTTAAAGCATAGTCTGGAATGGAAGTCGCTAATTTGAAACTAGTGCCGCAATGCTTAAAAAAAGCTTCTTTCTTAGTGGCTAATGTCGACTTCCTGTTAGTAATTTCATTGGTCGGTCAAAGTTCGCGAAAGGTCGTTCCGACGTGACCTGTAATCGGATGTCCTCAGCGGTAGCGAGAACTTGTATCCGATTTTAATGAGTGAGTGAGTGAGTTGGGTTTAACGCCGCTTCTAACAGTATTCCAGTCATATCACGGCGTGTCAGCTTAATGTGGGAGGAAAGCCCGAAGTGATGCAGGTCTCAGACGTTTACCACTTCGGTGAAACCCACGAACACGGGTATGGTGCTGACAAACCTAGAAACATAATCGGGGCGAACCGGGATTCGAACCCACAATCATAGGTTTCTGGCGTACCTAAGGGACGCAACCCTGCACAGCGAAGCACGGCGCCTTAGACGACTGGGCTACCCGTGCTCCCTCCGATTTTAATGAGAGGTAATCTAGGCATGTGATTAATCCTGTTTCGTTTATTTAAACCGTTGAAATATGCAGCTACTCGCCGACTCGTCTCGCATCAAAACACAGGGCTGTGTACAAACGACGGTTTGTAAATAATCGAGTCTGTACCAGACAATCCAGTGATTGATATCATGAGCATCGATCCACGCAATTGAGATACGATGACATGCATCAACCAAGTCAGCCAGCCTGATCACCCGATCCCGTTAGCCGCCTCTTACAAGCATAGTAGCCTTTTCCGGCAAGCATGGGTTGCTGAAGACCTATTCTAACCCGGAACTTCACAGATTACTTACTGGTAAGTAGTGATTCATCGACTAGTATCTTACAGGTGAATTGACTTGAGAGAAAAATTACCTATACTTCTATACTACACAGGGAGAGAACTAAAAATATATTTTGACCAGTTTCAATGAAACAATTTATCATCTGTAATCAGTGACTCTTAATATAATATCGATTTCAGATAAATACACTCTTGGTGGCTGATAATCAGTTTCGAAACAAGGTAGTCTTGAAAGTAACTGAAAAGCAACGTAATTACAAATGATAAATAATACTGTTTCATAAAGAAAGATGTCTTCTAAATGAAATCGCTCATGTCCCCGGTACCTCGTTCACACATGTTCAAGAAAATAAACAAGTAAAAAGCTAGGTTACCTGATGGTCTGAACATTGTTGAACGTTTCCGCACTCTGTTAACGTTAGCCTTTGTGATCCAATCACATGAAATTGATGCCGCGCTGAACTGAAACGAAGCCCACGAGAAAAGCGTGCAGCCTGAAAAATGCGTGCGATGACGACAGGCTGATTGCAGTCGGCTCTTCAGATGGCTTGTTGTTGGTTGGTTGGTTTGTTGTTTAACGCCGCACTCAGCGATATTCCAGCTATATGACGGCGGTCTGTAAATAATCAGTATCGCACGGAGAACTGGGACAGCCTGGGTCAGCGTAATCGGATATGCTGTGGAGTTTCGGTTTTGGGCTGTTTGCTGAATAGAACAAGGGCTCGCGAACAAGGGAACAATGTAGAGATTAAATCATTACCACCTCTCTTTATATCAGATATGTTATTGTGATTTGAATCTCTTTTGGAGAATTGCGAGTTATTGTATACTCTTTCGTCATGGTAGAATATATATATTCTATGTTGCTTTTTTAATTATCCACAAATAATGAGAACTACAATGTAAACCTCTCTCTGGAGATATGCAACTACTGAAGGGCATATCTGAAAAATGGGACTTATCGACTAATCTTTCTTTCTCAAATACTAACTGTTACAGGCATTCTAGTCATTATATTAGACTTTGTACTGTTTAAAAGTCACTCAGCAATATACCAGCTATATGACGGTAGTTCGTAAATAATCCAGTCTGGACCAGACAATCCAATGATTAATATCATGAGCATCGATCCGCGCAATTAGGATCGATAACATGTGTCAACCAAGTCAGGCCGATGGTGAAACATCCTCACGGAAATATATAGACACCTTGCTATACGTCTGCAGACAAAGATATCTGTATTAAACTTTTATGACTTTCCAATTAACGCTTGAAATCAATGTTCAATGGGGGTGGTCGGGTAGCTTAGTGGTTAAAGCGTTCGCTGGTCACGCCGAAGACCCGGGTTCGATTCCCGACATGTGTATAATGTGTGAAGCCAATTTCCCAAAAGCCCCCGCCGTGATATTGCTGGAATATTGCTAAAAGCGGTGTTAAACCAAACTCACTCACTCACTCACTCACTACGTTCAATGCTGATAGCATTGACCACAGCTGTAGCAGTGTTTTCATTTATGTGTGTATTTAATTATGGAGTGTTGTTATTCACTCCCACGACAGATGTACTCATAATATGATTCCTTGTAAGAATGCACTATAAAAACCGACATTAGTCCGGACTAGTACAAGCAGCAACACACACACACGCACACGCACACGCACACACACACGCATGCACAGACGCACGCATGCGCACACACACACACGTGCATACACATTATGATTGTACAGGTACAATCATCTTGAATGCGGCGTTTGACCTCAATTCACCTCACCCACCATTTAGGAATGCAAAAAATCATGTGTGAAAACAGAACATCCGTCACACTGTGAAATGTTATTCTAAACAAGGCCTGACAATGACGAAGTCATTCGTGACTTGTTTTTCCGGGACAAGCCGAATAACGACTCGTGCCCCACTCATGTCCATTTTTGCGACCGGGTTCCGTCTAAGCGCTAACGGGCATACCTAAAACAATTGTCAACTCGTTGCGTAACGGTTCATAGATAATTCCCCATATATTATATATGTTTCAGATGCAATTTAGAGCACACCGGGACCTGCGGAATTATACAGAATGATTGAGCACATTAAACTGTGTCTCGGGTATATTTTTAGATGCAAGACGCATGTAAAATCAAAAATTATTCCTGAGGGATTCTTTGACGAAGCACTTGAAGTCATACGCGCTTTCTGATTGGTTTGTCGTATTTTCGCACATAACATTCATCGATAGGGGAACGAGTCTTCTTGCAGGTTACGGAAAGGGGCGAGTGGTGACGAATGTCACGAAGTATTATACCACGAGTCCGTTGGAGAAATATACACGAATTCATGTAGCATGGTACGCTATATTATCGCAGTAGTTAGTTTATAACATGGCGAATGCTCACTAACATATTAGCTATGTCATAAGCAAAATGTTTCTTGTTCTTAATTCAACTTTTATGACACATTAGTCACGATTGATCGATGATTATTTTCTTACCGAGTTCGGTAAACTAAGTACCTGTCATTGGCGACTCAAGGGCGGGCAACTCCATATCATCGCCGTATCACTATTTTGTCAGTGATACGTGTGGACTATGCGGTTTTCACCCCTTCCTGGTTTGGATTATGCATAATGATATAAAGTAAAAATACATCCCTATAACCTTTAAAAAGTATAAGAAAGTCAACCTTTAAATTATTATAGTATATTATATTTTTATAGTTTTAAAAACGACGGAGCCAGAAAGCCGAAGCAGGGCATCAAAAGGGCGATGACAGTGACAGGCTATTTCGGGATAGGTTCGGAGGTGTTAATCAATAGGCATCTTTAATCGGTTAGTAGGTTCCGGTAATTTGCTGATCACAACACAAACACGAGTTCATGGTCTGATATTGTTCTCAACCAATCAAAATGATCTATGAGGACATGTGACAAAGACCGGCCAGACCCGAACACTTTACAATGATACCATCAACATTAGGAGAGGAGAGCCCGGTTTGCAGCCGATCGTTCTGAGTTCCCAACTTAGTGACGAGCCTGGCCGGTCTGATGCTGTCGTGTATTGATAAATGACTGAGAGTAAGTAAAACTAATGTGATTATAAAACTGGTGTCGGTTTCTTTATTATGCGAGTATAAATGCTGATGGAGACAATTCGGAGTAAGCGTCGATAGACCAATCACTCCTTGCCTGAGATGAGCCGAGGCTGACAAGGCGAGATACAAAGTCATAGCGAACTGACCATGACGACAATGCGTTCAGGTAACTGTAGTAACGTCCAACTTGAGGATCTCGCCTCTTACGACAAGCATGGGTTGCTGGAGGCTTTTTCTAGCCCGGATGTTCACGGGTATAAAGACTGTAGGAAATATCGGTGATGGAAATTTAAGTAAACTGCATATAAAACTGTATATGATTTCACTATTCGTAAAAAGATTTCCAGGTAGAATAGCCAGTAACACATCAAAGATTATTGTCAATCATTTAGAGAGAGATTTTTTTTCAATTCAATAACCTTTTTAGCACATATTAATTTCTTGCAAGAATGTATTTTTAATTAATTGAGGAATTTCACAAGAATATGACTAGAACGAGCAGAAAAAAGCCACATCTAAACAAATGATGGAGATGAATTCTACTTTCAATAAACCATCAGAATGTTTAATTTGATAGGTTTAGGGGACGATTCCCACACGCAAAATAGACTTGCCTTTACATGTGTTTGTGATAGTGATTCATCAACACATGCTCATGTTATAGTCGGAATAGCAGAGATTTCTAATGGATATGGAAAGGCTTGCTTTATATATATATATATATATATATATATATATATATATATATATATACATATACATACATATATATATATATATATATATATATATATATATATATATATATATATATATATATATATATATATATATATATATATATATATATTCTATACTTATTCTTACCCGGAATTATTAATGTAAGTGATAACAGAGGATTCAAGCAGAAAACTAATTGATCTAATTAAACATCCTCACTGTGATCCTGTTCCGCTATGTTGCCAATATCTGAATCACAAACTGACCCGTGCAGACCCGGGGTGAATAGGTCTTCAGCAACCCATGCTTGTTGTAAAAGGCGACTATGCTTGTCGTAAGTGGCGACTAACGGGATCGGGTGGTCAGGCTCGCATGGTTGAAGCATGTTATCGATCCCAATTGCTTGGATCGATGCTCATGATATCAATCACTGGATTGTCTGGTCCAGACTCGATTATTTACAGACCGACGTCATATAACTTGAATATTTCTGAGTGCGGCGTAAAACAACCAACCAACCAACCATCACAAACTGTGTGTACTGGTTGGTTTGCAGCCAACGTGACCTCTCAATTGAAGGTCTCAGAGACCGATCATTCGACATTATTTTTTTATGTTAAATATTGGAAAAAAATAAGCTTGCCTCAGGTTCACCTAAATGCTTCTACACACGCACAATCATACACGCACTTCAGCCTCGATGCCCAGTATAATACCCGTGCCCGTAGGTCTCTAACTTGGAGGCGACTAACGGGATCGGGTGGTCAGGCCCGCTGACTTGGTTGATGTATGTCATCGTAATTGCGTAGATAGATGTTCATGATATCAATCACTTGATTGTCTGGTCCAGACTCGATTATTTACAAACCGCCGTCATATAGCTGGAATATTGCTGAGTGCGGCGTCAAACATCAAACTGGACAACATACATGACCTGGATCAATTTTGACGTTCCTCCGACATTAAGCTGAAATATAACTGAAAAACTGTTCAAAGAGGCGTTATAAGATCTCCTTACTGAATCCGTACTGAGTCTAGAAATATGTTTCATCCGAGAGGCAAGATGACGGGAGCATCAGTCACTGAGGAGCGTAAAATAACTGAGAAATGTGGATTTTTTGGGAGGGAGAGGAGGGCACCTGTTAGGAAATCAGACAACATTCCGCTTACCTACATTGTCTGACACGAAGTCAGAAGCAGTATCAGTTTGACTTATATCGTGTGCAGGTGACCGTTCTCCTTGCCCTTGATCTGTTGATCTGTCTGAACACATTACACAAGTTATTCATAAGGGCCGTGACGCGAACTTAGATCAAGAATACCCACCTCCGAAACATTCCATCACTGCTACCTTTGTGGATGGGAACAGTTGATTGTTTTTTAAAACTTTACAGGTGACCCAGTCCTGGGTTAGAATTATAGTTCTTTGTTTGTCAGCACCGTGATTGTTGGTTTCACCAACGACCTGCATCACTTAGGACTTCCTTCCACATTAAGCTGACACGCCATGTTAGATATTAAATAGTTCTTAAAGCGGCGTTAAATCCAACGCGCGCACGCACGCACGCACACACACACACACACACACACACACACACACACACACACACACTGATTAAAATTATATTATTTGGTTTTTGGTACATGTATAAGTGCTGTTGGTAGAATACATTGAAAGTATCTTTTAAGTAATAATAAAAAGCAGTACACAATTCTCTTTACAAAAAAAATAATTTTATCTTTGTTCTTATTAGATTATGTTTAGTCTTGAATAACAACATGATTTATAGCCCTGGAAATGTCAAACCCTAATTCATAATTAATAATATATATTTAATAAAATAAAAACATTACGTTTAGGAAATCAATAGAAAAGGTACAATAGTAAATAGTCAAAAAAGTAATTTTAGAGGTTTCTGAAATATTTCTTATTGATGCCGTTGAATAAATGAATCTAGACTCACAATATGCAGTCCGTTTTAGTATTTGTTTTGTATGTAACTGTAAACAACTCTCCCTTTTCTGTTTGTTAGTGGTCCAATTTAAGGTACGATCTCCTTCAATACACGTGTGTCTGGACATGCAAAACATTCAGAATGAAAGGCGCGTGCGTGCGTTTTGTTATTGAAAAAACCCCCAGAGAATTGTGGCTCATCAGCGCCCCAGTAGCCTCGTGGTACACTCACAAGGTTGCAAACACAAAGGTTGCAGGTGCCATGTCATTGAAATATAGTGAGTGAGTGAGTGAGTTTTACGCCGCTTTTAGCAATATTCCAGCAATATCGCGGCAGGGGACAGCATGCTTCACACATTGTACCCATGTGGGAAATTGATCCCGGGTCATTGACGTGATGAGCGAACGCTTTGACCACAAGGCTTCCTTTCCATATTCAATGATGGAGGGAATTGTATTGAAGGCAAATATATCCTCTCAGACATCAGTCGTACCTAATTTGAATAAGAAAAAACAAAAACAGTTATTTCATCCTAAATAAACATCATCTTTACGATTTGAAGTTCTGCTTTTCCTCTTTCGCCAAATGTTCCCGACGTCCTGTCCTTAAATTATTTATGTTAGAAACAACATGGAAATTTAAGCAGATTACTAATTAAACGCTGTCGAAACTAACTCCTTACTGTGATCCGTTCCACAACTGTGATCCTGTTCCACTATGTTGGCCAACGTGACCTTTCCACGTATGGAGAACGATCTTTCGATTAAATTTGTTCCTACAATAATAATGGGGGAAAACTTGTGTCAAGTTGACTTTGTTCATCAATATGCCCGTATGTGTGTAGACGGAACCAAATTGATAAGAGCAGCCACAAAAGGAGCACTCGGTTTGAGTGCGCACGTGTGTGTGTGTGTGTGTGTGTGTGTGTGTGTGTGTGTGAGAGAGAGAGAGAGAGAGAGAGAGAGATAGAGAGAGAGAAAGAGAGAGTATTTATGTGTGTGTGAATGTGTGTGAGTATGTGTGTGTGTCCTGTCACATTGTCACAGCCTCACACAGTCCTGTAAAATTGCCACAGCCTCAAACTGTAACATTAACACAACCTCAAACTGTAACATTGACACAGCCACACACTGTCCTGTAACATTGCCACAACATCACACTGTTCTGTAACGTTTCCATATGCCACACTGTAACATTGCCACAGCCACACACTGTAACATTGCCACAGCCTCGCACTGTAACATTCACAGAGCCACACACTGCCCTGTAACGTTGCCACAGCCACACACTGTCCTGTAACATTGCCACAGCTACACACTGTCCAGTAACATTTCCATAGACTCACACTGTAAAAATGCCACAGCAACTCACTGTAACATTGCCACAGCCACACTCTGTCCTGTAACATTGCCACAACCTCAAACTGTTCTGTAACATTGACATAGCAACACACTGTCCAGTGACATTGCCACAGCCACACATTGTAACATTGACACAGCCTCAAACTGTTACATTGACACAGCTACACACTGTCCTGTAACATTGCCACAGCCACACACTGTTCTGTAACATTTCCATAGCCTCACACTGTAACATTGCCACAGCTACACACTGTAACTTTGACACAGCCGCACACTGTAACATTGACAGCCTCACACTGTCCTGTAACATTGACACAGCCACATCCTGTAACATTGCCACAGCCACACACTGTAACATTGACACAGCAACACACTGTAACATTGCCACAGCCTCACACTGTCATGTAACATTGACACAGCCACATCCTGTAATATTGCCACAGCCAAACACTGTAACATTTTCACAGCCTCACACTGTAACATTGACACAGCAACACACTGTAACATTGACACAGCCTCACACTGTAACATTGACACAGCCTCACACTGTAACATTGACACAGCCACATCCTGTAACATTGACACAGCAACACACTGTAACATTGACACAGCCTCACACTGTAACATTGACACAGCCACACACTGTAACATTGACACAGCCTCACACTGTAACATTGACACAGCCACACACTGTAACATTGACAAAGCAACACACTGTTACATTGACACAGCCTCACACTGTAACATTGACACAGCCTCACACTGTAACATTGACACAGCCAAACACTGTCACATTGACACAGCCTCACACTGTAACATTGACACAGCCTCACACTGTAACATTGACACAGCCTCACACTGTAACACTGACACAGCAACACACTGTAACATTGACACAGCCTCACACTGTAACATTGACACAGCCTCACACTGTAACATTGACACAGCCACATCCTGTAACATTGACACAGCAACACACTGTAACATTGACACAGCCTCACACTGTAACATTGACACAGCCTCACACTGTAACATTGACACAGCCAAACACTGTCACATTGACACAGCCTCACACTGTAACATTGACACAGCAACACACTGTAACATTGACACAGCCTCACACTGTAACATTGACACAGCCTCACACTGTAACATTGACACAGCCTCACACTGTCCTGTAACATTGACACAGCCACACACTGTAACATTGCCACAGCCAAACACTGTCACATTACCACAGCCACACACTGTAACATTGACAAAGCAACACACTGTTACATTGACACAGCCACACACTGTAACATTACCACAGCCACACACTGTAACATGTAACACAGCAACACACTGTAACATTGACACAGCCACACACTGTAACATTGACACAGCCACACACTGTAACATTTACACAGCCACACACTGTAATATTGCCACAGCCACACACTGTAACATTGACACAGCCTCACACTGTAACATTGCCACAGCCTCACACTGTAAGATTGCCACAGCCACACACTGTAACCTTGCCTCAACTACGCACTGTAACATTGCCACATGCTGTCCTGTAAGATTGTCAATTCTTCGCAGGTTCCATGCAGAACGATAAACATATAGAGCGTCAGCATCTGTGAGAGAGTGAATATTGTTCTACGCATCACTCAGCAGTATTCCAGCAGCATAACGTCCACCTGTGAAACGCGAGTCTTGGCCAGGCAAACGACTGGTTCCCGTCATGTCACACAACCAAGCAAGTCATCGAGCCTAATCACCTGATCCATCTTAGTCGCATCCTACGACCAGAGACAGAGTGCTTGGGACATATGTAACAGGTTTAATAATTAAAAAGATTATTCCTATGTATATGTAATATACGTCATTCTGATAAAACTTTTTCATTCTCGTCTCCTTCTTCTTCTTGAGTGGAGTGGGTGATGAATAGGGTGTGTTTCTTTAGGATTTTATCGAAAATAATTAATTGTGTTCATGACAATTCATATTGGACAAAAGAAAGAAATAGTTTTCCACAAAAATTACATTGTTGCAATGTGTTGTTCATAAAAAAAATATTGGCTCACAGTCTTAATAAACAAATATCTGGTTTTGCAGCCGTAACTGAAAACAGCTGTAAGCTGGTCTCAATACAAACTCCCAGCCCCAAAGCCAGAATATTAAATGGATGGTCCCTAAACTCTCATTCATATGAACACATCCAGTAACTTTCCTAACAATTTCTAAGCGTTTTGCTTTTCAGAGAGAATAATGAAGTCCGCTCTGGTATAAGGATGCAATGCGTGACATTTGATGTTCGTTATAACCCGATTGTGTGGTTTGGTCATTGTGCTTATTCTATCAACCACTTGTTTTTAAGGACTGTTATTGACAAGGTAACATAACAATCACTGGAGTACTTTTCAACCTGTTTTCACGAATACGCCTTTCAGCTGTTACTAGATCCTCCTCCTGCTGCCATCTGCAACATTGTCCGAATGACTACACAATACAACGTTAACGACTACTGTAAAACTACAACTAGATTTCTGTCGCCAGCGAATTTATTTCAAGGTTATTTCACGTTAGGCAGATCTCACGCAATTTCTATGAAGTTCACACACGTACGCTCGCACGCACGCACGCACGCACGCACGCACGAACGCACGAACACACACACACACTCGCAAAAATCCTTCGAACATGCATCATTGACATCTTCTGGGACGTCATTTGTTACAGTTCATGTGACGTTGCTTTGACGTTCCAATGTTACATTTTTCCAATGTTACAGTTTTCCAATTGTGACGTCCTAATGTGACAGTTTTCCAATTGTGACGTCGAATAGTTATGAAATGTTGTTCTTTAATTTTAGTCATTGTAACATCATTAGTATGTAGTTGGTGAAAGGGGAATATCTTAAACTTGATGTCTTTCCCAGCTGCGCATGTATCAAGGTGGGTGGCGAGAGCGTTACAAATGGTTCTGGGATCTTGTGTTTGCGGAATGTGTACACGGTCTCTCTCTGTTCTTCTGTCTTATATCCTGATATAAAGTTAGACCTCTGTAAAATTAGACCTCTATGACCTCAATATGAACACCATTGGAAGATCTGTAACGTAGTGTCACGTTTCACTGAAATATATGTATGTGTATATATGTTTATGTGTATATTCTCCAAAAATGGACTTACAGCACGTCATTAGTCGATTTCATTTCAATGTAAACGGACACATGAAATCTTCATTTCATCTACAGCATTAAATGTCCTATGCATAAGGAACCTTCAGTTTTTATCGCACAAAAACAGGCCAAGCTAATCCTCACGTGTTTTAGTATTTATGTACAAATGACCTTTAAACATCGGTGAGATAATATTGCCTTATGCTATGCATATCAAAGAGGCATTGCCCGGACCAGCACAATCCCCGTAGGGTTGACAGTCACATTGAACTGACCGCTCGGCTTGTACATGCCCATACTGACGTCATCAAAAACGTTAGTAACGTTATAGCCATTCTGATTGGCCAATGTGATGTCCGCTAGGGTCAAGGACATGCGTGTTGGTGTTCCAGCTGAGTTCGGGTTGAAGAAAGCTACTGCATAACTTCCGGGTTTGACCAAAGGTTTCAGCCAGACCTGCACGTTTTGAATCTGCATTGGACAGAGAAAATACATTCGTGAAAACAGAACTATGCACATGTAGACACCGACATAGACACCGACACAAGCAGACAAAGACACCGATACAGACACATACAGACACAGACAGACAAAGACACCTCCCCCTCCCCCCCCCCCCCCCCCCCCCCCCCCACACACACCGACACCAACACTCACACACACGACACCAACACACACACACACACATACCGACACCAACACACACCGACACCAACACACACACACACACCGACACCAACACACACACATACCGACACCAACACACACACACACACCAACACACACACATACCGACACAATCTTTTCAGTCGTTCAATCGTTCAATCGTTCAATCTTTCAATCCATTCAATCTTTTAATCTATTCAATCTGTCTGTCCATTCAATCCATTCAATCTATTCAAACCTGGAATTACAGCTTTATGATGTTGGCTATATTGATCCCCACATCATACAAACTATCGCAGACTTCACACCAAAAAGCTATCCAATTGCAATTCGATTGCAATCAAATGCAACCCGTATTCCTGGGGAAAGGGGTCATTCGGCTGGGACCGCGGCCGGCAAAGCAACAATCCACATTGAAACTAGTTTCGTTCACGTGACAATCTCATGGCACAACACAAGATGGCGGCAGACGAGATCATAGTTGGTTCCGTTTGTTTTCATATCAAATAGTGTATTCCTCATTTCTGGTCAGCAGAGAATAAAACCGGACGTCATGTTGGACGAATTATTTGCGGCGGGGTCTGACGTTAAACGGTTTACGGTAATTCATGGCATGACCAGTGCATTGCTACTCGAGCTATGAGTTCGGTAACAGAATAAACCGAGTCTTGATTGAAAATGGGGTAATGTGACTGAAACTTCACACATAGACAGTATGGAATGTACCTTCATTCTGTGTAATTTTCAAGCTTGGAATCGTTCTTCCAGTGATATGTGTAGTAAAATCGTTTAATCGTTCAATCGTTCAATTTTCCAATCTATTCAATTTGTTCAATCTTTCAATCTATTCAATATTTCAACCTGTTCACTATTTCAATCAATTCAATCTTTCAATCTTTCAATCTTTCAATCTGTTCAATCTGTTCAATCTGTTCAATCTTTCGATCTCTTCAAACTTTCAATCTATTCAATCTGTTCAATCTTTCAATCTGTTGAATCTTTCAATATATTCAATTGTTCAATCGATTCAATTGTACAATCTATTCAATCTTTCAATCTGTTTAATCTTTCTATTTGTCCAATCTTTCAATCGTTGAATGGTTCAATCTTTCAATCAGATCAATCTTTCAATCTGTTCAATCTTTCAATCTGTTCAATCTTTCAATCAGATCAATCTTTCAATCAGTTCAATCTTTCAATCAGTTCAATATTTCAAAAGAGACAAGGGGTTCGTTTGGAGTTCCTCTCACCTCCTTTATCATCTTAGCTCCCTTTACGAGTGGGTCCTGGTTGATGGCAATGACGCCCTTGTTCTGTAGAATGGACTTGGCCTGTGGTCTCATGGTCCTCAGATCTGCGGATATGTAGAGTGGGGCGGCAAACATCGCCCACATCCCGAAATGAACCTTCTCCTGGTCATAACTCAGACTGAAGTCCCCGATAATCAGCTGAAACACGACAGGTCGTCAGGCAAAATATGACAGTTCATGATGCGCGTTTCCAGGCCAAATGAAACCGAATCCTCTTGCTCTCATTATACCTACGTGTATGAGCGAGAGGAGAGCGAGAGAGGAGAGAGAGACAGGTGAGAGTGTGAGAGAGAGGAGAGCGAGAAAGTAGAGCGAGAGAGGAGAGCGAGACATGTGATAGTGAGAGAGAGAGAGGGGAGAGCGAGAGGGGGAGAGAGAGACAAGTTAGAGTATGAGAGAGAGAGACGTGAGAGTGTGAGAGAGATAAGTGCGAGAAAGGAGAGCGAGGGAGGAGAGAGAGACAGGTGAGATTGTGAGAGAGAGAAGAGCGTGAAAGTAGAGCGAGAGAGGAGAGAGAGACAGGTGAGAGTATGAGAGAGAGAAGAGAGAGAGGAGAGAGAGACAGGTGAGAGTATGAGAGAGAGACAGGTGAGAGTGTGAGAGAAAGGAGAGCGAGAAAGGAGAGCGAGGGGGAGAGAGAGACAGGTGAGAGTATGAGAGAGAGAAGAGAGAGAGGAGAGAGAGACAGGTGAGAGTATGAGAGTGAGAGACAGGTGAGAGTGCGAGAGAAGAGAGCGCGACAGGTGAGAGTTTGAGAGAGAGACAGATGAGAGTGAGAGAGAGGAGAGCGAGAGAGGAGAGAGAGACAGGTGATAGTATGAGAGAAAGAGAGAAGAGAGAGACAGTGAGAGTATGAGACAGAGAGACAGGTGAAAGTGTTAGAGAGAGGAGAGCGAGAAAGGAGAGCGAAAGAGGAGAGAGAGACAGCTGAGAGTTTGAGAGAGAGACAGGTGAGATTGTGAGAGAGAGGAGAGCGAAAGAGAAAGACAGGTGAGAGTGTTAGAGAGAGGAGAGCGAGAGAGGGGAGATAGACAGGTGAGAGACAGGTGAGAGTTTGAGAGAGAGGAGGGCAAGAGAAGAGAGAGAGACAGGTGAGAGTATGAGAGAGAGGAGAGTGAGAGACAGTTGACAGTATGAGAGAGAGGAGAGAGAAACAGGTGAGAGTATGAGAGAGTGAGGAGAGTGAGAGACAGGTGAGAGTATGGGAGAGAGGAGAACGAGTGAGAGAGACAGGTTAGAGCGTGAGAGAGGGACAGGTGAGAGTGTGAGAGATAAAGGAGAGCGAGAAAGGAGAGCGAGAGAGGAGAGAGAGAAGGTGAGAGTGTGAGAGAGAGGAGAGCAAGAAAGGAGAGCGAGAGAGGAGAGAGAGACAGGTGAGAGTATGAGAGAGAGGAGAGAGAGACAGGTGAGAATATGAGAGAGAGGAGAGTGAGAGACAGGTGAGAGTATGAGAGAGAGGAGAGAGAGACAGGTGAGAATATGAGAGAGAGGAGAGTGAGAGACAGGTGAGAGTATGAGAGAGAGGAAAGCGAGTGAGAGAGACAGGTGAGAGTGTCAGAGAGAGGAGAGCGAGAGAGAGAGAGACAGGTGAGAGTGTGAGTGAGGAGAGCGAGAGAGGAGAGCAACAGAGGAGAGAGACAGGTGAGAGTGTGAGGAGAGGAGAGAGAGAAGTGAGAGTGTGAGAGGAGGAGAGCGAGAGAGTAGAGTGAGAGAGAGAGACAGACAGACTAAGAGAGAGACAGAGACACAGAGAGAGAGAGAGAGAGAGAGAGGGAGAGAGTAAACCTAACGGAGAGCGAAAAACAGTGATTTCGTCATAGGGAAACGAGAGAGAGGGCATGAAACAGAAACGCGACGTGGGAAGAGAGACAACGATAACGTGAGACATAAAGGAAGAGTGTGGGAAGGAGTGGGAATATACAGATATATACGAGAGGTGAGGAGAGTAAGACCAACAGTATCGAAAGGGGGACTGGGGGCGAGAGAGAGAAAAAACATGAGCGACATGGACGATTAAAGGTGAAAACACGTTTAGATAAAAAAAAAAGGGTTTTAATCAGACATAGGTAAAATGACAAGGGATAAGATGGTATTACGCTGTCAATTAATGCATGTTCTCCCCCATTACCTCATCTGGATCGTTGATGGACCCTGGACCTGATACTGAGATGAAATCCCCGGCGTTTTTGGCATAGTGTTGGATCACGCCGAGGACGGAGGGCCAGCTGTCCTCTAAGTCGTTGAAGGTCCTCCAGCTGTTGCAGTACTCGCTGTTGCGGGTGTAGTGGGAGTGCTGGAAAAACGCACGTACCATTAACAATTTTTGAAGTCAACTAGTTTAGGATATTGCAATACAGCACAAAAAAACATTACTGATGAACGGTGAATTGGGTTGTTGTGTTAGGAAAGCCCGAAGTGACGCAGGTCTAAAACATTTAAAACTTTAGAGAAACCCACGAGCACGGGGGTGATGCTTAAAAACCAAGGAGTATAATCAGGGCGAACTGGGATTCGAAACCACTATATTGTGGAACAGAATTTGATGTTTATTATAGTAATGGATAACAAGTTATTTCCAAATGGTGGTAGAATTTGCAGATATGGTTATATGGCAGTGTAATTTATTGTTGAACAATGTTGCAATTATATCACAATAATTTTTTAATTTGAAGTTGAGAGTCAGAAGAAGCTCATAGCATTGTCTTTTGATAATAGTTAGTTGTCAGGAATGTTATACACTCTAACGTATGCAGTGGTGTGGAAGTTACTATATTTAGATGCTTTTTGGAGTCGAGTGTAATCTGGAATCTTTTTCACCCTAGACATCCAGCTTAGGCTATTTTGGAAGCTTGACCACTGTTGCTGCTAGGTGAATATTACTACCACTGCTATCATATGCTACACTGCAATTGTATTTGTACTGCCATTACATTGTGTACTGTCACTGTATTGTGTACATCCTTTGTAGCAATTTGTATAGACTTGTAAACCTAGTTCATTTAACGTGTATAAGGGTTAGTTTAATTTTGACTGAAGGAGAGCGCCATTTTGGTTCTTCTAAAACAATTTGGGTTTTTAAAATGAAATGAGAGTGACTTAATCTGGACATGTTTTAATCAATCGCCTGTCACATTCTGAGACTTATTCAAGTTTCTTAATGTAGATAATCCATGGAATTTGTATCTCTTTTATCTATTAAGCGTAGAATAGAGCTTTATCACGCACAGGCCTTGCAAAGCTGTGCATCGTCTCTTATTCAAGTTGTATCCCTGAGAGTGAGTGATTATCCTCCTCAATGGCGCTATTGACACTACCTTTGCAATGTATCGTATGTTATTCAATCAGCTAGAGAGAAAGGTTCCAGGAGGAATTCAGGTCAATCATGTAACGCTCACTCAATCTTTCTCCCTTCACACTGCTATTGCAACTTATTGTTCAACACGATTTAATACCAGACCTCTAATCAATAAACAACACATAGTTGTCTTCATAATCACATGTATGGTGCTTGCTGTGCATAGTTTAGCACAGTATTGTAGTTCACTGTATGTAATGTTTGATTCATACCGTTTCGTGCGGTGGTTGACGGTTTGCGCTGCAGCAATCTCTACTTGTAATATATATACCTGGGTCTGGTCTCCACTCCACCATTCGCACGTGTAGAGGATAGGTCGGCCAGTCGCGTTCAGACTTTGACTCATTAAGGGGAAATCTAAAACATACAATGTCCTACATAAGACTTAAGGAATACTCCTGGTCATTTTTGCAAAGTACTCTCCTCCTGAAAATACCCAAAGAAAGCATATTCAGACAGCATTGAATTGTCATGGAGCAGGCCAAATGTATGAAATCGTAAAAACAGTAGGATACACACTCGACGGTGACTATTTCTTTTTTTTATCAGTATTAAGCTGTGATGAAGAAGTAATTTTAGTTCGAAACTAACGAGGCCAACATGTTTCAACAATTATATATGACGTCACAATTCATATTTATATTACGTCAACAATGTTGTTTGTATTACGCCAAAGTGTACAACGTCTTAGACGTGGATCACATCGGGCTGTCCACCGACATTAAACTGACCTGCCATTATATAACAGAAATATTGTCCAAAGCGGTGTTAAACCAAAATCACTCAACCTTGAGTGAGTGAGTGAGTATGGTTTTACGTGGCTTTTAGCAATATTCCAGCAATATCACTGCGGGGGAAACCAGCACTCGCCTTTGAATCACTTAGATCGACACACTAGGTTACATGTGTTAGGTACGTGATGTGTATTTTCGCATCACAAGACACAACGCATGACCTGTCCATACTTTCTATAATAGATAAGATGAAGAATGAATAAAACGTCTATTCGAGGCTGGTAAAAGTAATATCTTACGTATTGCCGAGCGGTTCGGGTCTGTGTTACAGCCATCAAACTTGAGTAAATCTAGTTCCCATTTTGCAAATGTCTCGGCGTCTTGCTTAATGTAGTCCTGACTCCCAGGGTACCCTGCGCAGGTCTTGGTACCAACGTCTTCATAGATACCCAGTTTTAGCCCACGGGAATGGACCTGTGAAGAGAATCTTGTCGCCTTCAACAGTTGTGTAGCTTTATGTTATTTGCAATGCTTCGGCAACATGATAAGTCCATTATCAATGCTCATTTATGCTTATCAATGCCATAATTATTAGAACGCTCCAAAGATTGATAAAGCCCTCTTCTTACTTTTTATACGATCATTGGTGGATCATTCAAGTAGATCTTGAACATGGTGTGAAATGTATTTGCAATGTATTTTTTATCATGAATTATTTTCTTACATATTCAGAGAGACCTAGGATTCCATTAGGGAACCTCTCTGGATCTGCCACGAGGTTACCATCAGCGTCCCGGGATTTGGAGGGCCAGCAGTCGTCGATGCCGATGTATTCGTAGCCGAGCTCGCGGTAACCCTCCTCCGCAATAATGTCTGCCATCTTCATGAACAACTTCTCGCTGAAATTAAGTATGTTGCGGTGATAAGTTGTGTTGGAGCACACGTAAGAATGACTAAACACAACCTTCGACCTGTCAACCTTTCCAAACGCCCCAAGCCACACTGACACATCTACCACCCTGAACCCCGAAAAAACAAAGAGAAATTTCTCACCTCGCATCTCCTAAAGCACAACCCTAAAGCCCGAAACACAAAACCCCAGTCATTTGAATTATTTTCTTGGCCCACAATGCTTCACAAATTGTTGCAAAACAATCCAACAAATTCGCGTTTTCTTCACATCTTTTGTTGACTGAGATTTACAAATATATGTACAAACACAGTCCTGTTTAAGAACGGACATAGAAGTGTTAAATAGGAAACTGATGACGATTGATGCATCATGTGCCCTTGTCTAGTGATATCTTGGCTTGATTATCCTAATAAAAACACTTCTTTTCACTTCCTGCTATGCCTAATTTCAGGTTCTGACGTTTGTCTTATGACACGCTTTGAGCATGTACCATCGCATGGTATGGGCGCTTCAGTAACGTGCATATATATACATTATCATGTCATGAGTAACGCATCTTTGACCAGAACTTCATGATATCATCCCGGGTCACCTGTCTGAGGGAAGCCCACAGTGTCGCAGACGGTACCCGTTTGCCGCTACGTTGGAGTCCGCGATCATGGTTGTTTGCAACTAAGGTGAAACCCACGATCATGGTTGTTTGTCACCACGGTGAAACCCACGATCATGGTCGCTTGTCACCACGGTGAAACCCACGATCATGGTCGTTTGTCACCACGGTGAAACTCACGATCATGGTCGTTTGTCACCACGGTGAAACCCACGATCATGGTCGTTTGTCACCACGGTGAAACCCACGATCATTGTCGTTTGTCACCACGGTGAAACCCACGATCATGGTCGTTTGTCACCACGGTGAAACCCACGATCATGGTCGTTTGTCACCACGGTGAAACTCACGATCATGGTCGTTTGTCACCACGGTGAAACCCACGATCATGGTCGTTTGTCACCACGATGAAACCCACGATCATTGTCGTTTGTCACTACGGTGAAACCCACGATCATGGTCGTTTGTCACCACGGTGAAACCCACGATCATGGTCGTTTGTCACTATGGTGAAACCCACGATCATGGTTGTTTGTCACTACGGAGGAACCCGCGATCATAGTTGTTTGTCACTACGGTGGAACCCGCGATCACGGTTGTTTGTCACTATGGTGGAAGCCACGATCATGGCCGTTTGTCACTATGGTGGAACCCACGATCATGGTCTTTTGTCACTATGGTGGAACCCACGATCATGGTTGTTTGTCACTGTGGTGGAACCCACGATCATGGTCGTTTGTCACTATGGTGGAACCCACGATCACGGTTGTTTGTCACTACAGTGGAACCCGCGATCATGGTTGTTTGCACCTACTCTGGAACCCGCGATCATAGTTATGCTGACTGACCAAGCGTCATAAGCAGAAAAGGATCTACGATGCATCATGTATCCAGGAAATTATAAAAGAACACAGCAAACTTGATAATTTATGAAAGGAATACCAGGAAAAAACTCATAGTTGAAAAAATATTCTATCCCAAAGATAAATCCCAAGGACTGGTCGTAAGCCAGGACACTTTGTAGTGTTTGTTGTCAAAATGATTCTGACGAATGCCGGAACTCACTATATATAAATACACAAACCATGACCTTGAAGGTCCATGAAGATAAACCAGATGACTATACAGCGCTACATGAATGCTGTGAACATAATCTGTGACAGGTGATAAAAGGCCATGATAAACCACGCCACCCATCTGCTTAGACGTATTCCTTTTTGGAATCGTCCGTCCCTGCAAAATTATCGTCCAGTCAGTTTTTATAGCTTTTTCTGTTAATTATTCACACATATTTTAGGGTCTGAAATAAATACTTTTTTGGAACATTCAACAGCACAAGCAGGTTTAGACTTAAATGTTCTACTACCGCTCATACATTGACAATCCACAGTTTAATCGAGTTGTTCAAAGTAATAAAAATAGAAAGTGTTTTGAAGATTGATAGATTTTAAAAAGGCTTTGATAGTTTATGGAGAATTGGTCTTTGGTGTATCCCTTAAGATGCTTTTCCTTAAGACATCTTGACATTGTTTGCCAATAGATACTGGAAGATCGAATAAAACTCACTGGCATTGAAGATGGATTCCACTATATTTATAAATGCAAATATTTCGATGAACAAGGCGAAAAATGCAATTCCAAAATGAGTGAGTGGAGTGAGTATGGTTTTACGCCGCTTTTAGCAATATTCCAGCAATATCACGGCGGGGGACACCAGAAATGGGCTTTACACATTGTATCCATGTCGGGAATCGAACCCGGGTCTTCGGCGTGACGAGCGAACGCTTTAACCACTAGGCTACCCGACCGCCCCAATTCCAAAATGATGTTCATAATGATCAAATATGTTACAATTTCAGCAATCATTTAACTGCCATTAGATATCTAGTCAAAAGAAATTATGTAAATATGTCTTAAAAAACCTCTCGATTAACCCCTTTCCGCCTCTATAATACTGTTTGTACCTTGTATGCTGATGTACTCCGCCAGAGAGAAATGTTTTGTTCTGTCAGAAGTGACATTCTGTTCTATTCCGTCCTGTTACTGCAAACATTTCTCATTTACGACATCTCTGCAGAACTTCAGTTTAGGTTACGTTAAGGAATCATGTATGCCTTGCCATATGCCCCATCCCCCCCCCCCCCCCCCCCCGAAACTTTGCATACCTGCTTCAACGAACGTTTACCCCAATATTTCGTTAATATATTTAGCATTTGAAATTCAATTTATAAGGTTTCAAAGGTCTCCTCAGTAACCACAAGGAACGTTGATCCAGTTTCAGGTATCTTGTTACAAAACATACCTGATACAGTTATCCGGGTCATTGACGCAGTCCGTGTTACACCGAAACCTCTCCCAGTCCAGGAAACCCATGGGCGGGGTCAGGGCGACGCCATTGTTCAAAGCCTGGGACACCCCAACGCAAGCCAGCAACACCAGTAGACCAAGATCTGCCATCTCCACTAGTCGTAAGAATGGGTCAGCTGTTTTATGGACTAACTACCAATGCCCGTTATTTATAACCTATGGAAACTTCACAGATAAGCATATCAGGAGAGATAGGATAACACACGTTGTCCCGGTATAAGGTCGTTTGATATTCTGGTAAATCCTATTATCTCTAGAAGAGAATTCGGTCTCATAAAGGTTGTGTAAAATAGGCCTATCAACAATAGCCATGCAGCACAAGTAGTCCCGAGTGTGATTAACTCCGTATTTGTTTGAATTTTTTTAAAATTTCCATAAGACATACCGCCCTTACATCATTGTCATCAAATGAAAGCGTCGTGCATCTGGTCTTGAAACTTGCAGGGCGTGGAAAGTACGGTAAGGTTCATCTGGCGTTATTACGTTTATACATCAATGATGGGGCTTGAAAAGTATGTTAAACTTAATCTGTCCTTATAACGTGCACATATCCTTTTCATATCGTGGAAAGTACGTTAAGGTTCATCTGGCGTTATTACGTTTATACATCATTGTTGGGGCTTGAAAAGTATCTTAAACTTAATCTGTCCTTATAACGTGCACATATCCTTTTCATAGCGTGGAAAGTACGTTAAGGTTCATCTGGCGTTATTACGTTAAAACATCATTGTTGGGGCTTGAAAAGTATGTTAAACTTAATCTGTCCTTATAACGTGCACATATCCTTTTCATAGCGTGGAAAGTACGTTAAGGTTCATCTGGCGTTATTACGTTTATACATCAGTGCTGGGGCTTGAAAAGTATGTTAAACTTAATCTGTCCTTATAACGTGCACATATCCTTTTCATAGCGTGGAAAGTACGTTAAGGTTCATCTGGCGTTATTACGTTTATACATCAGTGTTGGGGCTTGAAAAGTATGTTAAACTTAATCTGTCCATATAACGTGCACATATCCTTTTCATAGCGTGGAAAGAACGTTAAGGTTCATCTGGCGTTATTACGTTTATACATCAGTGCTGGGGCTTGAAAAGTATCTTAAACTTAATCTGTCCTTATAACGTGCACATATCCTTTTCATAGCGTGGAAAGTACGTTAAGGTTCATCTGGCGTTATTACGTTTATACATCATTGTTGGGGCTTGAAAAGTATGTTAAACTTAATCTGTCCTTATAACGTGCACATATCCTTTTCATAGCGTGGAAAGTACGTTAAGGTTCATCTGGCGTTATTACGTTAAAACATCATTGTTGGGGCTTGAAAAGTATGTTAAACTTAATCTGTCCTTATAACGTGCACATATCCTTTTCATAGCGTGGAAAGTACGGTAAGGTTCATCTGGTGTTATTACGTTTATACAGCAGTGCTGGGGCTTGAAAAGTATGTTAAACTTAATCTGTCCTAATAACGTGCACATATCCTTTTCATAGCGTGGAAAGAACGTTAAGGTTCATCTGGCGTTATTACGTTTATACATCAGTGCTGGGGCTTGAAAAGTATGTTAAACTTAATCTGTCCTTATAACGTGCACATATCCTTTTCATAGCGTGGAAAGTACGTTAAGGTTCATCTGGCGTTATTACGTTTATACATCAGTGTTGGGGCTTGAAAAGTATGTTAAACTTAATCTGTCCTTATAACGTGCACATATCCTTTTCATAGCGTGGAAAGTACGTTAAGGTTCATCAGGCGTTAGTACGTTTATACATCATTGCTGGGGCTTGAAAAGTATGTTAAACTGAATCTGTCCTAATAACGTGGACATATCCTTTTCATAGCGTGGAAAGTACGTTAAGGTTAATCTTGCGATTTTACGTTTATACATCATTGTTGGGGCTTGAAAAGTATGTTAAACTTAATCTGTCCTTATAACGTGCACATATCCTTTTCATAGCGTGGAAAGAACGTTAAGGTTCATCTGGCGTTATTACGTTTATACATCAGTGTTGGGGCTTGAAAAGTATGTTAAACTTAATCTGTCCTTATAACGTGCACATGTCCTTTTCATAGCGTGGAAAGTACGTTAAGGTTCATCAGGCGTTAGTACGTTTATACATCAGTGCTGGGGCTTGAAAAGTATGTTAAACTTAATCTGTCCTTATAACGTGCACATATCCTTTTCATAGCGTGGAAAGAACGTTTAGGTTCATCTGGCGTTATTACGTTTATACATCAGTGTTGGGGCTTGAAAAGTATGTTAAACTGAATCTGTCCTTATAACGTGCACATATCCTTTTCATAGCGTGGAAAGAACGTTAAGGTTCATCTGGCGTTATTACGTTTATACATCAGTGCTGGGGCTTGAAAAGTATGTTAAACTTAATCTGTCCTTATAACGTGCACATATCCTTTTCATAGCGTGGAAAGTACGTTAAGGTTCATCAGGCGTTAGTACGTTTATACATCAGTGCTGGGGCTTGAAAAGTATGTTAAACTGAATCTTTCCTAATAACGTGGACATATCCTTTTCATAGCGTGGAAAGTACGTTAAGGTTAATCTTGCGATTTTACGTTTATACATCAGTGTTGGGGCTTGAAAAGTATGTTAAACTTAATCTGTCCTTATAACGTGCACATATCCTTTTCATAGCGTGGAAAGAACGTTAAGGTTCATCTGGCGTTATTACGTTTATACATCAGTGTTGGGGCTTGAAAAGTATGTTAAACTTAATCTGTCCTTATAACGTGCACATATCCTTTTCATAGCGTGGAAAGTACGTTAAGGTTCATCAGGCGTTAGTACGTTTATACATCAGTGCTGGGGCTTGAAAAGTATCTTAAACTGAATCTGTCCTAATAACGCGGACATATCCTTTTCATAGCGTGGAAAGTACGTTAAGGTTAATCTTGCGATTTTACGTTTATACATCATTGTTGGGGCTTGAAAAGTATGTTAAACTTAATCTGTCCTCATAACGTGCACATATCCTTTTCATAGCGTGGAACGTACGTTAAGGTTCATCTGGCGTTATTACGTTTATACATCATTGTTTGGGCTTGAAAAGCATGCTAAACTTAATCTGTCCCAATAACGATCACATATCCTTTTCATAGCATGCGACAGTACCTTAAAGTTTATGCATCTGTGTTTGGGCTTGTTAAACTTAATCTGTCCTTATAACGTGCACATATCCTTTTCATTGTGTGGAAAGTACGTTAAAGTTCATCTGACCTTACAACGTTCGTTCAGGAAACGAAAAGGACTGTTGAATGGTCCAGTTAGGTTTATTTCTACGGGTAATGATACGGATATCTACATATGGATATACACTAGGCCTTGGATGCAAACACATCAGACATAGACTGGAGGAATATGTGTATCTATCAGACATTCACCTACATACTTAGAAAGATAAAAACGAATAATGAACTGCAGACGGCCTTGATTTTGCGGAGATAACTCAATTCGATGCATGCGGTTTGGTCATGACGCAGTGGTGATAACGATGGAGTTGAGTGTCATTAAAGGTGGAGTGTGTGACGTTGGTGGGGGTCGTGAGGGGGATCGGGGTAGCGGAAGGGGAGGGAGGAGGGAATAGAGGCAGCATATAGAGCCACACAGTTTATCTCTGAAAGGGGAAGCCGAAAATACACCGAGCTTGCCCAGCAAATAATTTAACCTGAGGAAATTCATTTTAAACAGCTCAAAGTCCGAAGCGAAATATACATATATTATCTTGCTACCTGAAATTGTGCAGTTTCGCATGAAAATTTGATTAATTGAATTTAACTTTTCCAGATGATTTTACCATATATAGGACAAAAAGTTTGTCTGCAAGAAATAATCATGACGTCAATATGATCATGTTCTGTTCTTTTCGCAAATCCATGAAAATTTTTCGCACTTGCGTATTTCCTCTATTTCTAATGGGCAGCGACATTCCATAAGGGATGTATTAGTGCTGTGCTACGGTTGCGGTTAAGAACGTTGCGGCACTACTCCCATTTTCCGCTACGTGAGGATTACGTGACCTGTCGTAAAAAGTGAATTATTTCCCTTTTTGTTTAATAAATTAGCCGTATCTTTGAAGATGTGACGTTTAGAGTATGGTTCTCGCGGACGACAGTTAGCTTTAGTCCAGCTATATCATTATCGCGTCGAGGCCAGACAAACAAGTTACTGAATGAGTGAAGAACGATACACGCCATCGGAGCACTGATCATCTGGTTGAGTCAAGATGCCCGAATTGGTTGAATCTAAGTACCCACATTGGTTGAATTTACAATGTACCTGTAGGTGCCCGAATTTGTTGAGTCAAGATACCCGAATTAAATGTGTGAAGGTGCCCAACTTGGTTGAGTCAAGTTACCCGATATGGCCCACATTGGTTGAATCTATGAGATCTAGGTCTAGGCCTGGTTGTTCTGTGATAAAATTGCAGGTTGAGGAAATGTTTAATAAAGTTAAACCCACGATAATATATGGCACATGGAGAATACTGTATGTATATCTACAAATCGACGGACAGTGACGTGAGTAAGTAGAAACCATGCGTGAACTTTGACGGCGTGTACATGAAGTCACATCCTTGAATGAATAGATTCCTGAAGTTTCTTGGTGTGCTTCCTTACTTGTTAAGGAAACGACTGAAGACGCTTGAATTTGAATGGAAAGAGTCATCAGTTACAATCGTCTTTAAAATATTAAGAATACGAGTGCGTTCCTGCTAACTGAGAACTTGTCCTCGGGTCTTGCTATTCGTGGACTCCGGTACCCGGCAATACAAAGTCTATGAATCCATAATGTGATGTCCTCGTTTTCACAATTGGGAAGCAGTCCTTTTTCAAGCAAGAGAGTAATGTAAACGGTTTTATCGCATCTAAAGTGGTTCACAAACTGCTGACAGCAGGAACACGGATGTGAGTGTGAAGGGGGTGTTCAAGGCTATACGCAACCAAAAGTGTTCCCGGTTCTGCATCAAATAGCACTTACCTGAATATATCAGCATAATTGATGTTAAAAAAGAAGTCAATATTGAAAATAATGGTGAGTTTTAATTACTGTTTGAATGTTGACTTACTCACTGAGAACCAATGTTCGACATAGGTTCCTCATAGTCATCCAACTGTGTTAGCTGTGTGTGACAAAGCACATAAATTAGCGCATCAATTTAAATACATGGACCAATACATATACAGGAACACGGAGATCGTTACGGTGTGATATTGATTCATCTTAGGACAATTTAGACAAATTCCCAACAAAGTTGTTAGTTAGGGATTTTGCTGCCACTCCTGATCGATTAAAAAGCCTAACAGGGTGACTGTGCTACACAGTTCTTGATCGAAACCAACACAAAATATGTATTGATGTCTTATAGAATACAGCTGTTAAACACATACATATACATTACACCTTGGATTAACTTTGAAGCAATCCATATGTGCAATTGCACATGGAGTCTATTGACTTTGTATTTCGCCAGCGAATCGATTCATCTTCATTTATACTTCCAAGACACAGAGAAGTATGTTTAATGATCCTTGCAATATTAGTATTCATATCTATTTATTCTGCCATATATCTGTTACAACTTGTTTATCAATTCTCTATTCAACTATTAACATATTATCTGACTAATGGACACTATTGGTTTATCAATATGACTACCTTGCATTACAAAAGGGTTGTTTCTTTTCACAAATCGGCACTCTTTTGTAAAGATTTTATAACCTTTTTAGGTTACTATTTTTCCTTAAAGAATTTTCATTTAAACACATGGTTCACACATTCCTCTTGAAATATGTAGAAAAGATGCGATTGTATTATATCCAGTTATAAAAAAGATATGCCGAAGCAAGTCAGTATTTAGCCGGCAAATGTTTATGATTGTACACGTGCAATATCTGGATACATATCAAGTTGCAATTCTCGCATAACACATTAATGTACTATTGACACAACCACACTGCCGCCAATAGTCGAAAGCGACAGAAGCTCGACAGTTTCAGGTAATGAGGCGCATATTGTGAAGACTTATGTATACAATTTCAGATTACCGAATGTGATTCTTAGGTTGTATTAAATTTTAAAATGTAACCAAACATTTTATAAATTGTACGTCATGCATATTAAAGAGGCATTGCCTGGACCAGCACAATTCCCGTAGGGTTGACAGTCACATTGAACTGACCGGTCGGCTTATAGAAGCCTAAAATGACGCTACGGAAAACGTCAATAACATGATAGCCATTCTGATTGGTCAGTGTGATGTTCGCTAGGGTCAGGGACATGCGTGTTGGTGTTCCAGCTGAGTTCGGGTTGAGGAAAGCTACTGCATAACTTCCGGGTTTGACCAAAGGTTTCAGCCAGACTTGCACGTTTTGAATCTGCAATGAACAGAGAAAATACATGGTCTTTCGCGTGCGCATTCGTGAGGACAGACAAATGCAAATTCACAGGCACAGACACATGCACAGATCGGGCACAGACACGGACACAGACACGGACACAGGCATACATGTACGTACATACATGTATGTACACACGAAGATCCAGGCACGTGTTGGGACACACAATAAATGGATCGCGTGTTTTCTCTATGAAGACAATATTAGAGACAGCAGTCATATTTAACTTAATCATAGAGTTTCTTTTTGAATAACAATAGAGCCACAGCATTGTGGCCCACCTGTAAATAACGTGTGAGGGAGATAACCGATTAGAGTACAAGTGACTCTCACATCTTACATATGAAAATAAGAAGGAATTTCACTTTCCTGCACTTTTATAATCACAATTATTTCAAATTAATGTGCCAGTCTCATAGTGAATTTATCATAAGTGTAGGAGTGAATATGTTTTTTATTTACATGGAAACAGACGTGTTCCGTTGGTTCATTTTCCAAACATCTCACCTCCTTTATCATATTAGCTCCCTTTACGAGTGGGTCCTGGTTGATGGCAATGACGCCCTTGTTCTGTAGAATGGACTTGGCCTGTGGTCTCATGGTTCTCAGATCAGCGGATATGTAGAGTGGGGCGGCAAACATCGCCCACATCCCGAACTGAACCTTCTCCTGGTCATAACTCAGACTGAAGTCCCCGATCATCAGCTGTGACAGGGATATTCACATGAGACAACATGAACTATCGAAAACAAGCCTCAGTGACTATTTGTTGAACTATGTGCGAGTTTAGGAGGAAGTGGTAATATCCCCCCCCCCCCCCCCCCCCCCCCCCCCCATAGGGAATATACCATAACACTTCTGTCGATGCAAAGCAACAATAGAATATTCAATATTCAAAAGTTGTTGGGACAATTTCAAATGCATAAACTAGGTCAAAAATGCAACTTGGAGGTTGTCAGGAAACGTTCTGTTGATATTGAACACGAAGCAATCATTGCCCAAGCTGATTTTCTTAGGATATACTCATGGTGAAAAATTCATCTCTGGTCAAGGACTTGCTCACATGTGTACTTAGATTTTCTCTTGACGTTCGGAAAATCAACCTTTTCACTCTATGTACATTTATTTGAACATGTCAGTCCGCAAGAGTAAGACTTCAAAAGAAGAGGCTAATTTCAGACATGTTCGAATGTTGAGACATATCCATTATTTAAACGTTTTCTTGCAACTGCTAAATTTAACTTTCCAAGTGGGACCTAAACGACCCTTATCCAAAAATGTTCTTTCGAAACAAAACTTTGAAACCTAAAAACAGAAAAAAACTTGCCATAAAAAGAAATATGTTAAATAGACAAAAGGGAAGAGGAAGAGGAGAGAAACCAATCCTTTTGTATGTTCTCCCCCATTACCTCATCTGGATCGTTGATGGACCCTGGACCGGATACTGAGATGAAATCCCCGGCATTTTCGGCATAGTGTTGGATCACGCCGAGGACGGAGGGCCAGCTGTCCTGTATGTCGTTGAAGGTCCTCCAGCTGTTGCAGTACTCGCTGTTGCGGGTGTAGTGGGAGTGCTGGAAAAACGCAGTACTATAGGCGTTGGACGAGTAAAACTAGGATTCCATAGGATCTGATTCTTGCGCAATATGCTTTCGCGGAATACGGCATGCGGATGCAGAATGCGTTTTGTGCGAATCGATATTACGGTTTGCTATACATTTTATCAAACACAACTTTGTCAAACATAAACAAAGCAATACTTATGCCGTTGAATAAATGTGTGTGACATGTTGTTTGTACTCACATTTCCAATGATGTTGTTAATACTTTGCCGTGAATTATGTATCTTCTGATAGAGGGGCGGTCGGGTAGCCTAGTGGTTTAATCGTTCGCTCGTCACGCCGAAAACCCGGGCTCGATTCCTGACATGGGTACAATGTGTGAAGCCCATACTGGTGTCCCCCGCCGTGATATTGCTGGAATATTGCTAAAAACGGCGTAAAACCAAAACTCACTCACTCTTCTCATAGACTTTTTGGTTAGTTTTTCCACAGCGGTATCGGAACACGTTTTCTCTTGGCATGTTCGCTTATCTAGCGCCACGTTTTTAGGTGGGATATACATCTCTGTTTGCGGCTCTTTCCCTGTGCGGTTCGTAGGCGGTTGGGGCGCTTGATCCGCTTTGCGGCAGCCGAATGAGAAAGCGCAGCCGCGTCCAGACGAATGGAATCGTATGATGAATGTTTGTTTACCGTATTCCGCGTACTCCTGCCGCACAAGAATCCGTACCTATGGAATCTTGGATTTAGACTTACACAGTCAGAGACTCAAGCTCACTGTTGTCCTCTACATTAGTAATATACTCTCTTAGTCAAGGTCGAGTTTTTTGTCAAAATGTCTTGTCAGACATCATTGGGATAATTTGTCTTTAAGCCATTAAAATCAGATTTGATTTACCAACCAGAAAGCAGTATTTTCCAACAATATGGAAGAATGTGCAGATATAATCTATACCTGGGTCTGGTCTCCACTCCACCATTCGCACGTGAAGAGGATAGGTCTGCCAGTCGCGTTCAGACTTTGACTCATTAAGGGGAAATCTACAACATACAATGTCATGAAAAAAGACTAAAAGAGATTTAATACTACCTGGGCCCCATTCCACAAAGCGAACGTTGCTCTACGACTGTCGTAAGCTAATGTTAAAGTATGGGAGTTACGATCACCTTAGCGCTACGATCGCTTCGTGGAACGTGGCCCAGTCACTGATCAAACGATGTCTCCTAAATGTATCTACTGAAAACAGAAAACACCCCTTGATGATAAATCCTGGTTTTCGGTGTTATGCAGGTCTTATGCTAATTGAGGGGCGGTCGGGTAGCTTAGTGGTTAAAGCGTTCGCTCGTCACGCCGAAGACCCTAGTTCGATTCCCGACATGGGTACAATGTGTGAAGCCCATTCCTGGTGTCCCCCGCCGTGATATTGCTGGAATATTGCTAAAAGCGGCGTAAAACCAAACTCACTCACTCTTATGCTAAGTAAGCTGCCGGGCAAAAGAAAGTATACACCAATGTTTGGTGTTGGCTAAAAACGAAACAAACAAGAATTGCTTATTCGATGATGATGTATTTGATACCGGTTGCATAGTTTAGTTTTGAACCTAAAATTTGTAGTGTTTCGGCGACTGTTTTCAGTTTGGTAAAATTCATTTTTAAGAGTACACTTTAATTTGCCCCGCAGTTTAGTAAAAAGATTCTGGATGTTTGCAAACACAACACATAACGTAAACGCCATCTCCAGTGTTATAATTTTACAATACAAGATTTCATGATGTTGTTAAATGCATGATTCAAAGTTAATTCAAAATCCTTTTCTGCTATCTTACGTATTGCCGAGCGGTTTGTGTCTGTGTTACAGCCATCAAACTTGAGCAAATCTAGTTCCCATTTTGCAAACGTCTCGGCGTCTTGCTTAGTGTAGTCCTGGCTCCCAGGGTACCCTGCGCAGGTCTTGGTACCAACGTCTTCATAGATGCCCAGTTTTAGCCCAAGGGAATGGACCTGTGAAGAGTAAGTCCAAGATCTCATATAATTACCACTACACTGCCACACATCACTTCGTTTGATGAAGGGTGAGGAAACAGAGCGGTATTGAAGTGTTGGAATCTGTGATACAAAGGGTGTCATACGTGTAACAATCAGTAATATGGTACCCCAATACTTCATTTTTCTTTTAGAACTTGATTTGTTCATCGATTGTTCATTTGTGAAACGATTAGGGAAACATTGAGTGAGTGAGTGAGTGAAGTGTGTTTAACGCCGCTTTTAACAGTATTCCAGTCATATCACGGCGTGTCAGCTTAATGTGGGAGGAAAGCCCGAAGTGATGCAGGTCTCAGACGTTTACCACTTCGGTGAAACCCACGAACACGGGTATGGTACTGACAAACCTAGAAACATAATCGGGGCGAACCGGGATTCGAACCCACAATCATAGGTTTCTGGCGTGCCCAAGGGACGCAACTCTACACAGCGAATTGCGGCGCCTTAGACGACTGGGCCACCCGTGCCCCCAGGGAAACATTGAAGTCATTGTAACAAATGTCATATTTGGGTAACACAGATTCTCGTACTCTTTTGGGTTGAGTCAACAACAAAAAGTAAGAGAATCTGTACTTTACTCAGAACGCGTTATTCCCAAAATAACATTTGTTACATTTGACCACTTTCTACATGGCATTCTGAGTTCATTGAAGTGATTTCTCTTACATGTACAGATATTGGAAAATCTTCATTGTGACCATGGATCATACGTCCTATCATTTTGAGGACACTGTTGGCCCAGTCGTCGAAGGCGCCGGAGTTTGCCGTCGATAATTGCGTCACTTTAGAAACCTATGATCGTGGGTTCGAATCTCAGATTTGATTGATTATATTTCCAGGTGTGCTCGTGGGTTTCACCATATTGGTGAACGTCAAACGACTTGCATCACTTCGGGTTTTCCTCCAATATTAGGCTGCCAGTAATATTACTAAAATACGATTCGCTCACTGACCGGTGTGATATAAAGAAAATACATTAAGGAGTAGAAAAGGCATGGAAGTTCCAGTCATAGTTTGCGTACAGTTTGTACGAAACCCACAAGCCGTGTCATCACTTACAGCGACATTTGTCAGTAAAATATGGATCACGACTTATACCCTGAATGACGATTCAGGATATCTGATTGTTTCACATTTGGACTTATGATGTGGCTTCATCACAGCGAGTGGGCTTTAATGGGGGAAGTCTGCGTAAAGTTTTATATTTAGCATGTAGACGTTTACCATTTTGGTGGAACCCAAGAGCAGTGCCAGGAACCAGTATCATAATCTGAGAATTCGAAACAGCAATGACTACTACTTGATACAAATGTCAGACCTCGGACTTCATGTAAACCCTTACATATCGAGAGAGACCTAGAATTCCACTGGGGAACCTCTCTGGATCTGCCACGAGGTTGCCATCAGCGTCCCTGGACTTGGAGGGCCAGCAGTCGTCGATGCCGATGTATTCGTAGCCGACGTCGCGGTAGCCCTCCTCCGCAATAACATCTGCCATCGTCATGAACAACCTCTCGCTAGAATTTAATATGTTACAGTAAATAATTATTTGAAAAGAATAGTTCGATCTACTTCAGCATCACAGTAATAACGGGCCTAGGTGTAAGAGCTAAACCTACCCCCTTCATGCAACCATCACGACGCCCTGATCCATATCTACCCACGAAGATTACAAGTTACCCTAACTCCCAATGCCCCACGAGGTTTCAGATCAGTTCATGCGGTAGAACACTGACCTTTGGCTTTCATTCAGTCAGTTTAAGTCAATGTGATTACCAACCATCGTCTCAAAACCCACTTCCTCAAAATAGATTATGTGCAGAATACTAAAAATCAATGTACGAGGTGGATAGAGGTGTGTGTGTGCGTTTTGTGTGCGTGTGCGTGTATCATTCGCGTATGTGAGAAGATTGATCTTCTTTAATAACAGGTTTTCTTATTATATGTCTTTTTAATTTTTTTATTATTATTATTTTTTTTTCAAATAGTTTGATTTCTTTCTGTGTCGGGGCGGTCGGGTAGCCTAATGGTTAAAGCGTTCGCTTTCACGCCGAAACCAGGGTTCGATTCCCGACATGGGTACAATGTGTGAAGCCCATTTCTGCTGTCCCCCGCCGCGTTATTGCTGGAATATTGATAAAAGCGGCGTAAAACCATATTCACTCACTCACTCTTTCTGTGTCAGGTCGAAAACGATCAAGGCCAGAGGAGTTGACAGTGTGGCGATCACCCGTCCTTGGACCTGCTGGTTTGTTATGGGTTCAAAGGTAACACAGGCTACGTTCAGACCTTGATATTCAATGACGACCTCCTTACTAAACCAGCTATCATGCAAGCTATCTGTCAGTTGTGGGGCAGATCAGTGAAGATAACCGGGAAGGTGCAAGACACATATCCTCAAGTGTTATTTGTCGAAAGTGTCATGGATTGTATTCAGGAGACCACTAGAACTTTTACGTGCTACTTTTATTATTTGTTGAATTTATATTAATTTTCATGAAATTTCTCAAAAGTATACTACAAAAAAATAAGGACCACCCAATGTTTTTGATATTCCTATAGTTAATTTGTCATTCCAGGACAGAGTAGTATACATTGTGCCTTTCAAATGACTATTTTAGACTTGAGATTGTGTCTTCCTGAAAGGAGAGACATATGTCACAGTGTTGGGGGTATGGTTCCCGAGGAGGTACTGCGTTCATTGTGTAGTTGTTGATTTATTGTTGTGGCTTGATGCCGATGTGGTCCTTCATCCCCAAAACCTATTCTACTGGTTGATAGCGCGACCTGTTGTACTGGATGTTAAAACGATATATTGTACTAGATGTTAACACGACCTTTTGTACTGGATGTTAACACGATGTATTGTACGGGATGATAACACAACATATTGTACGGGATGATAACACGACCTGTTGTACTTGATGTTAATACGACCTATTGTACTGGATGTTAACACGACCTATTGTACGGGATGATAACACGACCTGTTGTACTTGATGTTAATACGACCTATTGTACTCGATGTTAACACGACCTATTGTACGGGATGATAACACGACCTGTTGTACTTGATGTTAATACGACCTATTGTCCTCGATGTTAACACGACCTATTGTACAGGATGTTAACACGACCTATTGTACAGGATGTAAACACGACATATTGTACAGGATGTTAACACGATCTATTGTACTGCATGTTAACACGACATATTGTACTGGATGTTAACACGACATATTGTACTGGATGTTAACACGACAAATTGTACTGGATGTTAACACGACATATTGTACAGGATGTTAACACGGCCTATTGTACTGGATGTTAACACGACCTATTGTACTGGACGTTCACACGACACGTTGTACTGGATGTTAACACGACCTTTATTGTACTGGATGTTAACACGACCTATTGTACGGGATGATAACACGACCTATTGTATTTGATGTTAATAGGACCTATTGTACTGGATGTTAACACGGCCTATTGTACTCGATGTTAACACGACCTATTGTACTGGATGTTAACACGACCTATTGTACTGGATGTTAACACGACCTTTTGTACTGGATGTTAACACGACATATTGTACTGGATGTTAACACGACATATCGTACTTGATGTTTACACGACATATTGTACTGGATGTTAACACGACATATTGTACTGGATGTTAACACGACCTATTGTGCTGGATGTTAACACGACCTATTGTACTGGATGTTAATACGACCTATTGGACTCGATGTTAACACGACCTATTGTACTGGATGTTAATACGGCCTTTTGTACTGGATGTTAACACGACCTATTGTGCTGGATGTTAACACGACCTATTGTACTGGATGTTAATACGGCCTTTTGTACTGGATGTTAACACGACCTATTGTGCTGGATGTTAATACGGCCTATTACTGGATGTTAATACGACCTATTGTACTGGATGTTGACACGACCTATTGTACTTGATGTTAATACGACCTATTGTGCAAAGTGATAGCACGGCTTTTTGTACAGACTCATACCTCCGCCACATGGAAACGTGGATAATGTCACGCAAAAGCGGCGCAAATAGATATGGCGATATATATCGTATTGTGATTTAAGTTTCTATCTCTCCACCTATCGATACGAGAGGTAGGCGTATGGTGATACCACTATCAATCACATCCATCTTTAAGCCACGGTCGGAATCAATCCTGATACATCTAGGTAGACAGGTACCTGTCTGTTGAGCTACTCTTTTCCATTTATACCCCTGAACATTACACAATCAATCGCCCCTAAGTTGGGAAGATTTAATGGTTTAAATAGCAATCGCCCCCCTTTGAAGGTACAACAAATTTATGCCTAACCAAAAACGATTTTGAAGGTAACTTATCAGTGCAAGTTGCGACTCTCTGCAACTTACTGAGCCCCAATACCTCAAAGATGTCGAACAAAAATTTACTGTACAATATCAGAGTGAGGAACACCAAAACACAAGTGCCCTTGCAAACACCTTGCAAAATCAATTGTTGCTTTCTTTCTGAGGAAAAAACTTTTCATATTTAATGGACATGTAATATTTTCGTTGAAAGAAACTCTGTCTAATTTCATCCATTGGATATGATGAAATTTAGGCATCCGTTACAAACTAGATGGGAAAATTCAGATGAAGAGGTATCCTCCCAAAATAAACCACACTACGTTTTCATGTTTTCCCTGGCAGAGTTTCTAATAAAAGCAACAAAACCATTTTCATAGTCATAAGAAATCTCTACTAAAATCAGAATCCCTTCTACTATTACGATTTAATCATGAGCATGTGTTTATGAATCACTATTAAATAGTGGTGATACCAGGTGAGCGTATCACGCCCCACCGGTGGCACTGGGCAGAAACACATGCAAAGGCAAGTTAATTGTTTACCGTGAACATATGATATAAGTCAACATAAGGCATAGTATTGGACATGTACATCAGTTTTGATGTTAAAACAGACATACCTGATACAGTTAGCCGGGTCATTGACGCAGTCCGTGTTACACCGGAACCTCTCCCAGTTCAGGAAGCCCATGGGCGGGGTCAGGGCGAGGCCATTGTTCAAAGCCCGGGACACCCCAAGGACAGCAAGCAACACAAGCAGACCAAGACCTGTCATCTTGATACGGTTTGTAGTCAGAATGATGCTGGTGCATGTTCTGCTGACAACTGCACTGCGTTATCTCCTTAACCTTGGCCATGCAGGTAACGTCAGGAGACATACCTACATGATAATACCTATATGTACCTGAACCTGCATTTTAACCGTTGTTTTTACAAGAGTGGCCTGCTGATATCACTTTTCACTCACTTCGTCCTTGCAGCATGGTCATAGCCTCACTGTCACTGTAACATTGCCATAGTCTGAAAGTGTCACTGTAACATTGCCATAGTCTGACAGTGTCACTGTAACATTGCCATAGTCTGACTGTAACATTGCCATAGTCTGACAGTGTCACGGTAACATTGCCATAGTCAGAAAGTGTCACTGTTACATTGCCATAGTCTGACAGTGTCACTGTAACATTGCCATAGTCTGACAGTGTCACTGTAACATTGCCATTGTCACACACTCTTATTGCTACATGATCACAGCCTCACACAATCCCCGCTACATTATCACAGCCTCACACAATCCCCGCTACATTATCACATCCTCACACAATCCCTGCTACATTATCACAGCCTCACACAATCCCCGCTACATTATCACAGCCTCACACAATCCCTGCTACATTATCACAGCCTCACACAATCCCCGCTACATTATCACAGCCTCAAACAATCCCCGCTACATTATCACAGCCTCACACAATCCCCGCTACATTATCACAGCCTCACACAATCCCTGCTACATTATCACAGCCACACACAATCCTGGCTACATTATCACAGCATCACACAATCCCCGCTACATTATCACAGCCTCACACAATCCCTGCTACATGATCACAGCCCCACACAATCCCCGCTACATTATCACAGCATCACACAATCCTGGCTATATTATCACAGCATCACACAATCCCCGCTACATTATCACAGCCTCACACAATCCTCGCTACATTATCACAGCCTCACACAATCCCTGCTACATTATCACAGCCTCACACAATCCCCGCTACATTATCACAGCCTCACAGAATCCCCGCTACATTATTACAGCCCCACACAATCCCTGCTACATTATCACAGCCTCACACTGTCCCTGATAAATTATCACAGCCCCACACAATCCCTGCTACATTATCACAGCCACACACAATCCCCGCTACATTATCACGGCCTCACACAATCCCTGCAGCATTATCACAGCATCACACAATCCCCGCTACATTATCACAGCCCCACACAATCACCGCTACATTATCACAACCCCACACAATCCCTGCTACATTATCACAACCCCACACAATCCCTGCTACATTATTACAGCCTCACACATTCCCTGCTACATTATCACAGCCACACACTGCCCCTGCTACATTATCTGAGCCCCACTAAATCCCCGCTGCATTATCACAGCCTCACACAATCCCTGTTACATTATCACAGCCTCACACAATCCCCGCTACATTATCACAGCCTCACACAATCCCTGCTACTTTATCACAGCCTCACACAATCCCTGCTACATTATCACAGCCTCACACAATCCCTGCTACATTATCACAGCCTCACACAATCCCTGCTACATTATCACAGCCTCACACAATCCCTGCTACATGATCACAGCCCCACACAATCCCCGCTACATTATCACAGCCTCACACAATCCCTGCTACATTATCACAGCCTTACACAATCCCCGCTACGTTATCATAGCCTCGCTCAATCCCCGCTACATTATCACAGCCTCACACAATTCCTGCTACATTATCACAGCCCCACACAATCCCTGCTACATTATCACAGCCTCGCACAATCCCCGCTACATTATCACAGCCTCACACAATCCCTGCTACATTATCAGAGCCCCACACAATCCCCGCTACATTATCACAGCCTCACACAATCCCTGCTACTTTATCACAGCCTCACACAATCCCCGCTACATTATCACAGCCTCACACAATTCCTGCTACAATATCACAGCCTCACACAATCCCCACTACATTATCATTGCATGACACAATCCCCGCTACATTATCACAGCCTCACACAATCCCTGCTACTTTATCACAGCCTCACACAATCCCTGCTACATTATCACAGCCTCACACAATCCCTGCTACATTATCACAGCCTCACACAATCCCTGCTACATTATCACAGCCCCACACAATCCCTGCTACATTATCACAGCCACACACTGTCCCCGCTACATTATCACAGCCCCACACAATCCCCGCTACATTATCACAGCCACACACTGTCCCCGCTACATTATCACAGCCTCACACAATCCTCGCTACATTATCACAGCCCCACACAATCCCCGCTACATTATCACAGCCACACACAATCCCTGCTACATTATCACAGCCTCACACAATCCCTGCTTCATTATCACAGCCACACACTGTCCCCGCTACATTAACACAGCCCCACACAATCCCTGCTACATTATCACAGCCTCACACAGTCCCTGCTACATTATTACAACCCCACACAGTCCCCGCTACATTAACACAGCCACACACAATCCCTGCTACATTATCACAGCCTCACACAATCCCTGCTACATTATCACAGCCGCACACAATCCCCGCTACATTATCACAGCCTCACACAATCCCTGTAATATTATCACAGCCACACACAATCCCTGCTACATTATTACAGCCTCACACAATCCCTGCTACATTATCACAGCCTCACACAATCCCTGCTACATTATTACAGCCTCACACAATCCCTGCTACATTATCACAGCCACACACAATCTCTGCTACATTATCACGGCCTCACACAATCCCTGCAGCATTATCACAGCATCACACAATCCCCGCTACATTATCACAGCCCCACACAATCACCGCTACATTATCACAACCCCACAGAATCCCTGCTACATTATCACAACCCCACACAATCCCTGCTACATTATTACAGCCTCACACAATCCCTGCTACATTATCACAGCCACACACTGCCCCTGCTACATTATCTGAGCCCCACACAATCCCCGCTGCATTATCACAGCCTCACACAATCCCCGCTACATTATCACAGCCTCACACAATCCCTGTTACATTATCACAGCCTCACACTGTCCCTGATAAATTATCACAGCCTCACACAATCCCTGCTACATTATCACAGCCTCACACAATCCCTGCTACATTATCACAGCCTCACACAATCCCCGCTACATTATTACAGCCTCACACAGTCCCCGCTACACTATAACAGCCTCACACAATCCCTGCTACATTATCACAGCCTCACACAATCCCCGCTACATTATCACAGCCTCACACAATCCCTGCTACATTATCACAGCCTCACACAATCCCTGCTACATTATCACAGGCTCACACTGTCCCTGCTACATTATCACAGCCTCACACAATTCCCGCTACGTTATCATAGCCTCACACAATCCCCGCTACATTATCATTGCATGACACAATCCCCGCTACATTATCACAGCCTCACACAATTCCTGCTACAATATCACAGCCTCACACAATCCCCACTACATTATCATTGCATGACACAATCCCCGCTACATTATCACAGCCTCACACAATCCCTGCTACTTTATCACAGCCTCACACAATCCCTGCTACATTATCACAGCATCACACAATCCCCGCTACATTATCATTGCATGACACAATCCCCACTAAATTAACACAGGCTCACACAATTCCCGCTAAATTATTGCAGACTTACACAATCCCCGCTACATTATCACAGCCTCACACTGTCCCTGATAAATTAACAAAAGCCTCACATTGTAGTTAAAACATGAGAACTATCTGTTTAAATGTTTGATTTATTTGTTTACACTACAAAAAACAATCCTTGACACATACAATATTCAGACGGAGAATGTTTATGGTTGCAGCATCGAGGTAGGTCGCAAGTCGCAATTCTCGACAACAGATGAATGGGCTACACTTAACCACTCTGCTGTTACCAGTCGATCACGACAGAAAGTTGATAGTATAGGGTGTATATTTTGAACCCTAATGTTTACCATTTCAAATTACAAGGTTTTATCAAATTGGAAAAGGTAACCAAACATTCCACATCTTCATGTTGCACTCAGTCATTATTTATGAACAAATGACCTTTAAACATATGGCCTTTTGTTAGGCATATCAAAGAGGCATAGCTTTGACCAGCACAATTCCCGTAGGGTTGACAGTCACATTGAACTGACCGCTCGGCTTGTACATGCCCATACTGACGTCATCAAAAACGTTAGTAATGTTATAGCCATTCTGATTGGTCAATGTGATGTCCGCTAGGGTCAGGGACATGCGTGTTGGTGTTCCATCTGAGTTCGGGTTGAAGAAAGCTACTGCATAACTTCCGGGTTTCACCAAAGGTTTCAGCCAGACCTGCACGTTTTGAATCTGCAATGGTGGAAGAAATACATTGACATTCGTATGCGCATTCGTGCGGACAGACACATACACAGACACCGGCACAGACACAAAATAACACATGGAAATAATTATAGAAATAATAATAATCTGACGTTAAAGACGTTGGATACAATAGTTCGGGCGTACCTCAGTTCACGCCGTTGCACGCGAGTTTACCGTGACGAATTACCTCCCTTTACGCGCCCTGTCTTCCACAAATTCCATGGTATTGTTTTGATAGCTCAATAACTCCTCATGCATATGGACAGATTAGATAGAAATATATTGTTGTGTTTTTAACAAGTGTTGAAGCATACAATCATCAGGATATGTATGTTAACATGGAATTTGAATAGGGGTGGTCGGGTAGCCTGGTGGTTAAAGTGTTTACTCGTCACGCCGAAGACCAAGGTTCGATTCCCAACAATGTATGAAGCCCATTTATTACTTGCCTGTGAAGAGATCACCCGTTTAATAAACATACAGCTTTATTACACATTGTGTAATACCAAAACGCGTGCTTATGTACTGTCGGAACACGTTTCAACGACATTGCGTGCGGAGTTGATAGATCACTGAGAGGAGCTTATGCACACTCGATGACCCCAGCAACCTTGTTGCTAGGCTGACATCACATGGCATTGTTTCGCCGATGGATCTTGCAACAAAATTCCACAAATTACGTCATCGGGTATTGTGACGTTATTGTAAACTTTGAGGTGCAAGGCCCAATTCCACAAGGCGATCGTATTGTAGCGCAACGACAGTCGTTGGTCTAAGTTAAAGTATGTGAGTTGCGATAGTCTTAGCCCTACGATAATTTTGTGAATTCTAAAGGTGGACCGTTGTATGGTATCAAATTCATACGTTTCAAGTTTTGACGTGTTTGAGGTATTATTCTGTTAAACTCAATTGGAGTATGCCGTGTATCGTACTCAACAGTAAATTTCTAAAAACGTTATAAATGGCAAGTAATTAATAAAATACTAAACTCGCTCCCGTGTAAAACCAATTTTATGAAACTCGTGAATAGTTGCGGTATCTGACTCTCTTTCGCTCGTCAGATACCACAACTATTCACTCGTTTTATAAACTTGGTATTACACTCTAGCTCGTTTAGTATTCTATATTTCTGGTGTCCCCCGCCGTGATATTGCTGGAATATTGCTAAAAGCGGCTTGAAAACCATTCTCAGTCACTCACTGATATTGGAATGCTAAGATGTTTTTCTTTTTGCAACGAAAATGTGATTAGTTCAAGCAATAAAATGACATGTTTTTGCAAGTACAAATTGAATTGTCAATCCTCTGTGAAGTTTTTATAATCTGCTAAAGTATGAATCCATGACAGTTATGGGGCCACTTGCACAAAACGATCTTAGCGCTAAGATGATCGTAACTCCCATACTTAAACATAGGTTTACAATAGCCTTAGCGCTAAGATCGCTTTGTGCAAGTGGGCCCTGGTACTGGAAAACACCGGGTGGTAATTGGTGGTAAGCAACGACGTGTCCGTTCATGATTGTGGAAACCTGCAACATGTACCTTTGTTATCCTTCCCAAACATGACCCGATAACTATTAAAAAATAACTGATTTTTCAGATTCAGTGGGTAAAAAAGTGTGTAGAGTTCCTACATATTATTTTATTAACATTTAATTTAATGAATTTCTAAAATATTCTTTCTTTCTGTTTTTGGTACGAGAAGCATAGCCATTTATGATTAATTAATTGCTATTAATGGGTAAACAGAAAGCATTGTAGAACATCAAACCTGTCTATTATGTTATATCTAAACAATACTCAATGACAAGCATAATATGGGATTGATTATATCTAGATAATGAGTTGTCTCCCTTTTCAGGTATCAGGACAAGCTCCTTCCCAGCGCGTGACACCTTCGTCACACTCTCGGTAACATTGCTGCCACCAGTGTGGGCGCGGCCATTACAAGAATCTTGAAATTTGCCCTCCAACCCCATATGTAGTAACGTTTATACTTTTGTTTATGTCTTTTGGAATGCCATCATATTTCAATTTGAAAAGGTTTACGACTGACCATGTTTTCCAGATGAATTTACTTTGTTGTTTTGATAATCAGATTGGTTCGAGATTGCAGACAAACGGAAAATCAACCAACTTCTCCCTTACATTCTTACTATATCAATAACACGATAGTTTTAATGAAACAGAAATTCAAATTGACAAACGAAGCAAGTAATGTTTGTAAACATAACGGTCATTCGGTTGCGAGTTCAACTCCAAGCATGGTTGTGGCCACCTATTCACAGTGGGGAGTTTTGACTGGTGGCAGCGATAGTATAGAGAGCTCCGCTGTGAGGAGCTTGGTACCAGGATTGACACCCTAGCTTTCTTTGGGCAGGCACATATTCAATATTTAGCGTGGAGACCTACAGATTTTTATCTTAATTTATGTTGGTGGATATTGTACGCTATACTGGAAAATGGTGACTCTGTAGTGGGTTTTGATCTTCTACATAATTATTTCCATGAGTACTTGCGCCTTTGATACCCGAGCCACATTTAATATGTTGCTATTTTCCCTCGATTGTTTCTATTTTTGGTCCTTTTTTCACCATCCGTGTATGTAGTTAACAAACTTAAATAGTAATAAACACTACAAAGTAAGTTTAATTACACTATTAGGTTAATGTGTTACAAGGAGTCAGCTCTAGCAATGTTATCTAGTGATGATAAATCATGTCATTTGAGACCTACCCCACTATACGTGGGTGCCACCTACAACAACATATAGCATGGAAAGATATTATTTTATTTATTATTCGGTACAAGTATACTACACACTCTCTTCATGTTACATCTCAGAGCGTCGTAGAGGGTTTCACTTATTGTGTCCAACGTCTTTAAACGGTTGACGGTAAATTCATGACAGGACTTTGCTGCCCTCGGTATTATGTAGGTAGTGGAAAAAGCCGAGAGGTCTAAGGAGGGAAGGGGTAATTTCACACGCAGATAAAAGGGAATGAGTTTCCATGCTGTGTTCTTTTCAAGCTTGGAATCTTTCTTCCATTGATATGTGTACCATACTTCATGCATATGACTGATGAAAATTTTGATTTTTTGAAAACAATCTATTCACTGATGTTCGTTTGGAGTAAGCCTCACCTCTTTTATCATATTAGCTCCCTTTACGAGTGGGTCCTGGTTGATGGCAATGACGCCCTTGTTCTGTAGAATGGACTTGGCCTGTGGTCTCATGGTCCTCAGATCGGCGGATATGTAGAGTGGGGCGGAAAACATCGCCCACATCCCGAACTGAGTCTTCTCTTGGTCTGACTCAGACTGAAGTCCCCGATAATCAGCTGAAACACCACAGGTCGTCAGTCAAAATCTGACCATTCATATGTCCAGGCCGAATGAAACGGACTCCTATTGAATTTTTAAAATCTTTTTTGTTGCAATGCTATATTAATGTTATAGCGACTTCCCCAATAGCTGTAGTGAAGAAGGAGCAAGGCGAGTGACAGGAAAATGTAGAGTCGAAGGGAGGAAGAGTGCAAGGAAAGAAGAGAGGGCATCAACAGGCATAAACCTAAGGGAAAACCAACAGAGAGAAAAAAGTGATATAGTCATAGAGGAAAGAGAGAGCGCGAGAGCATGAAACAGGACGAAGAAGAGTGAACGAGAACGTGATAGGGAAAATGACAGTGTGGGAAGGAGAAGGAATATACAAAGAAAAAACTAGGTGAAGGTGAAAAGTGATAGAGGAAAAGGGATCGGAAAGGTACGGAGGGAGAATAGAAGAGAACGAGAGTTACATGCACAGAAGGAGTGGCTTAGTCAGTATGATTTTACGCCGCTTTTAGCAATATTCCAGCAATATCACGGCGGGGGACACCAGAAATGGGCTTCACACATTGTACCCATGTCGGGAATCGAACTCGGGTCTTCGGCGTGACGAGCGAAGGCTTTAACCACTGGGCTACCCGACCGCCCCTGCACAGAAGGAGACGGGACAGGGGAAAAGAAGTTGAAGTACAAAGATTAGAGTCAGTGAAAGGGAAGCTATACAATTACCTCATCTGGATCGTTGATGGACCCTGGACCTGATACTGAGATGAAATCCCCGGCATTTTTGGCATAGTGTCGGATGATGCCGAGGACGGAGATCCAGCTGTCCTGTATGTCGTTGAAGGTCCTCCAGCTGTTGCAGTACTCGCTGTTGCGGGTGTAGTGGGAGTGCTGGAAAAACGCACTATACTAGTTGAATGGCCGTATATAATAATACAGCAAAAAGCAACACGACATTATATTAACGATGTACAGCGAATTGGTTTCAACGCCGCTTTGATGTATTTGGAAAGCTCAAACTGATGTAGGTCTAACTTTGGCGCACGGGTATGGTGCTGACAAACCAAGAAGTAAGATCAGAGCGAACTGGGATTTGAACCCACGAAAATGTTGAAAAGGATTTGGTGTATTTTTTCAGTCATGGATAACAAGTTATTTCCAGCCAAATTCACCATTTTCCTTCTTTTGAATTTGTCAGACATACTTTGGATATTGTGGGAACCGCAACTGCGTATTATAACTGCAGTCTATATTTCAAAACGCCTGCCGATAATGACTGAGAAAGAAGTCGTTTCAATAAATATGCCCTTTCTTTGTGATGCGGCCGTCGATTCAGTTGTTTAAAGCAGAGGGTATTATTATGGTTTGTCATCCGATGGTAGAATTTGTAGATATACATGCCTGGGTCTGGTCTCCACTCCACCATTCACACGTGTAGAGGATAGGTCTGCCAGTCGCGTTCAGACTTTGGCTCATTAAGGGGAAATCTAAAGCATACGGTAACACACAAAAGACATAAGGAATATTCCTGGTCATTTTGTCAAGGTATTCTTTCTCCTGAAAATTTCCAAGTACACAAAAGCATACAATCGAATAAAACAGTCGCAAAATCATGTGGATACACAATAGATTGTAATAAATTATTATCAGTATTTGGCTGTTGTGTAGAAGTAGTTTTTTGTATCAAAACTACCGAGGCCAACATGTTTTCAACAATGATATACTGTGACGTCATTACACATTACGTCACAATTGATGTTTACAACGCCTTAGACGTGGATGACGTCGGGCTGACATCCGACATTAACTGACCTGCCATTATATCACAGAAATATTGTTCACCACACATATTGGCACCGTACGTGTTTTCGTTTCACAAGACACAACACATGACCTGAAGAAATTTTCTATAATAGATAAGATGTGGTAAGAATTAAACGTTTATTCAAGACAGGTAAACGCTATATCTTACGTATTGCCGAGCGGTTTGGGTCTGTGTTACAGCCATCAAACTTGAGCAAATCTAGTTCCCATTTTGCAAATGTCTCGGCGTCTTGCTTAGTGTAGTCCTGGCTCCCAGGGTACCCTGCGCAGGTCTTGGTACCAACGTCTTCATAGATACCCAGTTTTAGCCCACGGGAATGGACCTGAGCAGAGAATTTTATCGTCGTCAAAAGGCGTGTAGCTTTATGTTTATAATTATATTACTATTCTTAGTCCACTGAATGCAAAGTTTGGGACAGAAGGAAAAATGGGACCAGAATTAATAATTTCATGAAACAGAATAAACTGTTCCAAACTAATGAAAAAAAGTTTAACATGCAGTTTAGCCCACTGGATGCCGAGGTTTTTTTCTGACGCACATTTTCCTAAGATCGGAAAAGTAAAGGTTGTGCGAAAATAGCGCTCACGCGGCACTGGATATTCCCCTGGCTAAAAAATTACGCAGAGGTGGAGAATATTAAATTTCCTATTTGATTGTGTAAAGTAAACTGCAAATATTAAACTGGTTTTAAAAAAATACACTTCTAAGTGTTGTCCGTGAATTTATTCTGCGTTGAAAAACAATAAATTTCTCCACTTTTTATCGTACACCGATAAAAGTACTGTGCGGCGATTTTTTTTCTTTCGAAGCTTTACGGAAACTGTAAGCGAACAAAATACTGCCTAATATCTGAACGACATTAATTATATATCAAATAGAGTTATAGGCGTATGTATAACGACATACATTCAATGCCAAATATAGAATGCCGTAAATGACGAAAACTGATTTTTCTCTATGACGTCAAAAGGCGACGGAGAGGTTACACACGTACAAGGGAAAGGGGGCATAACTCCGCTATGCTTAGCACTATTTTTTGGTAACTCGGGTCAATTGGTGAGAATTAGCTGTGGGTAAGGACAATATATTTTCGTGGTGTTTCGTTCACGAGGAACCAAACTATTCCAACACAAATATCCATATTGAAACTGTATACGTTTAGTTATTAAAAAGACCCATAAGAAATAATGAAATCGTACTTCATAAAAAAGAGGCATTAGAGAAATGGATGGCCCTATCTAACCTATAACTTAGTCCTTAGATTCCAACATTCTCCTGATTGTGTAAGTGTAATTTGACTAATGTTGCACCATTATTAATGGAGCACTAGCCTTATCATCAAATGTAATGAAATACCCCAAAAATAATACCATTCCTTTTGACGTCATGGCTGGTTTTGTGTCTTTGATAACGTCGGAGAAAGACGACACTGGTATTTTGATTAATATATACCTCCCCTAATTTTCGTTCATGGTATTCAAAATCTCGATGTGGAAAACGGAGTTTGACGCGTTTTCGACACAACATAAAATTACTGCTTTCACCAAGTAAATAATGTTTTGAATATGTAAACAATTAGATAGTCTTTCGTGTATCTTAACTGGACAAGACACGCACCTGTTTGGCATCAATTTACGTAATGAAATACCCAAAAGAATATTTCAAAACAACCAAAATTATATTCAATATTGGACACATATTTGTTCATTATTATGTTATTATTTATCTTCATCTCGTCTCAGAATGACACAATAAAAAGATGTGAAGAAAGCTCTATTGGTATAGAATTATCAGGATAATCGTATAAGGTTGAACCAACGGAGTACCTGGCATGGATTGTATTTTATACATTGACAAATGTCCAAAGTGAAATTAATTGTGTGAAAAAATGTCTAAAAGATATGCAAAATCTACATCATAACTGAAACTGTAAACAGCATGGTAAAATGATCGTTTGCACTCTCATTCAAGGACCTTCACCTCAAATAAAATTACCAAATATGTACAACAATGTTGACGCATGACATCACCACCTGTGACCGACTTCTACAAAATGTCGTGTTCACTGTCAACAGTACGCGGGATTTTACGAGTGGACTTTCGTTGATTCAGGGATTGTATATACATAAATGTGACATGTAAGTAATCAGACACATTCTGACAATATATGTACTGTTATTTGTTGTTATAATTTTCATTGAAACAAACCGAAATAGTCAGAAATTCCGATAAATACCGTTGTCGTTGTGCGTGATTTGGCGTCAGTCATGGCGTCACACAGAACTTTGCAATGATTTGATATTTTCAACAGAAATTGTCAATGTATCTATTTTAAATTCCCTAATTCTTCCTACGATTCTCTTCCCATGCATATTCTGAAAATGTTGAGCCAATATATTGAACGAATAGATGAATGGATAGCTCAAAATAGGAGAAAATGCTACACTGTGTAAAATCTGTTGCTTTGTTTACATTTCAAACAAGTGATTTCATCCAGCCACTTCGTATTGGTGACAAAGACCATTGTTCATTCGATTCTAAATTGTGTGAGGAATTCAAGGATGTGTGTATCGCAGCTAAGTTTTGAAATATACGTGATGTTACAGACGCCTCATAACCGGTGTACCTGAAACGTGATTTTGTAAACACTATTTAATATGGCGGAAAGTTCACTTCGGCGTTCGTTTTTGTGTATTTTCCAAAACATTCTAAACGATTCTAGGGTTATCGGGGCTGTTTTGGAATGATCAAGTATAAAGGATTACGTGATTTATACCATATATTGGCCCATAATTACACAATTGGCAATCCTATTGGCTCAGTCAGGTCATCTTCCTGGTTGACTGACTATAAAAGTCCAGTTTCCTACTACTACTACTGCTGCTGCTGCTACTTCTACTACTACTGCTGGCTCTACTACTACTACCACTACTACTACTACTGCTACTGCTACTGCTACTGCTTGGCGGTCGGGTAGTCTAGTAGTTAAAGCGTTCGCTCGTCACGCCGAAGACCCGGGTTCGATTCTGGATAAGTGTACGAATTCTGTCGTGCGGAATTCTGCGCCATTCTGCTCGTAGCGCGTTGGCCAGTTGTGGGACTGTCTGCAGTGTGTTCATCCCAGAGGTGTTCCATTGGGTTGAGATCTCGTTGATGTGGGCATTATAAAGGTAGATTACCCTGACACGAGCTGTATGCAGTGGAGCGTTGTCCCGTTGAAAAAGCTCCCTCTGGCGGTAAATGATTGGAAGAAGGTGAATTTGAAGAATTTGATTCATGTAGCGATTTGCTGTCAAATTTTCCTGAACCAGTCAGATCTGGTGGTGTAGGATATGCCCCCCCCCCCCCCCCCCCCCCCCCCCCCCACACACACACACACACACCATGACACTACTGCCACCGAATTTGTCGTATTCACGTACACAATGTTAGGCAAAACGTTCATTTCGACAACGATAAACACGTTCTCTTCAATCTCAACGGTGAAGAAGAAATCGTGATTTATCGCTAAACCACACTTTTTCTCAAATTCCAAGGTTGTAAGGTATGGTACCAACGCAGGCGTCGCCGTCTGTTGCAAAACAGGGACGATAACTGGTCTTCTGGGTCGGGTTCCAGCCTCGCGAAGATGGTTCCTGACAGTCTGGTCCGATATCCTCCTCAAACCAGGGATGCATCCTTCAGTCTCCGTAGCTTTTACATCGCGATGACGCAAGTGGAACAGTCTTATGGAGCGATCCTGTGCAGGGGTGGTAACTCTTGGTCGGCCGGTTCTCGGACGGTCTGCAGTGGAATTGAACTGTGTGTATCGGTCCCAAAGGCGGCAAATGGTGCTGTGCTGGACGTTGAAGTGGCGTGCAACAGAAGACTGCAATTCCCCTCTTTGGATAGGTTCTGTGGTGATGTTCCGATCGGCAGCACTGAGCCTCAGCATTTTCGAACTTGAAAAATGTTGACAATTGAATGACAAATTATTGGCTTATGCTTGCCTTTTTATAGCCATTTTCACGAGTTACGAATGCCATAACTTGCACGTGCATTTTGCTTTTCTGTTTTCCTCCATGGCATTTTTGAACAAGTGTGAAAACAATGCCATTTAAGACATTGCAAATCGACAATGGCTGCGTTTTTGATGCACTGTTTGTCAAATAACAGGCCACCAACATTTTACCAATAACATATATCCAATTCATAATTCGTATATTTGTGTAGTCAGGTTCAATGAACTACATACTACCTGTGCGTTTCTTTTTTTGAAGAGTGTCTACACTAAGCGATATACTTGTGTTTGCATCATATGCCATATTTCCATGATTTTGTATATTTAAATAGACCGGACATCACTTTTACATTGCAAATACAATTGTTGCCCATGCAAACAATGTGATGTGTGTAACCTTAATAGTTGTATCCCTCTCTATCTCTCCTAAGTCGACTTAATGTTTTGCTGGTTCGAATCCCTACACGGGGTCCCCATTGGGGTTCATGTGCACCATGTTCAACCGATCAGACAAGGGACATAACTCGATGACCTATTTACCCCTTAGTGGTGTAGGTAAAATTCCGTTCTTGTCCCTACGGGAAAGCCTGGATAAGTTGTGTTTTGACCTGACAATTACCCTTGTATGACTATGTATGATGTACCATTGTGAAGAAAGGGGTAGCGGGTGGTCTGTGACAAGAAGTACGATGGATATGTGCGTGTCCTGTCTTGGCTAACAACGAGTTCTAGTTGCTAGTTCAATGGCACATTATAGTACTTGATGATGGGACGTGATCATTCGACGATTCCGCGCCTTATTTGAGCTAATGTAATTACACCGAGGTATTATAACCCTATGAATACCCAATTAACCCCTGTAAAAACCCATATATCATGTGAATACCCCGTTTATCCTCGTGTACCCATATATCCCTGTAAATACCCCGTTTATCCAAGCGAATACCCCGTTTCTCCCTTTGAATACCCAAATAACTCAGTAAATACCCCGTATATCCCCGTGAATACCCTGTTTCTCCCTGTGAATACCCCGATTCTCCCAGTAAATACCCCGTATACCCATGTTAATACCCCATTTTAATCCGCAAATACGCATTTTATCCCCGTGAATACCCCTTTTAAATACGTGGATACCCATTTTATCCCAGCGAATACCCCTTTTATCACCGTGAATACCCCATGCTTGTCGCAAGACGTGTTTGAATAGGGTCGGGTGGTTGGAATGATTGTGTGTCTTGGTGTCCCGATGGCGACGATAATTACATATGCCCTGAATTGCCGATAATATACAGACTGCCGCGATAATATTGACTGTGTCACAAAACAATTAACAATTAAACAAAATACAAAATTCAAAATCTGATTTTTCTGATGTTCAACGTCGTCAACGTCAGGTAATGGGATCCTGTTTATAGAATTTGATCCATGTCGTGCGTGCGTGCGCATAGCATGCACATGATTATGATTCTAGGTTTGTCAACACAATACCCGGGCTCGTTGGTTTCACCAAAGTGGAAAAAAAACATCTGGTATCGTATTACTTCTGTCTTTCCTCTCATGTTATCCTGGAACACGTCAGATAACTATAATACTCTTCAACACCCGCGAAGATCCGGGTTAGAATAGGTCTTCAGCATCACATGCTTGCCATGAGAGGCGATCGGGTGGTCAGGCTCGCTGACTTGGTTGATGCATGTCATCGTATCCAAATTGCATCGATCAATACTCATGATGTCAATCACTGGATTGTCCGGTCCAGACTCAATTGTTTACAGACCGTCGTCATATAGCTGGAATACTGCTGAGTTAAACACACAAACAATACTCTTCAAAGCGGCCCTAAACCCAACTCACTCACTCATTTGTTGAGGTCGACCTATTATTGACTGCAATGTGTTGAGACAGGGATCCGTGTATTTTTTAAGAATATGAAAATATCGCATTGTCAGCGAATTCCGAGTTGTTATTTTGCATTCTGGAAATCCTTTTGATATATATTTAGCAAAATGACCGCAAAAATCAAATTAGTAGTAGTAGTAGTAGTAGTAGTAGTAGTAGTAGTAACTATGATTGAGTAACGGGTACCCGCATGAGATAACCAAAAACAATGTCATTGTACGGGTTCGAATCTCATTCGGTTCTAAAGGCCCTGGGTATTTTCCGGACCATTACTTCATACATTTGTAAGACACATCTACACTACAGGGAACAAGAATAATCTAACAGGTCGTCTCTCTTTGTTATCAGTGTAAACGGGCTATCACAGATAACCAAAACGGTCATCAAGCGGGCACCTTTGACTCTGACATTGTCTGCTCTCACGCAGATACACATAGCTGGCTATACGTATGCGTACAACTGGCGCATGCATACAACTGATGTAAGTCGTGCAGTGATGAGGCTACCACTCTGTGTTTGTGTGGTTGCTGTATTCAGACTGACCCATGGGCTGGACAACGGTCTCGCTCTAACGCCACCCATGGGCTTCCTGTCGTGGGAGAGATTCAGGGGTAACGTGGATTGCAAGCGGGACCCTGACAATCTTATCAGGTGAGTTATCAGCTTAATCGGGGGAGGGAAGGGGGCGGGGCGGAGGGATGGGGGTGGGGGGATTGAGGGAAGGGGGCGGGGTGGTGGGGTGGGGGTGGAGGGATGGGGACGGAGGGGGGGGGTGGGGGAATGTTTTACTGTTCATCCACTGTCAAGGCGTAACATTTGTTTTTACTTGCTTAACCGGAAGGGTGATTTAGGAGTGAGGATATACTTGTGTTTATTTGTTGTTTAACGCCGCACTCAGCAATATTCCAGCTTTATGACGGCGGTCTGTAAATAATCAAGTCTGAACCAGACAATCTAGTGATTGATATCATGAGCATCGATCCACGCAAATGGGATACGATGACATGCATCAACCAAGTCAGCGAGCCTGACCACCCGAGGACGAATGAAGTCGATGAATGCGTACCTGCACACCTGGAGGTGTTCTCTGTTTTTAATTATAATAATAATAACAATAATAAAAATAATAATAATAATAAAAATTAAAATAATAATAATACCTAGTTTGTCTGTTCCAGATTCGTTTATTTTCAGGCCGCCGCCATATAGCTTGTACGGGGTAACAACAAACAAACATTAAAATGTTTTTATCTACAGACCCATGTTTAATGCCCGGATAAGCGGGTTCGAAACAAATACTTAACGTTGAATCTCCCTTGGCGGAAAGAAAAGCCGGGCTTAGGGTAGCACAAGAACGTGTTCTTTCCGATATTTGCACATGTGCACTTGGTGACTGATCATGACTATGGGGTGAGGTAAAATGGGGTTTAACGTCGCGTCAAAGATTATTGCACTTTATTTACATGCATAGTGCATGCCGCAGTTTAACATGAAGACGCCACTCAGACACAGTAAACTGACTCCAAGGCGACCAGTCCTTGTTTCCTTGTTTCCTTGTTTTATCCCCTTAATGCCGAGCGCGAGACAGGGTAACAACAAGTACCATATTTCAACGTCTTTTGGTATGACGGGGTCCGAACACCGGACCTTCTGCTCTCCGCATTGACACTCTACCACGAGACCACGGAGGCGGTCTTGTGACCTAAAGAAAAATCGGTATACTTTTTTTTTTTATTATTTTAATTTGACCTTTTAAATAAACTGTCAGGAATGATTATATTAAGCCGTCATGTTTTTGCCGGTGTGATAAGGCTCCTCGGTATAAGGCCCGAAACTAGAATTATTTTGTTCTACATTGTCGATTTATGGGTCCGTCGGATCCGTAAAGAAAAAAACCCGTTTCACAACATATGCAAGAAACTGATACTCTTTTTCCCGTTTTCTCTCAGTTGGTTGGGGGATCGATGCTCATGATATCAATCACTTGATTGTCTGGTGCAGACTCGATTATTTACAGACCGCCGTCATATAGCTGGAATATTGCTGAGTGCGGCGTAAAACAACAAACCAACCAACCAACTAACCAGACCTTGAATGACCACGTGCATAACGTCATAACATAGCTGATTGAGTATTATTTCGAATTTCTTTTCAAAGTGAGGAGCTATAATGTTTATAAAATGTCCACTCTATTTAATTGTAAAACAGAAGGTTCTCTTAGATAACTAGCTCGATTCTGTAAGTTAAAAACGAAGCGTTTTATGACATCCCAAAAAGCATGTATATCAAGTTACTAGTTATTAGTTCAGCATGTTTGTTTATGTCTGTGTACATATTGTATGCATTCAATATAACTCGTATACCTGCTCTGTTCTCACAAAAAAACCATCTTACTTGTGTAGCGTACTATTAAGTGATGCCATCCAAGCCGCCACCCCCATCCCCACTCCATGCCATCCAAGCCTGTCGCCCCACCCCATCCCCCACCTCCATATCATCCAAGCCGCCACCCCCATCCCCACTCCATGCCATCCAAGCCCATCGCCTCACCCCATCGCCCCACTCAATATCATCCAAGCCGCCACCCCCAGCCCCACCCCATGCCATCCAAGCCCCCCAACCCCAATCCCCACTCCATGCCATCCAAGCCCGTCGCCCCACCCCATCCCCCCATTCCATATCATACAAGCCCCAACCCCCATCCCTACTACATGCCATCCACGCCCGTCGCCCGTCGCCCCAACCCTCACTCCATGCCATCCACGCCCGTCGCCCCACCCCCAACCCCCACTCCATGCCATCCACGCCCGTCGCCCCACCCCCCAACTCACACACACGCTGATGGTCATCCTCATTGATACCGACTCTGCCTACAGACTGTCTCTCGGCTCAAGCCAGAAGATTGGAAAGCGTTAATGTCGTAAAAACAAAGTAACTAAACTTCATTGAATCTGAAGTAATGACGAATGAATAGATTTTTACGCCGCTTTTTGTATTCCAGCAAAATCACATAGGGAGATGAAGGAAATGAGCTCCAAACATTGTTGGGAATAGAACCATCGACGTGACGAGCAAACGGTTTAACAACCAGGCTACCTCACAACGAAGAAGTTAATCTCGAAAACAAGATTACATTGATTACAAAAACCCACGATCATAGAATTCCAGTACAACTAACGGAGGCAACAATGCACTGTGGATTGTACCGCGTTTGAGGACTGGAGCACCTGTGTCCATTAGATGTTTATTTGTGATTGTTAATAGAAGTTGGTACAGCATATATATGCTCACATCCAGTCCGTTGACCTTCTGTTTCGTTATAGATGCATTCACGAGGACTGAAGCTGGTTATCTACGGAGATGTGGGGACTTACTTCATCACACCAACTTCTAAATGCCACTTAAAGAAGTTACCTCCTCCGTTCAAATGTTTATCCCACGGAACCGAGAGATAGACGATAACGTTCGGAATACCCCGTTTTAACGTTCTCGAGATTGCATGATTAGAAAACACATTCCGACTGTCACTTTCATGATCTGGTACGCATTGATTGGTCGGATGAACGGTCGTTTTGACGTGACCCGTAATGGGATGTCCTCAGATCTTTGTTTAGCGGCAGCGAGAACTAAGATCTGATTTGAATGAGATTGCATTGCGTTTGAACGCGTTTACTTCCTACGCTATTTGGGCTCATCCTAAAGAGCGCAAAAGCTTTGACCATTTCTAATTTTTTAAATTTTATTTCATAATACCAACATCCGGGATAGTTTGGTTTGAACATTATTTTCGTTGTATACAAGTGTCAGAATAAACCCCGAGGTTATGCAATTCTTAGGGGTAGATGTAGATGTGGACGTGGGAGTAGATGTAGAGGTAGTGGAAGGTGTGGATGTAGGTGTAGATGTAGAGGAAGGTGTGGATGTCGAGGTAGATGTAGCGATAGGTGTGGATGTAGGTGTAGATGCATAGGAAGGTGTGAATGTCGAGGTAGATGTAGCGATAGGTGTGGATGTAGGTGTAGATGTAGAGGAAGGTGTGGATGTCGAGGTAGATGTAGCGATGTTGTGGATGTAGGTGTAGATGCAGAGGAATGTGTGGATGTCGAGGTAGATGTAGCGATAGGTGTGGATGTAGGTGTAGATGTAGAGGAATGTGTGGATGTCGAGGTAGATGTAGCGATAGGTGTGGATGTAGGTGTAGATGTGGAGGAAGATGTGGATGTCGAGGTAGATGTAGCGATAGGTGTGGATGTAGGTGTAGATGTAAAGGAAGGTGTGGATGTCGAGGTAGATGTAGCGATAGGTGTCGATGTAGGTGTAGATGTAGAGGAAGGTGTGGATGTAGGTGTAGATGTAGAGGAAGCTGTGGATGTCGAGGTAGATGTAGCGATAGGTGTAGATGTAGGTGTAGATGAAGAGGAAGCTGTGGATGTCGAGGTAGATGTAGCGATAGGTGTAGATGTAGGTGTAGATGTAGAGGAAGGTGTGGATGTAGTTGTGGATGCAGAGGAATGTGTGGATGTCGAGGTAGATGTAGCGATAGGTGTGGATGTAGGTGTAGATGTAGAGGAAGGTGTGGATGTCCAGGTAGATGTAGCGATAGGTGTGGATGTAGGTGTAGATGTGGAGGAAGATGTGGATGTCGAGGTAGATGTAGCGATAGGTCTGGATGTAGGTGTAGATGTAGAGGAAGGTGTGGATGTCGAGGTAGATGTAGCGATAGGTCTGGATGTAGGTGTAGATGTAGAGAAAGGTGTGGATGTCGAGGTAGATGTAGCGATAGGTGTGGATGTAGGTGTAGATGTGGAGGAAGATGTGGATGTCGAGGTAGATGTAGCGATAGGTGTGGATGTAGGTGTAGATGTAGAGGAAGGTGTGGATGTCGAGGTAGATGTAGCGATAGGTGTGGATGTAGGTGTAGATGTAGAGGACGGTGTGGATGTCGAGGTAGATGTAGCGATAGGTGTGGATGTAGGTGTAGATGTAGAGGAAGGTGTGGATGTCGAGGTAGATGTAGCGATAGGTCTGGATGTAGGTGTAGATGTAGAGGACGGTGTGGATGTCGAGGTAGATGTAGCGATAGGTGTGGATGTAGGTGTAGATGTGGAGGAAGATGTGGATGTCGAGGTAGATGTAGCGATAGGTCTGGATGTAGGTGTAGATGTAGAGGAAGGTGTGGATGTCGAGGTAGATGTAGCGATAGGTCTGGATGTAGGTGTAGATGTAGAGGAAGGTGTGGATGTCGAGGTAGATGTAGCGATAGGTGTGGATGTAGGTGTAGATGTGGAGGAAGATGTGGATGTCGAGGTAGATGTAGCGATAGGTCTGGATGTAGGTGTAGATGTAGAGGAAGGTGTGGATGTCGAGGTAGATGTAGCGATAGGTCTTGATGTAGGTGTAGATGTAGAGGAATGTGTGGATGTCGAGGTAGATGTAGCGATAGGTGTGGATGTAGTTGTAGATGCAGAAGAAGGTGTACATGTCGAGGTAGATGTAGAGGAAGATGTGCATGTAGAGGTAGGCATAGAAGAAGCATATTACTAGTAACCAAAATTCCAATTTGGATTGAGGGTCGCTCGAACGTTCTTATTAAATGAAACGCATCCATACTGAACACGTTCTTTTCGTCCCGTGTGCCAAATACGGAGGAATATGATCGTCATCACTCAAGGAGTGAGTGAGTTTAGTTTTACGCCGCTTTTAGCAACTTCCAGAAATATCACGTCGGAAGACACCAGAAATGGGCTTCACACATGGTTACAATGTGGGGAATCGATCCGGGTCTTCGGCGTGACGAGCGAACGCTTTACCCACTAGACTACCCCACCGCCCCAATCACTCCTGGACCGATAGCAATCAGTATGTGGTGGTTACGACATGTGATCTGAAGCTTGTTGATTGTATGTCACCATACCCCGACGGCGATGATCGTTGCTCACATTATCAGAAACTGATTTGAAGGATGCTGACCCAGATTATGTACAGGTCGCCGTGATATAGATGGAATATTGTTGACTGCGGTGTAAAACAACATTCACTCGATCACGTATTGACCGGCAAGATGTGAGTTATCTTATAAACAGCCCAATAACGTGTCAGTTTTTGACACTGCACAATGTCTGTTTTGTTGTTTTATCTAGCGCATGTATGAAGTCAACAAGAAGTACTGCAACACTTGGAGAAACTTCTTTGACATCCAAGACAGCTGGCGGAATGTGCTAGAGGTCATTATCTATTATGGGATAGATCTTGGCAACTTTTCTGGAGTAGCTGGACCTGGTGGCTTCAATGATCCGGACCAGGTGAACTTCGTGACGACGGCTTCGTGGGCAAGGTGCTTATATAGTCAGAAAATGTTTCAAAATAATGCGAATATACAGCAGAAAATGTTTATAACGAACACGGATATGACATCCCAATGGTTATAACGATCTATTTAATAAGTATAACTGCTTTACTGAATACTATGGTATTGAATTAACCATCATTTACTGTTCACGGGACCAACGAATTCTGTAGTAAACTGTATTTTGCACCGCATAAGTACGGAAGCCCTTTAGGGCCATTTGTTTTTTTGGGGTGTTTTTTTCGATACTATCTTGAAATTTGAGGATCATAAGTTGAAATTTCAAGATACTAAGTTTCAAGTTATCATTTTGAAAAAAAATAAAAATAAACAAATGGCCCTTAAAGACTTCCGTACCAAAGAGACTTCACCATCATAATTATACCTCCATGTCAGAATGATGAGATCTGATTGGTCCACGTCATCTTTATGTAATACTGTGTCTCCTGCATCAGTCGCCATGGGTGAATAAAACAACAAATAATTATCTTATTCTCAATTCACTAGACCGAGAGATCTGTGAACTATTTCCGTGGCATTAAGATATAACGTCGCCAAACATTGTCTCCGAGTCAGACCTGATCACTATTTCCGAATTATGAACTGTAATCACACATGTATTTTCGAACACCTGGTGTCATCACTGATTTTGAATGACCCATATTTTCCCCGCTATTTATTTTTACTCCCAAAAGTATCTGTTTCGGCTGAGGATCGAGATCCTTATTCTCTGGCGTGGACGTTTGTAGGTGTTTTTCAAGCAACGTCTAACGGAGAGGTGCGAAACTACCATTGTAACTTACACCGAAAAAAGTACAATTTTTGTTTACACCTAAAAAAACAACAATTCTTTTATAAGTTATCCTCAATTTACCATCTATACAGTAAAGTATTAATTCAAACATAACACGGTCGAATGTGATATTTATTGTCTAACTTGAAAATCGGAATCTTTCGCACTTTAGTATTTTAGTGGCAGATGGTTTGTGACCTGCTCTCACACAATTTGGTTCATTATTATAATAGGTCTGCTCGCGTTAATATATGAAAAAATATAAATAACCATCACATAATACGAATGAACATGTAAAAACATAAAAGAAATATTATCATTTCGTTTTTATGTCCAAATTTCATTTGTCATCATAGATTTTTCTCGAATGAAAGTCGAAAATGTGATGGTGAAACACGTTTATACATAACTAATGAAACATTTTTATAAAAATTACCAACATTTGTTGCATACAAGATCTAACATAAACGGTCCAAAAATGAAACAAATAGCTTTTAAGCGCATCTAATTTTAGCGGGTCCTCGTGAAATAAGATTTGCTTACACTTAAAATTAGCCTTTTTGCGCCCCTGACGGACTTACATGTACTTAGTTTGTCGACTCTCATTTTTTCGAAACGGTATTGCCGAACGTTATTGTTTTAGAATTCGACAATTATCAAAATTCCAATGATAGGATTTAAAAAAAAGATCAATTTTTCATGCAAAATCACCCTTTACAAAGTCGTTGAGCAGTCAATCAGATAATCTTCCTAAATAGCTGTTTCTACAAGTACTTTGAAGATGACCAACTCACTGTCACAGCTGATCATCGGGGACTTCAGTCTGAGTTATGACCAGGAGAAGGTTCAGTTCGGGATGTGGGCGATGTTTGCCGCCCCACTCTACATATCCGCTGATCTGAGGACCATGAGACCACAGGCCAAGTCCATTCTACAGAACAGGGGCGTCATTGCCATCAACCAGGACCCACTGGGACAGCAGGCGAAGCTCCTGACAAAGGCATGTTATATTATTGTCTTCAATATTTAATCTACGACTTCCATGGGAACTATAGGTGCAAAGTAACCAAAGTTTGTCGTGAGGTGAGGTGAGGTGAGGTGAGGTGAGGTGAAAGGTCGCATCCAAGATTATTGCACTAACATAGCGACGTGCATGCACGTGTCGGCGTGTGTGTGTGTGTGTGTGTGTGTGGCTGCTTGTACTAGTCCGGACTAATGCCAACTTTTGTAGTGCTATCCCACTGAGACACAGTATACCGACTCCGAACCGACCAGTCTTTGTTTTAGCCCCTTAATGCCGAGCGCCAGGTAGGGTAACAACCAGTACCATCTTCTTAAGTCGTTTTGTATGACACGGCCGGGGTACGAATCCCAGACCTTCCGCTCTCCGGGCGGACGCTCCACCACTAGACCACAGAGGCGGTCGCTTGACGTAAGAGGCAACTATCCATTGTTTCGTGGCAACTATAATGATCGGACGGTCAGGCTCGGTGATTTCGTTGATTGTATGTCATCTATGACAGTGGATGGGTACCCGGTAGGATGAGATGGTAAGTGGCTGATAACCTAGCGCCTCACAGGCAGTTTAGGTTGTATATTCTCCAGGCAGCTAAGAATTAAAAAATCTAGTGCACACTGATCCACCGATCGGGGTAATAATGTAAGAGCTTTGAACATACACCTTGCGTGAGGAGTGTAGCGCAATATAAGTATACACATGATTATCATCATTATTATTATTTATCTACCCCGAGCCTTTGCTGTTAGTAAATCACTGGTTAATCTGGTCCAGAGGCGATTGTTTACAGGCTTCTGTCATGCAGCTGCTATATTACTGGTTGCAGCGTTAAACAACAAACAAACAATAATATTTGGAACTATATTTTAGATGTTAATACATAACCCTAAGAACCTTTTGAAAGTTATTTCTGATATGAAAACCGTATCAAGTAACAATATCAACTGACATCTCGATTAGATTTATCTGAGAGATACATATATACCTTTTTCACATCCAGATCGCAAATATTGAAGTGTTGACCAAAGCATTGGCTTTTAAAGGTTATGCAGTTGCGTTTTTCAATCCGGATCTTGGCGGAACACCCACACTCGTGACCTTGACCTTGTCGCAGATCCAATTGACCAATCAAAATGGGTACAACATCACGGACGTATTCGACGACATCAACGTTGGGACATACAATCTTACAGATAAATTCAGTATTTCAGTTAATCCAGAGGGAATTGTTCTTCTCAAGATCGTTCCACTGTGATATGTTATCCTCAATAAACTGTGATTAGACGCGGTGGTTGGAGAACATACAAAAAGTCTTTTGTTTCACGATTTGTCCGAACACATATTCCAGTTTTGATGTTGAATAAAATAACAATGAAAAGTGGACATCAAAGTATGTGGCAATTTGTTTGGTCAAAATGCGGAAATAATCCTGAAATGTGGTTCCCGAAACCAGAGACCATGCTACCAAATCAAATTGTGTAGCAGTTCATAAATGCTGATGGTTTTTTATAAAAAGAAAACAAAATTTTAAAAAATCCAGACAAATATGGTGCATTCATAACAGATGTCATATGTATTATGGTTTTTCAAAAATCTCATGAAATAGAAAATTATGAGTAAGTTCCGGCTTGGGCTGGAGTGAAGATAGGTGAAATATATAAAACGAAAGAAATATCTTCGCCTCTGATTTTACACAGGCAGTTTGTTAGCTGGACATGCTGCACGTCCAGGAGAAACAACTGTACAGCACCAATGGGCTCATGGCAGCTCTGAATATCACCTCGCCTGGATCCCTTAAACTCGTAAACCAGAATGATCTCATACAATAATACACCTGTAACTACAGGTAGGGTTACATGTTTTTTTGCTTGTTGTTTGACCTACACTCAGCAACATTCCAGCTACATGACGGTGGCCTGAAACAATCGAGTCTGGATCAGACAAAACGAGTGAGCGACGATTCACGCCTTTGAGGAAAGCTGACATGTAATCAAGTCACTGAACCTGACCCAGATCCATTAAGCCGCCTCGGACGACAAGCTTAAGCATTGGTAGCAGTCACTGTTTACTTCTTGCTGGGAACCTATTCTAACCCGCATCAACACGTGGTGGCCACATTGTTTGAAAGACATTACTTAGAGGTTAACGAATGACAAAGTAGACAAAATTTATGGATACCAAAGTCTTTATTTACTGTAAATAAAGAAGTTGTTATCCATAAACTGTCTACTTTGTGGTAGGCCGCGTTGTAAATGATTCTGAAGCAAACTACATGTATCTCCTTCTGGCCCCAATCTATAACTATGTTGGAGTCGATCAAGGTTATCCTCTTGTAGACGGCTGTTACCATCACAACAAAACTCCAGCTGACCTTTTATGTTTTTAGTAAAACGTTTCAAAGTTCTGTATACATATAGTTTCTGCATATAGTTGATCATTTCTTCACACACACACGTTATTCATTAAGACACAAATCTATAGCGATATGTAAAGGCTTTAAGATATTGGTTGATAGTATATATTGAACAATGTTGGAAATATCATAGCAAAAGCTAACAGACATGCCTCAAGCAAGTTCAAGAAAATGTCATAACTGTGGGGGTAATTGTCTTCATCGCTTTAGCGGCAGTGACGTTAGACCAAGTACAAATTGTCTGCATGAAGCCAAGCGTGAAAGCGTGAGATTCAAATGTTCAGTTGCATAGCTCAGCCCACTTTTTTCATATGTATGTATGTATGTATGTATGTATGTATGTATGTATGTATGTATGTATGTATGTATGTATGTATGTATGTATGTATGTATTGAGTTATGCAGTATATCATTGTTCCCATAGTTGCAGAGTAAAAGTTTTCCGTCGAAAACATATTTCTGATTGAATAGAATGACACAATATATTCTTTAAAAATTCAAAGGTTTGGAAATAAACAATGTCATATTTCAAACCAAAAAGACTCAAACATAGCATGTAGCAATAGAGAGCTAAGAATCAAATGCTGAGAATAAAAGTGACCATTTTTTGTTAAAGTTATTTTTGTCATGCTTTTTTATAGCAATAATTTTCTCGATTGAATATGTTTTAAGTAGTTTTAAAAGCATATCTCATTTCGGTTTGGTTCCTTTGATTCCATATACATGAATATGCCTTTTCCCCAATAAAAGTATATGATTAAAGCATCAGTTAGAACCAAGCCAAATAAGATATTTTGTCAATTTTTTTTTTTGAGGAAGATGTTTGTTGAGCCAAAGATCAAAATCAGTCCCAAATGGTTTACAAATGTAGTTACATACATTCCCAAAAGACATGGCTGATTTCCTCATTGACAGGATTACAAAAGCTACAAACACTGTTGTCTTCAAGATTAGTGTTAATAGTTCCTTCTTTGTGTTGATAATTCAATGTAGAAATCTGTACTGAAAATCTAAAAATTTACATCATTCAGTTTACATCTATAAACAGTAAATATCTTTTTTCAAATTAAAATCACAGTGAAATGTTGATTGCCATTTATCACAAACTTTAAGATTATTTTCATTTCATATTAATTTATCTGATTAAATGATTCTAGCGCCTTTGAATGCTTCGTCAGATCACTTCAGCAACTTTAGCAACTGTTTAGATACAAGTTCTGTAAAAGTATTTTTCTAGTTTTCTTGATTGTTATTTTCTATGAGTCTGGTATAATGAAAAATAAATATCTATAGTCTAATATTGTACCTTTAATCGGATATTTATTTTCAGTTCTTCAAATGACATCAATCCGTTTTCATTGCATATATCTTTAATTGAGTAAATGTCATTATTAGCCCATTGCTTTACGTAGTATGTTGCTTGTTTGAAGTTGTGATTAAGTCATAACGGTTGGGACAAAATGTCTTCGATATTATCAACATTAATAATAATTTTTTTTTATAAAAGTTGTTCCAAGCTTTCAATATATCTTTCCAGTAGGGGTTTTAACAAAAGATTGCTTATCAACATTAGCACCAAGAGAGAGTTTATCTTTAATTGGGATATTACAAGGGAGACTGTATGCAGTTTTTTTGCAATATTATCTGAGCGTATACGTAGATAGTTTCAGTGCGTCAATAAAGGTACTAATGATAATCATGTGTAATCCACCTTCCTCATTTTTATTATTCCAGATAAAATTGTAAAATATTTGTCAAGTGATAAGACATAGTCCTGAAGAGGGTTTGGTAGTGTCGAAAATATGTGAACTAGTTTTGGCAATGCTTAAGTTTTTATGACTGTAATTTTTCCTATTATCGTTAGTTTTCTTTTTCTCCAATTTGCAAGCAATCTATTTATTTCTTGTAGTTTTCTTTTTGTATTGATTACCCCGAGTTCACATAAGTTTGAATTAAATTCCTAATACTTGAAATTCCTTATCGTGCCATTCTATTTGTAAATCTTGACATAATCGACCATTTCTACCCGCTTTTGAGCCTATCCATTTTGCTTTTGTCTTGTCTACATTAATCTTTAAACCAGAGTGATTGAGTTGGGTTTAACTCCGCTTTTAACAGTATTCCAGTTATATCGTGGCGTGTCAGCTTAATGTGGGAGGAAAGCCAGAAGTGATGCAAGTCTCAGACGTTTACCACTTCGGTGAAACCCACGAGCACGGGTATGGTGTTGACAAACCTAGAAACATAATCGGGGCAAACCGGGATTCGAACCAACAATCATAGGTTTCTGGCATGCCCAAGAAACGCAACTCTGCACAGCGAATCGCGGCGCCTCAGACGACTGGGCCAACCGTGCCCCCTTTAAACCAGACATTTTGTAGAATTTAAGAAGTGTTTCTATAGCTTATATAAGCTTTCATCTTTGTTATTTAAATATAATTCAGTATCATCAGCATACTGCCAAAGATTGTATTCTTTGTCATTTACAGTAATCCCTTCAATTTTATTATTATTTCTTATCATACATCCAAGGATTTCAGCTACTATTTCTAGTTTTTAATTTGGTTGTCTCATGTTGGAGTCTCTAAATTTGTTAAAACTTCTGTCATTGCCATTAGATGTACATAATATTTGATAAAAGTTTCTTAATTCATACAATATGCAAATGCCGTCTGTTGTTATTCTATTTCTAATAAGTATTCCTCTTATTTCCTCTTCTTTTATATGTTCCATTTCTAATTTGGTAGATGTTTTTAGTCTATTTGTTAAAAATTTCGCCTTATGTCATCTTCTAATTCGCTTATCGTACTTTCTTATCTTTTCTGTTTGATTGATTTTGGTTCTTTTAATGAATGAAGAAAATGAAATTGTTTTCTCTCTAACTTTCATAAACAGGGTTCAAAAATCATCGATTTCAAGTTTGTAGTCTCACTTTGTTCACCATCATTTTTCTCAGAATATTCTTTTTAGTTTCTTCTATAACTGTTTAAACTAAATCTATAAATTCTTTATTTAATAGGAGTGAAGTATTTCATTTCAAATATACGCGTCCCCATTCTTGATTAATTGCAGCAGAGACAAATAACGTTATGACTGAGTGATCAGGTTTTTATCCATTGGAAATAAAACATTTGTTTCCAATGTCATATTGCTTATGTCTTCAGAAACTAAACAAAGTCCAGCCCAGCTTGTTGTCTCGGGTTTTTCTTCCACCATGTGTCTTTATTTAGTTCTCTCCATATATTTATCATATTTAACGATTCTATTCTTTTCAAAACTATCTGTCTTGCTTTAGTTTCATATATATATTTATATAATTTTCTAAATCAACTGCAGGATTAAGAATAAGGTTCCAGTCCCCAACAATAACTAATCATTTTCGAAGTTGTCCATATTGTCAAATAGATTTTTATAAAAATCAGGGTCATAACTATTAGGTCCATAGAGATTAGTTAATGTTAGTCTTGTACCTTCTAGAGTTATATCATCTATTATATAATTGCCATTTTCATTTATTTTAGAGCTATGAATTGTAATGTTTACATTATTGTTAAACATTATAGCAACACCTCTAACATTAGATTTATATGGTGCAATTATGCTTTGTATACCCCATTCATTCCTCATAAGAGTAACATCATTTTTTGAAATGTGAATGTCTTGCAAACAAACAATAGAGACCTTTCTTTTTCTCCAAATATTCAGTACTTCCTTCCTCTTATTTTTATCTGCTCAGCCTCTGCAATTAGCCGAAATCACTTTTATTTATTTAATATTAGCCATAATCTACTATTACAAATTGTAATGTACAATAATGAGCTGCAACGGGTATTTGACTTCGATAAACCACAGGGAACATTTTTTTCTTTGCAAACTAAAAAAAATTAGATGAACATAGAAATATAAAAACATAAATACAGGTGTTCCACAGTGGACGAAGGAATCCGCCTTTAAATTAATCTGAAAGAGACCCATATCATATATTTAAATGTTATGTATCTTTTCATTTTATCTGTATTGTCAATCTACAAGATGAATTAAGAATTACAAATTATCAGGCTCTATATTGACCTAGAGGACCTGAATTAAATACAGGAACTCGAAGATACACACATTCCTCTCTGGCCTATTATTATTAAGTCATCATCCGAAAAATGCTGAATATGGGGTTAAGCCAAAAAATGTGAAACTAAAATTAAGTATTTAGATTTCCCTGTAAGAAAACCCCATCCAACAAGCAAATACACCATAATAGCAACAAAACCAACTGAATTCATATAAGATCTATTTCAACTGGTCAAGCCATGGGTATGTGTGTGTGACACAGTTCAAAATATTGACATTGCACATGTCACGACTTCAACGTTCTATAGGTTTGTATTTATAATTTAATTCAATTATATCTATATTAAGTAAACTAAACTAATTCAGTTGGCATCACAAACTCAACATCACCGGTAAGATACCTTTAACTCATTTTACATTAAAAAAGGGGTGGTGGTGTGTATGTACCGAACGCTAAAGTTCGGTTAAATTGCTATCCAAGTGACCGAAACCCAAGAACCCTTTATAGTTAAATATCCCCACATCTGCTCATCTATTCAATGTACAGTGGGTCGCAGGAACCGTCGAGCACATAGATGTTCACAGGCCTCATTGATACTCCTTGCCCAGCCCGTTGATCAGACAACAGGTTTTGAATGAAATTATATTTACATTTATCTAAAACCTAGAACATAAAATGTTATAATAAATGTGTATCTATGAAATGATTCATAAATATAATTTGGTTTCCATGAATAAACCTTCACCAATTCGTGTTTACTTTTGTTATCAATCGTGTGTATGATTGAATACATTGAGATATGTATTACAAAAGAAATTTCTCCCTGATTCTTGAGAAAGGTAAGACTTAATCTTGAAGGGATGTAAAAATATATCTTTTCTGTTATACACGTCCATATATTTGTCCCTATTATCCCAAAGGCTGCCATCTTTTACAAAATGAATGTCTTTCCTCATCTGAAGGCCATGGGCAATATTTGCAAATCCTATTTCCATCATGACGTCATGTTTCAACAACAAGTCAGCCACAAATGTGAAATTATTTTCAAAAGAAGCTGGTACGTACATAAAATCACAGCTTTGAATAAATATATTTGAAAAATTGTTTGAGTTATGCTGAAAATTGTGAAGAAAGCGATGTACAAAAGATCTTGTTGACTTTGGCTTTGACATGTTCCGTATTTCATCAATGACGGCTAGTATCCTTGGTTTACCCCCTTTCCAATACATCCACCACGGATTAATCTCTTTGTCAGAGACGTTTTCACGCCTGATTCCCGTATGCAGCCAGATCTTATCACGTGGCAGTGTGTCAATGTTCCAAGGGTTAATCAGAGTGTCATCTCCAATCTGTAAGAATCCTTTCACATCGACGTTGAGCTTCATGGCCTCAACGGTGCATTCATACATGTAGTACCAACCTCTCTTCAAGAGCTCCATGTATATGAAATACCCTGTGCTTGTTTTATGAACAGAGGATGTGAACGTATTGATCTTTGGTCCACAGAAAATGATGCTATGGAAATAAGGGCGATACATGGCTTCTAATATTGGAATATTTGCATACAATGATGGCTCATTAAAGGATATTATAAGTGCTATATCATTAATAGTCATATTAGGGAATGCTATGGCAGTTTTTGGACATACAGTGCCAAGAATGTCCTTTGTCTCTTTGCTCATAGATGTGGAGATTGTCGGCAAAGAAATAATTCCAGCTGTAAGATTTTTCTTCAAATGAATAATTCTCTTTTGAGCAGTCCGTTTTGGAAGTTGATAATGGATAGACCTTAAATCAGAGATCCATCCATCCACTAAATGTATGTCTCGTAAAGTAAGGAGTTTATTTTCTTTCAGGAGTTTTAATAAGTCACTCATACATTGTAACACATCGAGATCCCCTTTACATTGCCAAAACTGCAAAACGTCAATCAAAGGTTTTGAAGAAGTGGTGTTCAATGTATCCGACTCTAGTTCCACAGAAAGAGGATAAATACCAGTCCTGCCCCTAACATCCCATAAGACACGTTGCACTATAATATCCCCTCTGATGACACTCATCAAAGGAAGAGCCCAGAAGGCATTGTACTGGAACATCATCAAATCTAAACTTAAGGAGGTGAATGTTTTACATGGAAGAAATATTGGGGGGTGTTGGCTAATGGATTTAGAATATGTGTCATGTTCTTGTAGTGAGCCTGTATGTCTTTTAAGCATTTGGGGATAGAATACTGACAGAATCAAAGGGTTTAAATGTTCTTCAATGTAAAATTCATTAAATGATGACTTTTCTTCCAAGAGATTTCTTGATTTGTTCCCAGTTGTGATTGGTGCCATGTTGGGTTCAAAGAACGTTTTGTTTGTCATAAGAACTAAGCCAGATTGGGGAAGATTATTTGTAATTCTTTTCAACATTTCCAACACATGTATGTTCAAGTGATGGATGAGACATATGAGACTTGCCCCATGAGATATGGCATAGAGATAAGCACGGTTCCCATCTTCAACAGCGTCATGTGACGTGTTTATTGTGTTCCAAGTAACACACCACGGTGACCTGTAAATAGAGAGAACATTGAGGGTAGGAATGGTTTCTGGTTTTGTTTCTTTTGGTTTGTTGTCGTTAAATGTCGCACTCAGCAATATCCCATCTGTATGATTGCAGTCTGTAAATAATCGAGTCTGCACCAGACCATCCCCTGACTGACATCATGTCCATCGATCTAAGAAATCAGACAGTTTATTCAGTATCTAAGGAGATATGGCCCATTGTACAGTTCAGTTTTACCAAATACATGAACACCAACGTGAAAATGAACATAGCATAATATATATATATTCATTCATCTCAGTCTAAATACATGTTTTAAGTACATTGTAAAGTTTTGAAAACATCTTCATTGTTGGAATTCAACAAATTGGTAATTAATTGATTGTCTTTGTATGTAATATCTAAATCTTTGGTCTCATGTTCTATAATTTTCAAATGAAAACTCGTCTTCAATCTCAAACTTTTAACAGAATCAGTACGACATTTATTGACATGGAAGTTATGGAGAGATTTTCTAAATTTACATAGGGTACCTATGAGCTTCAATTTTTAATACTTTTATCCAATAGTTAACAACACGCAGCTGGCTATGTACATATATACTACAGCGACCAGATAAGTATTGCTTTAATTGAAGCATATTTACCAATGCATAAAAATCGCTTAAAAAACAAAGTATGAACCTTTTCAATGGATTCCAAATATTTAATGCCCCAACTTTACGAACCGTGTAACAAAATGGGTACAATTTTACCATCCAATATCGAATTTGCTGTGGAAAATGAGATTCATTTGTTTTCCTTAAATAATGTATAAACAGGAAACATTGCCTCAGATGCCTGAAGATCTATGGTCTTACAAGCCTTGGACCAATCAGCAGGCAGCGAGCCTCTTACAAGCAAGGGTTGGTGAAGACTATTTCTAACCCAGGACTACACGGTAGGCTGATATTGCAGAGAGGTCCATTAAAAAAATAACTTCCAAAATTCATTTTTTAAAATTCCTGTATAAATGTGTATTGGACATACGTTATTATCAAATATCACAAAGATATTAATTCCTCATTTCTTTGGTCAAGGATTTCGAAAATCGTAATTAACTCAATTTTGACAGTGAATAAAATCAGTGTAAGTTCCCTAAGTTACAAGGCAGCCCAAGACAAATATCACTGCAGAATTGTTCAAAGTGAAGTGAGGCATGCTGGTATTTAATGAGGACATATAAGTAATAGATTTGTGCAAAACAAACATTACTGCAGAAATGTTCGGTTTGTGCACGTCTAACTCGCGGGAAATTAGAAATCAAGGCTTTGGAGGAAAACGAGATGATTCGGGTCAATGACCTTTACCATCTGCTGAAACCATCGAGCAGGGGTATTGTTCTGTGACAAAACCAGAGTCACAATCAGGGTTAATCTTTGGATCCACACACGCGAACACAGGATTCTTGCATACCTAAGGGAAATAACTCTTCACGGCGAACTGACCAGGCGTCTTAGACAATAGGGTCCTTTGAGAGCCCTGGTAGACAGTGAAAATGAGCTTCTACCATTGATATTGTATCGGCTCAACCGACGAAGTTAGATAACATGGGGAGAAGTAGAACAATAGGGGTTCCGGATCAGCCCTGATTGTTGGATGGGTGTGAAGCCTTGGATTGAGGGGAGATTCCAGACTGGAGGATACAGAGAGGACTACAGTCCATGTTCTCAAGGCAATGGCAAAATATCCTTATCTAAGAGATTAGTTAAGAATGAGAAAAGAACCCCCATTTTTATTCCTATATAGGGAAACAGTTCCTAAATATTTTACCTGCAAACTGATTTAGATTTCGTTGTACTTGTTAGCAACAGTACTCTCCATCCCGCCACTCTGATGTCGTTCTTCTCAGCAAATGATGATAAGATGAGCCATTTGTCATATGTACCAGATGTGTTCTGACCAACAGTATTGGAGACATTCCTATAACATACACAGACAAATGCTTGACCGTACGCTCGCTTTCGTCCATACATAGGAGATTATTACACCATATTGAAATCATGATTTGAAAATTGGCTACCTACCAGGGAACTGGTCTCTCAAACTGTACAAAACAGAACCAAACACGTGATGTTTTTGCGAGCTGTTTACACTCGGATATTATGCATGCTAAAATTTAAAGTCACATTTTTTAAAAGTCATGTGCTGTTGTCATACAGTTTGAATTTTGCTTCGTGCGATGTTAAACAAACCCAATCATGTTTGTTTGAATGAATTTACTTAGCGATCTTTTCATATATGAATTCATGAATTGCCGCATTATTAATATCTGTATTTTCATTAAAAAACGGTTGGTAATGAGGCTCACAGTTTTAAACAAACCTCTATTCAGGAACTGAATAAAGGGGGTTATTTTGTTAGGTTCGAAGGATGGAGATACTCAGGGTTTTAGGGGTATGTAGACTCGATATTATACCCCCGACCTAAAAGAACAGGGGCATGCAGCTATACTAATTCTGTCCCTCCTTCTGAGGCCATTTTTTGCGTGAACTATCGCACAACCTTCACTTTTCCGATCTTAGGCAAATTTACGTCAGAAAAAAACCCCTCGGCAACCAATGATTACCGTAGTACGTTATCACGTGCTCGTGTCCCTATGACGACTGTCTTAGACTTGGACTTACCTAAGATTTTGCTAAGACCGTTTCAAGATCCTGTCTTAGACCGAATCTTAGCTAAGCAAAATCTTAAAAACTTAAGACAAAATTCATGCTTAGCAAATTTGAGCCAAGACCACTTTCATGATCGCGGGGCCAGGTTCGATTCCTCACTTGGGGACAAAGCCCATTTCCGTGATATTGCTGGAAAATTGCTAAAAGCGGTGTAAACCCATCTCATCCGCTCATGATGCTATGATATTGTATAATGATGGCTCCTTTACTGACTAAAGAACTCATTAGAGTTACTTGGCATGACAAACGGTCAGTCGGGCACACATAAAATTGGAATGAAGATGTATAATTTCAAACTAATTCAATTGAAATGAATTTGGCCACAAAATTACCCTTTCCTCGCGAATGGCTGGGTGGAGGCAGACATTGATCCTTTTGTGTTTTTTATAAATGATTATTTCTTTAAATAGTGAGCGATAACCCTTTGTACTTACTCCCTATCTTTACCAAGTAGAGACGTTGTGGGAATCCGTCCAATGGCCTGCGTTGACAAATCACCAGCCCAAAGAAACTGGTACACAAGAACCACCAGCGTAATCGCCAAAGTCGGAAGGAAGATGCTCTTCACTGTCAATGCATAAATGAATCAAAGTTTATACAACATTTATATGGAGTGAGTTCGTGAATGAGTGTTGGACGACTACCTTCACTTATGCCGCTTGTATATTGCTATCGCACAGAGACCATACCATGCGATAATATAACATGGATACTCCACTCGGATACATAAAAGTGAGTGAGTGAGTGAGTATGGTTTTACGCCGCTTTTAGCAATATTCCAGCAATATCACGGCGGGGGACACCAGAAATTGGCTTCACACATTGTACCCATGTCGGGAATCGAACCCGGGTCTTCGGCGAGTCGAGCTAACGCTTCAACCACCAGGCTACCTGACCGCCCCAAATAAAAGTGACTGTGAGCCAACCACTTCTTGTTTTCTCACCTTAATGACAGGCAGGGTAACGACAACTACTATCTTTTGCCGCCTGTTGGTATCACACGACCAGGGATTGAACCACTCGCATGCTTTCCGTGAAGACGCTCTGTTCACTTGATCACTGAGTGAGTGAGCGAGTTCAACATTTCAATTATCAATATAAATAAAAGCTATAAAAACATTTTCGTATTCATAAGAAATCCATTGTTCAATTCCGCCTATATTATAAGCATGTGCTTATAAATTATGAATCACTGTCAAATAGTGATAGGACCAGGTGTTGAAAAGGTGAGCGAATTCTGCCTCCACCGGTAACGCCCGTCACAACCACATGCAAACGCAAACAAAACTTAATTGTTCACCCGAAAAAAACATGGAACGTATGGCAAAGTCAAAATGAAGAATTTCTTGTGACATTACTTTTGTCACTGATGTGTCATATTTGAAAAAAATACTCCACATACTCTAAATACGTTCTACTATAAAGAAGGTCCTTCCTTTATTGGATTAAGGATTATGATTTATTTTTGATGAAGGGATTTTCTCGCACCCATCTACATTTCTCTCTTTGGACAGATATTTATGGAACTTTGGAATCCAGTTCAAAAGAGGAAAGGACATGTCTCCGGGTTATGGAGTCAAGAGAAAAATTGATGATGCTTTCATATAAATTATGTTATTTGAGGCCGTGTCAGTGCAGACTTGTCATGTAGGGAAGGCAAGCCAGATTTTGAATGACACTTGGCTGGGACAGCGTGTCAGCCTAATGTCTGAGGAAGGCAGGCAGTGTTACCAGCACCGCATCGTGAAACCCATGAACACTGTTGTGGTGCCGACATACCAAGAATCATAATCAATGAATCTGGTATTCAAACAACGACCATGGTATTCTGATACGCCGTACAGGGTCACCCCTATCCCCGGCATTGCAAGTGGCTTCATCAAGTGTGTATCACTAAATAAATATCTAACTATGATGAAAGCATCACACGTGTTTACATTAATGATTATAATGGTAGGTAAGCCCACAGTGATGCATGTCGTACCACGAGATACATTAATTGACCTAATGGCTTGGTATAAATGCCACATTTTGCTGGATAGAGACTAACTTAATCAATAATCACTACGCTCCTGTGAGTTTGTTCTGGGCCAACTGCACCGTAGCTTTACCTTCAGAGATGGCAGATAGCAGATTGAGAAACGTGCATTCTGACGTGTGCTCACCTGCAACTGCAACACGTTGCAAACGTCACGTGTTGCTTCCTTAATGATTAAATGAATTTAATAGTGTCTTTGAGTGTTTGGTTCCAAGAAACTTACATGCATCTGCTCATAACCGAGTTAGCGATTAAATCGACATTATTTCCATACTGTAGATTTTATCTACATTAAACTACGTTTAAAACGAACACGCTTATAAAAAGCTGACGGGTATAACGAACATATTGTTAGGTACCGACAATTTGTTACATATATGCTGTACATATGCTTATAACGAACTACGCTCATAACGAACTAAAATTAGTAGCCCCTATGAGTTCGTTAAAACAGTTCACTGTATTTGATACCCGGTACTATTAGCAGCAAAACGGAATGAAATACATTCCCAGTCCTTGTAGGTCATCAATGTAAGGTCTGTTTGTCAGTCAAATAGGTGAATATAAACATTTCTAGGGGACATACTATTTTTCCGTTATATTGCAAACGTTGTTAAATACAGGTTTATAATCATAGTGGACAAATTACTAAAATATATGGATGCTGCCACCAGTCATAAAATGTGACAAAATAAATACCAGACCTTGGACACGAGGTTCAGCGAAAAAACATCAGAAGGCTCTACAAAATTACGAATGTCGAAACTAGCGAAGTGCAGAATGATCACACAACAAGTAGGTTTAGTTCCATATAGAGTTTATTAATTATTCAATGAACTGAAAAATCTTGTACATGGACTCGAGATCGCGAGACGCGATACCGGCTGTCAACTGTACTGGAAACATCCGTCTTTCGGCATTGTCTGTCACATCGTGGCTCTATAGTCAGATGGGGGCACGGGTGGCCCAGTCGTCTAAGGCGCCGCGATTCGCTGTGCAGAGTTGCGTCCCTTGGGCACGCAAGAAACCTATGATTGTGGCTTCGAATCCCGGTTCGCCCCGATTATATTTCTAGGTTTGTCAGCTCGTTGGTTGTAAACGTCTGAGACCTGCATCACTTCGGGCTTTCCTCCCACATTAAGCTGACATGCCGCAATATAACTGGAATACTGTTAAAAGCGGCGTTAAACCAAACTCCCTCACTCACTCTAGAATCCGGTACTTGTCTGTATCCCTCCCTCGATTAATCTGAACTGTTACAACAATTAAACTGTACAATAAACTTTTAAACTTGAAAGCGTGCGAACTTGGGTGCAACCGGAACCTGATCCATGTAATGTAAACAATACATTCTGGAAGTCACGTGACCCAGAATGATTAACAATGAGGCCACATCTCCGAGAGCTGTCAAGTCAGGATGAAGTCAAAACCTAATTAAAGCTTGGAATTACATAGGCTCCACTCCAGAATGATCCCTGTAAACATCGGCAGATGACTGACGGCGTCATCGCGCAAATGATCATAATGTAAACAATCCGGTCGGAATGACCTCGGACCCGCAGAATCGCGATGACAATCGACGACTGTCAAAACATCTAAATATAGACTGTCAACTGTAATATTTTATAGGACGACAAATCACTTGCGACTTGTGATAACTGTAACTGTAACTTGTATGCTTGAATCATTACGATCTTGGAATATTCAGTCAGAATGAATCCGGAATGGCTGTCGGAATCTCGGAACTTTAAGACGTCAACCGGAGGTCAACAAGATGTCATTCGGATGTCCACAAAGGTAAGTAATCACTTATCCGCCATCAAATACTTAGAGAGCAGACCCAGACAGTTTCTTTTTGTTGCGGCGGCTATGTGGATCTGACTCGCTATCTAGAGTTATTGCGTTTCCTTATATCCCATTTGCGTTTATCGTTGTTCACTGGTTTGTCTGGCCCAGACTCGATAATTTACAGGCCGCTGACATAGCTGGAATATTACAACGTGTACAAGTAGCTTCAGTAGGCCGGTGATGGAATAATATTGGACTTTGTAAGTGACTGGGTGACTTTAACGCGGCTTTGAGTGAGTGATTGAATATGGCTTTACCACGCTTTTAGCAATATTCCAGTAATATCACGGCGGGGGACACCAGAAAGTGGCCTCTAAAATAGTATCCATATGGGGAATCGAACCCGGGTATTCGGCGTGACGAGTGAACGCTTTTACCACTAGGCTACCGCACCGCCTCAACTCTGCTTTGAGCAGTATTTCAGTTATATGACGGCGTGACAGCTTAAAACAGTTCTTTGAAAGATAACACCTGATATTGATCTAAAAACAACGCAATAGAAACCCTTTCTGCACTCGACTTGCAGTTGAGATCCATGTGTATACAATTCCAGTGGTGTTAAAACTAGCACAACAATGCAAGCTGCGCAAGACATGTGCTCTCAGTGGCTACCTTTAGCAGGCGTTTACAACTGTGGCGAAAGCCACGAGTACGGTCGTGGCACCGAGAAACCAAGAATGTAGGATTCAAAACGACAACAGGATTCTGCCAACCTTTAGGCAACCGTGTCCCCGGCATTGCAAGTTGTTTCATGTGTTTTACAAAGGTCCCCAAATTATACTGCATACAATAAAGAGGAAAAATATTTTCATTAATGATTATTATATTTCATTCTCTAGGTTACATTCGCATGTCATCAAAGCGCTAGTGTTGGTTTCGATCCGATCTGTTTCCTCTGTCATAATTATTAGACTTTAACTCCACCACATTTGTTGTACCAACTGTTCACAGAGCAGTATTGTTATCTCGATATTCTCAGGGTAACCTATTATCGAATAACCTATAAACGTCAAGATAAAGGTGATATGATACGGTTGCTTCCTATCGCTGAAACTGTCATCCAGTATCGGGCGTCCCCGTGTACATCAGACTCACAAAAACACTTAAAGGCTTGGTTCAATAAAATGGTTTACATATTCTGCCTACTGTAAGAATAATTGGAAGTGGACGAAACATAAATAGTAAAAGAAATATATGTTTGGTTCACAAAATATTGTGAATACAACTAGTTAAATTGCAAGACGATAGGTTAGAATGCATGCAGGTTAAACAATGGGAAATGCTAACCTAATACTACACAATTGGCAACATGTTCAGATAATTCTAAATTGTTAAAACAAAAAAAATAATCTGAAAGTTTTCCAAATCTACCGGTCTGGAAATTCAGTAAAACAAAGAATTTATTCTAAAAAGTTTGCATTATCTTATTTTTTTGGCTGACAAGCGGTAAACCTCCATTTGCTACATACTCCAGCATCAGACAACACACAAGGCATAAATACTCAAAGTTGCATGACAACTTCCGAACTTGTCATGTACGAATCATATTATGATGATACTGAGCAGCATGGGGAAATTAAGAAGAAAGTTAACAACTTGGAACGGTAGGAGCATAAAATCACAAAAGGACCCTCATACGCGGACGTTACTCGACAGACCACACAGAAACATACACAGCCTACACAAGATCAACCGACAACCAATCATAAAGAGGTTCCTGGTACAAATGAATCTACTGAATCAAGAACAGAACCCCCTATCAACCCAAACAATTCTTAAATAATCACCCGTCATAATTTTGACTGTAATCAGTCACAGGAGAGTAGTACTATACATGAAAGATCATGTGGACCAAAGATTCAGTTAAATGAACGTGTTGTCCTGCCAGCACATTATATACCCGTTATATTATACCGTTAACTACTCATGATGTCTCTACCAGTATAACAGGGTGAGAATGGAATCTCCGTAGGTTGATTTGCCGCTTGGATGAAAGGAAAGAGCATACAATTTGAACTATTTAAATGGACCACCATGTACTATGTCTCACTGGTAGAAACTATATTCTCATTTTGGTGCCTTCAGCTCAACGGACGTTGCACTATGTGTTCCAAAGAATGTGGCAACAATTGAAACATTCATATTACAGGTTGGAAATATTGAGAATAATGACGCTTCATTGCTGCCCGTTGAAGTAAGAATTTATCAGTTTCACTGCGATGAATAATCTTAGCTCAAGAGACCCGTTAAGATACGAGTAGAGAATAAGTCTTCAGCGACCCATGCCGTAAGAGGCGACTAACGGGATCGGGTGGTCTGGCTCGCTGGCTTGGTTGATGCATGTCATCGTATCCCAATTGCGTAGATCGATGCTCATGATGCCAGTCAATGGACTATCTGGTCCAGATTCGATTATATACAGGCCGCCGTCACATAGCTTGAACATTGCTGAATGCGGCGTCAAACAACAGACAAACAAACCTATCTTAGCTGAAGTAAAACTTTAACCCAATGTCATTGGCTAAATGCATAACAATGCAAATTCTACCATGAATTTGGAATTTACTTGATTCTGATTGGTCAATCAGAGGCTATTAAATCACAATAAACCCCCTCTGATTGAAACAGCTGGTTTGACGGCCGCATCACAGCGGAAGCTAATATTCATAGAATAATACTATTTTCAGTCATTGTCGGTAGGCATATTTAAATAACTATATCTACAACTACAGGTTACAGAATGCACTGATGCGGTTACTACAATATTCACAGGATGTGTGGCAATACATTTCGTGCAGAAAAACACGACAGAAATCTACAAAGGGAATGTATTTACGGTTTCGAGACAACAGAGAGCTTGACATTTTGGCGCTTTTCTGTATACGACTGTGACGTAATATCTTTTGCGTCACAATGAGCGATTTGACGTCATAATGGTGACGTGCGATGTAGAGCGAAAGCCTTGCAAAGCTTGCTTTGTTTTCTTTAGGGATGCCCACCTCATGTTAGTTGCCGTGCTTATATGCTTTGAATGCCTGTCATATGTTCGAGTGAAGTATTACGGTTTAAACAAACTGCTTGAGTATATACAGCACCATATTTGTTCGGTGATTCCGTAATTCAGATCGATAACCCACTCAAAACACTGAACTCAACCCATGCCGTTTCACTCAGTATATTTGCTTACACCAAAGAGTTCCTGTTTTATTTAGTCATGGTAGAATGGAGATAAACATACTGTGTTTTCAATGTAGAGCTAGGTTACCTGTAGATTTAACCGCGCTAAATTTAACATCTGAAACCTCACGCTGCGCGTTCGGTTCCAAATTCAATTATCTCCTTAATGGTCACACCATACATGTGTGTGAATGAGAAGAAATATCTAGTACCTGTATGTCTCGACATGATGGTCCAAACGTCTGTGTGTAAACGGTTACAAATGGTGCTAAGTATCCGTCGCTGCAGACATGTGACGAGACAACGACACGGTGGAGAAGTATTGTTTGTAGGCCGAGGACTGGTGTAGCCAGCTACCGTGTCTCCTCATCCGTTCTTCTTTCGATATCAGTGTTAGTCTGGAGATAAAGCTACTCACGTCAAGATAAAAGTGACATGATACGTTTGCTTACTTCCACTGACATAGTTATCCAGTATCCAGTGCTCCTGTGTACACCAGAGTAAAACAAAAAACACTTAAAGGCTTGTTTTAATTAAATGGTTTAAGATTCTGCCTACTGTAAGAATTATTGGAAGTGGACGAAACATAAATAGAAAAAGACATAGATGTTTGGTTCACAAAATATTGTGAAAACAACTAGTTAAATTGCAAGACGATAGGTTAGAATGCATGCAGGTTAAACAATGGGAAATGCCAACCTAATGCTACGCAATTGGCAACATATTCAGATAGTTCTAAAATGTTAAAACAAAAAAATAATCTGAAAGTTTTCCAAATCTACCGGTCTGGAAAATCAGAAAAAAACAAAGAGTAAAAAAGTTTTCCTTATTTTTTTGGCTGACAGGCGGTAAACCTCCACCTGTTACACACTCCAGTATCAGACTACACACCTGGCATAAATACTCAAAGTAACATGACAACTTCCCTTCTTTTCATGTGCGAACCATAGTTTGATGCAGGTTATACAATGGGGTACACTAACCTGATACGCTAACCTGATACTATTTCAGATGATTCTAAATTGTTAAAACAAAAAATATGTTTTTGCTGACAGACGGTAAACCTACATCTGCCATATACTCCAGCATTTGATTACACATCAGGCATAAATACTCAAAGTAACGTGAAAACTTCCGTACTATCGTGAAAAGGATAAACATCACAATTCAAAATTTGGAATTTCAGATTGCTTGTCACTTATCAGTAAGATTCCATATACGCAGAACCTTATCGAGGTTATCGTCATTGCAAGGCCCCCCTCCTTGAATGTGATAGGTCATCGTGACAAAAGCGTGCAGGTATACACATGAAATTATCCATTCTGATCTCCCGCTCTGGCGAAGCAATAATTTGTTCACAGTATTACCGACCTGTCTGGCATGAACATGCGCTACTAAACAACAGCAGAATTTGTCTTCATTGTCAATATAGCTCAGGTGGATTTTGGCTTTTTATTTCATTTTCAATTTTTTTTACAGTAACTGAGATAAAGTTCTAAGGTTATTTCATTTTTAACTACTCTGTATGTCCTAAGGTAGTTAGTTGCAATAGCATCTGAAGAGTTTCCCTAGTTTAGACTTTATTTTCTCTTTGAATGTTGGTGATAGGAAATCTGAATTACTTATTATATTGTGTTTTCTAAGAATAGATTGATTGGGTTGGTTTACCCACCCGACAATGTTTGTATTTGGATTGTTGTATTTGCAACATGAAAATTTTCGACAGACGACATATGTAACTGTAAGACTGTGTTGAACATAGGTGAAACGCGGATCAGCAGAAAATTGAAACTCCAGTCAATATCCTCTGAGTTCTAGTGGTGTGAAATCCAAATCAAATAATATATTCTCGAAAAGAAGATCCAGGAGAAATGGAGAAATATGTATATATGCGATTCGGGTCTCAGACGTTTAGCACTTCGGTAAAACCCACGAGCACGGGTATGGTGCTGACAAACCTTGAAACATAATCGGGGCGAACCGGGATTCGAACCTACAATCATAGGTTTCTTGCGTGCCCAAGGGACGCAACTCTGCACAGCGAATCGCGGCGCCTTAGACGACTGGGCCACCCGTGCCCCAAATATATTCTCGAAAAGAAGATCCAGGAGAAATGGAGAATATATATTTACACATAGAGAGAGAGAGAGAGAGAGAGAGAGAGAGAGAGAGAGAGATGAGAGAGAGAGAGGAGAGAAAGACAGAGGGGGGGAGAGAGAGAGACACAGAAACAAGAGAAAGAGAGAGAGAGAGAGGAGAGAGAGAGGGAGAGAGAGAGAGGAGAGAGAGGAGAGAGAGTGACAGAGAGAGGAGAGAGAGAGGAGAGAGAGAGGAGAGAGAGACACAGAGAGAGAGAGAGAAAGAGAGGGAGAGAGAGAGAGGGAGAGAGAGATGAGAGAGAGAGGAGAGAGAGGAGAGAGAGAGACACAGAGAGAGAGAGAGAAAGAGAGGGAGAGAGAGAGAGGGAGAGAGAGATGAGAGAGAGGAGAGAGAGAGGAGAGAGAGAGACACAGAGAGAGAGAGAGGGAGAGAGAGAGATATGAGAGAGAGAGGAGAGAGAGAGAGGAGAGAGAGAGATGAGAGAGAGAGGAGAGAGATAGAGAGGAGAGTGAGAGATGAGAGAGAGAGGAGAGCGAGAGAGAGAGAGAGAGGAGAGAGAGAGAGAGGAGAGAGAGAGAGAGAGATAGAGAGACGTATGCACATCTTATTATTCTCATGGTTTGACTTAACCCTGATATGATTATTATGATCAGAAGAATCAAAGTGACTTTATCTCACATCTGCCACTTTTTAGTCTAAAACATCCTTTCAGAATTGTAAGGCGATTGTTGTCTATATATATAGGTTAGAAAAGGTCTTCAGCAACCCATGCTTGCCGTAAAAGGCGACAATGCTTGTCATAAGAGGCGACTAACGGGATCGGGTGGTCAGAGTCGCTGACTTGGTTGATGCATGTCATCGATCCCAATTGAGTAGATCGATGCTCATGATGTCAATCATTGGATTGTCTTGTCCAGATTCCTTTTTTTACAGGCCGCCGTCATATAGCTGGAATAGTGCTGAGTGCGGCGTTAAACAACAAACAAACAAACATATTCAAGACTTATTGTAAACTTTTACTAGGGTGTCGCGACATGAATGGACACATATTTCATAGCTTTATTAGTGGTATTGCGACTTGTAGCTGTGGCTTTTAGTACGAAGACAGTCTTGGTTATATATAGCAGCTATAAATAATAGCTATAAATTTCAGCTGTAATATTGCTGAGTGCGGCGTTAAACAACAAACAAACAAATAACCAAAAAAGCATTCAGTACACAATTGATAAATATGTTGACAATTGTAAAATCAGCTCCTAGCTCTTTAGGTTAGAACTGTAATTCCAAACTGAACAGACGTTGAACACTGTAAAAACATACAGGGAGTCATCTGAGCCTGGAGCGAGTGTTTTGGGCCTAGTGGAGGGGAGTGACCTGAGCCCAGTCTGAAAGCATTCTGGAGTGAATTGAAGCTGGGCTGAAACACTCTTAAGTAAATGTTTAATGGATTAATTTGAGCTAATTAAGCCACGCCTCCTCGTTTACGCTTGTTACTTTTTAGCTTGGGATTGATTTAAGCTAATAAGCCACGCCTCCTCGTTTATGCTTAACTAATGTCATTGGCCAAATGAATGATGGTCTAAACGTCTGTGTGTAAACGGTTACAAATGGTGCTACGTAGCCGTCGCTGCAGACATGTGACGAAACAACGACTCGGTGGAGAAGAATTGTTTGTAGGCCGAGGACCGCTGTAGCCAGCTACCGTGTCTCCTCATCCGTTCTACTTTTGTTAAACCCTGAGCGTGTTTTAACCTACACATAAAGACAACATCTTTAACTGTAACTGTTTATTGTTTCATCATAATTTGGTATCTACCATTATCAACTGTAACATAACTGAAACTGTAACAACAGAAACATATTGATAGCACAATCCTTCAACATACTTATTAAACATTCTTTATCTCTAACAGTTTGAGACAGCCGAACATAACCAGAATAATGAGAAAATAGAAGGTATCTAATATTTTAAGCCCAATTGTATACCCAACATTATCTAATTAAAGTAACATGCTGCACGCTTCATATATCATAACCACATATAGTATCAGAAACAAGGATTGTATCATCCGCAAATCACAACAATAATACTTAATAATAAAGACTGTATTAAATTTAATAACTACCCGCGAGAAAGAGTATGGGAATATATACCATCATGTAGAACTGACCTGTCGATACTCTAATTATAAAACCCATACAACGTTAAATCCTCTTGTGTTATACAGCATTGATATTTTATATCCAGAATTGAGTGAGTGAGTGAGTGAATTGGGTTTAACGCCGCTTTTAACAGTATTCCAGTTATATCGCTGCCTGTCAGCTTAATGTGGGAGGAAAGCCCGACGTGATACGGGTCTTAGACGTTTACCACTTCGGTGAAATCCACGAGTACCGGTATGGTGCTGACAAACCTAGAAACATAATTGGGGCGAACCGGGATTCGAACCCACAATCTGAGGTTTCTGGCCTGCCCAAGGGACGCAACTCTGCACAGCGAATCGCGGCGCCTTAGACGACTGGGCGACCCGTGTCCAGAATTGAGAGGAGAAATACAGTACGTAATAAGGATTAGATTCAGAAGTAAAATACTAGCGTCTGAGGAATGTACAATATGTATCACTTTTACTTATGATTGTTATCTGCATGTCATCGTCAACTGTTAATGTGTACTTTCAGAGAGAGATGAATTATTTTCAACTCTCATTCATGATGTTAATTTTGAAACGTACGTACAAATAGAGATGGCGGAAGACCATGAAATATCGTCATTCTTTCTTGGTGCAGATAACGATGATGTTGATGAATATATATATACAACCTGTAGCAATACGAATACCAATACTTCTCAATGGTTAGAGCTTGTATATATTATATCTTATGACGCTATACCAACCTTTGTGATATGTTGGATCAATTTGTTTGTAAATAATTACATGATCTTGATGTTTTAAAAATGCATCATTGTCTTAAACAGAATGTACAATCGCTATAATCTGTGAAATCTAACACATGCTTTAACTGATCTGTAAACTCTTTCAAATGCCATCAACATTTAACAACAATAGGAAGACAATATTTTCCATAGCTTTGCTCGACTAATATAATCGAAAGCCTTTTCAAAATCAATAAAAGATACATACTTACAATTTCTTCTTCTTTTTACGTAGACATTTTCAATAATTGCACTTAAAACTTGTGAGGAGGGCTTTTTGAGTAGAGTCATGTCACTGCAAATACGAAAACGTCGTTTTTTTCCCGTATATGGTCATTGGACGGAAAAAC